TTAATTATTTTCTATTCCTAAATTCCTTTCCAGTCGATAATTTTATGTTTTTACCCGTTTCCCTGTTTTTGACCCTGGGCCACAATGCACAAACCGTGCGGGCCATATAAAAAAAAAAAAAAAAAAAACAATATTCAAATTGTATTATTGTAAAGTTTTAATTAGTCGATATGAAAGATAGATCAGGATTTATAGTGTTTGTTAATATTAAAGAAATACAAAGCTTTTTTTTATAAGACATTTTTAATCAAACTATTTATATTTCTTAAAACGAGATTGTTGCTAAGGCAACTTCTTGTATGCCAGTAATCAGTATATACATACTTCACACCCTCTTAAGTTTTTAGAGAATATATGTATATAAATTCTTTAAACCCAATTGTAAGCAAAGTTCTTTTAATCTAGGGCCATACAATGGTTTCGTTAGCATATCGGCTAACTGTATCTCTGTGGAAACATGTTCTACTGTAAAGTCTCCATTGCTAACACATTCTCTAATGAAGAAATGTTTAAGTTTAATGTGCTTAGTACGCTTATGGTACTCATAGCGTGGATTAAGCGCGAGCTTCACAGTTGATTCATTGTCTAACTTCAATACTGGACTTTCAGTTTCAGTAAGTTGGCGAAGTAGGCAATTTAGCCACAAAATTTCTTGTGCTGATTCACTAGCTGCTATTAGCTCTGCTTCAGTAGATGAGATGGAGACAGTTGCTTGTTTCTGACTTCTACAGCTAATTGCAGCTCCAGAAAATAAGCAAATCATTCCGGACGTTGATTTCCCACTTGCTGGATCTCCACCATGATCTGCGTCACTATAACAAATTAAATGACCGGGAGATCTGCGTGTATAAGTTAAACCGTTATGTTGCGTGCCTTTCAAATAACGGAAAATACGTTTTACCAACATAATATCCTTTTTGGTAGGTGAATCAAGCTTTCTTGAAGCGACACCTACAGCATATGATATATCAGGTCTCGTGCCTACAGATAAATATGCCAAAGCACCTACTGCTTGTCTATACGGAAAGTTTATATTGATATTAACTTCCTCTTCCGTCTCAGTTTCTTTTATGATTGGTGTTGGTGCTGATTTACAATTTGACATTGCATATTTTTCTAAAACTTTTCTTGTGTAAGCCTTCTGACATAATGTAATGGTCTTGTCTTTGCATATGTCTATTTCTAATCCAAGAAAATATGAAGCAGGTTTTATTGTTATTTTAAATCTGGTTTGCAATTGCTTAATGAATTCATCACCCGCTGTGCTTGTGTTATATGCTACAAGTCCATCGTCTACGTAAAGACCAATGAAAAGTTTCGTTTGTCCTTTATTTCTAATATATAAACAAGGATCCGCTTCACTCTGCCTGAATCCTGATTTTCGTAAAAACTCAGCAATACATGAATTCCAACAACGTGGAGCTTGCTTGAGTCCATATAAGCTGCGTTTCAACTTGCAAACTCGTTTCGTGTTATCGGAATAGCCTTCAGGCTGTTTCATATAAATCTCTTCCTTTACTTCACCATATAGGAAAGCAGTTGAGACATCGAACTGCAATAATTTTAAATTTTCTTTAGCAGCAATTGCAAGTAAAGTTCGTACTGTGGTCAGACGAACTACTGGGCTAAACGTCTATCATAATCGACACCAGGTATTTGGGAGTAACCCTTAATTACAAGTCTGGCTTTGTACCTTTCAATGGAACCATCAGGATTCATTTTAATTTTATATACCCATTTACAAGGCAGGGCTTTTCGTCCTTTAGGTAGATTACCCAGTTCCCAAGTTTGGTTGTCATTTAGTGAAGTAATTTCACTCTGCATAGCGTTTTGCCATTTTTCTTTATCAGTAGAATCCATCGCTTCTTTAAAGGTCGAAGGTTCAGTAGGTTTGTGAACATTTTCAATTTCTTCCGCTGCGGCTAAGATAAAATCATCATAACGCCTAGGAGCTGTGATATTTGATCTACTTCTTAGTGACCTTATTTGAACGGAGGCGTTTTCTACATTGTCATTACTGTTTACTGCTTCTCCGACACCGTTTTTAACAGGGTCTTCAATATTAGAAGAACCAGAAAGTGAGTCGTAGTCACTTTCAATATTTGTTGGTTCCTGAATATTTTGTTCCAAAATTGTATTGTTATCATTTTTCGTGTCAACATTGTTGTCATATTTATCAATGTCATCAAGCGTCATAGTAAGTTTCTTTTGTAGTGTTTGTTGTGAAGACAATTGTTGAGGTTTTGCTGTAGACTCAATTTCATTAAAAAGTGTTGAAATTCCGTACTTGTTTTCTTCGTAGTACATGCATTTCATAACTCGAATATCTTTCGAAGTAATGATTTTGTTTTTCGAAGGAATGTAGATTCTGAAAGCTTTTGACGTTTCAGAGTATCCCACAAACATCCCTGGAATTGCTTTAGGTGCAAATTTGTGACCATTAGATCCCTTTTTCAAAACAAAAGTCTTACTACCAAATATATATAGATGATTTACACAGGGCTTTCTACCAACCCATCGTTCGAATGGTGTTCGATTTTGAATGGCATTGTTTATGTTTCTATTTGCCAAATAATTAGAAGTAGCCACTGCCTCGCTCCAAAGTTTCAATGGTGCATTTGCATCTATCATCAATGCTCTTGCTTTTTCTAATAGGGTACGGTTTTTACGTTCAGCAACTCCATTTTGGTGTGGAGTATAAGGTGCGGTAAGACGTCTTTGAATACCACACTGTTTTAAGTAAGTGTCAAACTGCTTATTAACATATTCAGTGCCGTTGTCAGATTGTAAAAACTTAATTTTGTTACCTGTGTGTGTTTCCGCTAACTCTTTGAACTCTTTGAATTTTTCAAGTACTTCGCTCTTATTTTTCATTAGATAAACTCTACAGTATCGACTGTAGTCATCTATAAAAGTAACAAAGTATTTATTTTCGCGTATGGTGGGCGTCTGAATAGGTCCACACACATCGCTGTGAATGATTTGTAAACATTCTGTTGTTCTTTGAGTTGTTTTATTACGTGGAGCAGGTTCACGGTGCAGTTTTGCTTGTATGCATACTTCACAGTCATTCAAATTTTCCGATGCATCAAAATTTAAGCCAATTAAGTTTTCATGTCTACGCGCATATTTCAGATCTTTTACGTTCATATGACCCAGTTTTCTATGCCAGTCATTAATACTTGATAAAGTCGTTGATTCCTTCGGAGGAGAACTTGTGACCATAGCATTAGTGACCAAATAGTTCCTTTCATGTTGATCTGGTTTCACATAGTAAAGACCGTCTTTTTGTTTATATGCCGTTAGTTTTATTCCATTTTTAGGGTTATTTACAGTTGCTTTATTGTTAGTAAATAGCACAGAACAACCAGCATCTGTCATCTTACTTACGGACAGTAAGTTGGTGCAAAGGTTCGGTACGTATAAGGTGTCTTGTAAGCGCGTTATTGCCTTACTGTTGCCATTTTTAGTTATAAAGGAAACTATTCCTTTACCTTTTATCTCTGCAGTGTACTCGTCCGTCGCAAAGTTAAGTTTTCTGGATGTACTATCTATTGTTTTAAATAAGTCTCGTTGATAAGTCATATGAGACGTGCAACCACTGTCTAATACCCATATGTTGTTTTTAAGTTTCTTATTATTTGTAAAAAGGCACTGCATTATGTAATTATTTTAATGAGAAGAATCAAATTTCTTAGCACGTTTACCTTTATTTTCCTTCCAGCAGTTTGAACAAATTTTATGGTGTTTGTGTTTAAAGATATTACCTCTTCGTTTACAAACTTTACACGATGCATATAAAGCTTCTTCTTGAATAGAGGATTCAGATTCGTCGTCATTGGTTTTATTGTGATTATGGCGAGCTTCATATTCTTCAATTATTTTAATTTTAAGCTCTTCAGGCTTAGGAAGAACATCTCGTGATTCAATAGCGACTCTGAAGTTCTCGTATTCTTTCGAGAGGCTGTATAGCATTAATATTGTTAAAAGGTCTTCATTGATAATTATGTCCATGTCTGCCAGTTTGTTAACTATATCCATGAATTTGTTTAGATGACTTTGTATCTCATGTCCATCTAATTTATTTAGGATTAGTTGTTTCAGTAAAAAAGCTTTACGGGCAGGTCCTTTGCTAGCGTAAATGTCTTGTAGTTTATTCCAAACGGCTTTTGAAGATAGGCATTTTTTTAATTTGGTTAAGCTCAGAGGGAGAAATCATAAGAATTAGTTCCGATCTGGCTTGTCTGTCACCTTCTGTTTCAGCTGCACTTGGATCCTTACTTAAAGGACTTTCAATGTATTTCCATAATTTGTTTCTTACTAGGACTGCTTCAGCCTGTATTACCCATGTATCATAGTTTTCTTTTGTTAGGGGATCTATTCTTGCGATCGACATTTTTTTTTATTTCGCTTTTTTTCTTTTTTTTTTTATTCCTTTTACTCAACGCTCTGCTACCATGTAAAGTTTTAATTAGTTGATATGAAAGATAGATCAGGATTTATAGTGTTTGTTAATATTAAAGAAATACAAAGCTTTTTTTTATAAGACATTTTTAATCAAACTATTTATATTTCTTAAAACGAGATTGTTGCTAAGGCAACTTCTTGTATGCCAGTAATCAGTATATACATACTTCACAATTATACTCACAAGCCACAGAAGAAACTATATTCAAAAATACTTAAATAAAGGTTATTTAGTGTTTAATATTTTTATAATAAATAAATAATGTTTATTTTTAATTTATTGTATATTCATTTCCTGATAAAGTGCATGTGATTTATAAATGCATCCGTTGAATGCATCCTGTCACTACAGTGGCCACGTCTTGTCGAAGTGGAATCTAAGCAGCCAATAAGGTGGTTTCTTCAATCCTTTCAAATTTCAGTTTGACGTTTTTTGTAAATTGTTTTTGACGTGTAACTTACCGCTTTCGGCTTTCCATTTATTTACGAAACTTTAACTAGTTTGATCTCAATTTTCTAATACCTTTTTCGTAATGGCTAGTGGTCAATGGGAAGTTGTTGGAAAGAACAAGAAATCCCAAAATGGGAAAATGAAAAATACTAACGAAGATAAAAAGTCGATCAAAAATGGACCAAAACTCGAAGATTTAGGTAAGTATATTTAAATACATTAAATCCACTGAAACCAGAAATGTCAATTAAATTTTGTAAATTGTTAATCCTGCAGTTCCAGCATCGCAGATTAAATCATATTACGATGGCATGGAAATCGATGATACAACAAAAACCAAAGAAAAAAAGAAAGACGGGGAAAAAAAATCTAAAAAACAAGAAAAGAAAGAACCGTCAAAACCAAAACCTCCAAAAACAATAGCAGAGGCTTTAGAAGCGGTAAGAAAATTTTAAATTTTTTTATAACACATTACTATTTTGTCCATGAGGCTTAAGGAATAAATTGTATTCAGAAAGTTTAAGTAATTGCAATTTTAAAAAAGCAACATTTCGCAACATTTTAGTATTAAAGATGTAATAATCCTATTTCATGTACAAGAAACCTTTCAAATGTGGCAATGGAAGTTATATGATTTATTTTGTGTTATTTGGTATCCAATAAAAATTATCTTTATTGAATATCATTTTTATTTAAATTGTGTAATTTTAATTCCATATACCTAATTAATTATAAATATTAATATTACATTATATTTCAGATTGATGCCACAGAACTAGCCAATATAATTGCCACAAATAAAGTTAGGTTCTCAAATGCTCCTTTGGTTTGGTTGAAAGAATTAGCTAATTTCTTAAATTCAAAAATTCCTATAGATGTTGATGATCCCACATTTTCTAATTTCCCTCCAAATTACCCAGTCAGTGTGTTGCCAATTGACTTAAAAGCTAGTCTAGATAATGTACTTCGAGATGCTGGAAAAGCAAACACTCAACTTTTCTTTGATGTTACTCTTACAGCTCTTGCAAATGACATGAGCAGAGGTATGTATTTTTTTTAATATCTTCAATTATATATATGTTTTAAATCAAAAGTATTTTCTGACAATTACTGCTGCTGCATGAACTATAAACTAATAATATCAATGTATGATCTAATGTCATGTCATGTTACAGGTCAGTCTGTTAATGGGCATAGATTACTACTACAGATGTTAGCTCTAGAAAATTCCGATTTCTGTATCACCTCCTTACCAAAGAGTGTGAGTCTCAGAAACTCATACCAAAACCGCCCACCCATTGGTTTATCACTCTTATGGGCTTTAGGCCAAGGCGGACATAATAACTTTGCAGATGGAATGAAAGGTAAATATATAATACATGTAACTAAGTTTGTGTAAAACAAACTTTTATTAATTGCTGGATTGACAGCTCCATATGATGTTTTCTTAAGTAATTGCCACAATCTGATAGGTCAAAAATATATATGAACATGACAAAAGACTCGATCGGCAATACTTTTTTTTTTACATAACATAATGAAGAACCTTGTAAAAGCATATAAAGCGTGTTCCATAGAAAATGGAAATGGTTTACAATATTTTTCATTATCTTAAGAATTTTTTAAATCTGGGTGAGATCATTTATCATTATGACATGTTCTAAGGTAGCTGATAAGAAACTTACTCAGTTTTTATCTTATTACTTTATTCACTATGTAAACCATGAGTGCTATTCTTATGTAAAAGTTGTTTATCAAAACCAAAGTCAGGTTTGAGTGCAGTAAATGCAAATATTTCAAAAAGATGTTAATATATACAGTGTAAACTCTTTATAATTAATTTCCAGGGACCAAGCATTTTTATTTGTTATAGGGAGGGAAGAAATAATGTATGGGTATTGAGTTAAACCAAATAAATTTAAATCATTTTTACGTTATAGAGTTATTTGTTATAACGAATGGCGTTATACAGAGTTTCCACTACTACTACAATTAGTTGTGTATGTAGATAATCAAGTAAAATTGTTTTTATGACAACACTATGTGCTTTATGAAACTCAATTATAATGGGCACTTGCCACAGTGTGTGTCTTAAAAAGTGTCTTAAAAAATTCAGGGATAATAAATTGTTATCACAGACATCACATTTAAATGTTAATAAAGTTTTAATTCTATAATGTAGGCCTTCTCATGCTTATCAACCTCTGTTGTAGAAGCAGACTGATTAATTGTCATATAAATAGGAATTACATAAATTTCCAAGGCACAAAAGAAAGAATTTAAAATTTGTGAAACCTAAAATCCTACTTCTGCTAAGAAAACATCTATTTGTTGCTATTATTTAATAATACTTACCTATTTAAAAATAATGAGTTTCTTTTTCAGTTTGGCAAGAAATATTCCTCCCTATAATTGAGTTGAAGAACTACACCAAGTACATAATTGCATACCTCTCCAACCACCTAGATAGGCACGCTAGGATGGATGATACCAGGGTTAGTCAGGAACAGTTACTGGCAATGTTTGATACAATTAACAGCAAGAGAAATGGACTGTCCAAGGAGCTGTCAAGTGACCTTATCAAGCAATTAGTTAAATATAAGGTAAATTCTCTTGCTATTTGTAAAACTAAATTTCAATATATCTTCTTTATCATGATATACGTAGTCGGTCCCAAAGTTCTGTCATAAATGGAAATAATGATAAAAACAAAAGTACTGATCAGTTTGTAATGAGTGATATATCAATTCTTAGTAAATTAATTAAGGAATAAAAAAAGCATAAAAATATTCGAAATAACCTCCCTCATTTTTAATACAGGCCCTTAAGCGTCGCGGCCAGTCGTCTATCGCAGCACGCACCATATTCGTGTCGATTTCAGTCACTGTTTTTTTTAAAGATGACTTCAGATTCTCCAAATTTTCATGAGGTTTATCACAGACCTTCCTCTCTAAGCCCTGTCATAATTTCTGGTCCAAAGGATTAAGGTCCGGACTGGAGGAAGGCCAATCCTCATGTCTAATTAAGACGATGTTTTGACGCTCAAACCAGGCTTTAGTGGTCTTGGCTTTGTATGCAGACGCAGAGTCCTGCTGGAACACGAAGTGATGTCCCGCAAATAGGGTGCTGGACATGTCTTTGACAAGGCGATACAAAACCGTCTCTTGGTACACTGTAGCACTGGTTTTGACCCCCTTTTCGAAAAAATTAACCTCAGTTAGCCCGTAATAGGACACTCCCAACCAAACCATTACTGATGATGGATGATGTCCATGTTGCACCCTTGGAACTTTATTTTCAGCTTCTTCAGAACTCCTAGCGTACACTGTATAATTCTGTTTATTGTACTTCTCTTCAATATCGAAAAATTTTTCGTCCGTAAAGAGGATATCACGGTGTCGGTTTTTCGCGTACGGCTTAAACAACACCCGCGATCTCTTAAGCCTTATTGCTTTTAGACGAGCATTAAGTAAGTGCCCACTCTTTTTTTGTATGCTCGTAGACCAAGATCTTCATTTAAAACCTTTTTTACTGTTTTCCTACTGACACCCATCTGCAAATCCATCAACTTCTGTTTTCGGACAGGATTTCTTACTATCCGCGCCTTGATAGCTTTGATTACTGCTGGTGTTCTTGCGGAGCGTGGCCAGCCAGTTCTTTTCTTGTCCTCAACACTGGAGGCTTCAAGGTACCTATCAATAGTACCGTACACAAACCTAAGCGTTATATTCAAATTTTTGAGCAACTTGAAAATGGTACTCGGCGAGTGTCCACAGCTGTGCAACGCAATAACAACTATTCGGTTTACTTTCAATGTCCACTCCATCGTGAAAAATTACGGAAAGTTATTGTTTTTTGTTTTAAAACAATAATCAAACATTCCAAAATAGAATGCAATAATTTTTTTATAAAATCCTGCTCGAAATGTAGAAATAATGTGCTAGTGACAGAACTTTGGGACCAACTACGTATAATAAAACATAATAATGAAGTACTCATTACTTAGCTTTAAAATGTCTAGGTATTTAAGATTTTTAGGTTATGATAGGATGCTCTATGTTCATATGATGAATGAAATTCATTAAGATGTGTTAAACAGTATCAATCTAACATGCAAATTGCCTTTATATTTACAAGTTTACATCATTAAATATTTAATTTCAGGATATTTACTTCAGTAAGAGTGGTAATAAACTTCAAGTGACCTTCAATCAGTTTATGAAGAAACTACCCAATCAATACCTCAGCGGAACCAATTTGGATCCTTACAACAAAGTGATAGTCGAGACCCTGGTGAACTGCTTAGCTATGGATGACTCATGCAATGCCACATGGCGACAATTGTTTAGTAGATGCAGCAAGCAATGTGCCACTCTGATTGAATATATTGGTAAGCAAAATCGTAACTAATAATATTTATTTTTAACAAAAAGTATTTTACAATTTTATAATTTTTTAGACACAAATTGGGCAGAAGTCAGTCGAAAGCTAAAGCATAAGTCACTTAAAATAACAATTACTCAGTACAAGGAGGTTTGTGGTGAATTCTTGAAGGGGAAGAAAAAGGATGAGACTGTTGTTAAGGCTAACAGAATATGTCAGGTGAGTGAAGATAATTAATAGATAAAATTGGTTCTTAGGGTAAGATTCCGGGTCCAAAATGACTGTTTATTTTATTGGATTCGACATACGGTAATAATATTGAGCTCTATACCTTGGTTCTGAGTTTAACTAATTTTAAGCTTTTAGGCTGCACTCAAAACTGTCCCTTCAAAATGTGTATGATGTTTATGGAAACCGTTAAAAAATCTTTGTGTGCGTGTGTATGTGTGTGAAAAAGAAAAAAAAAGAAAAATCATATATGTATATAATTAGATATATTTCAAATAGACCGCCTTCATAAACACATATTACAGATTCAAATAACGAAACGAATACGTAATAAACGGCACAGATAACTGATTTTCGGTTGACGTGTAACCTAGATAACTTTCACTACATGATATGCCAATTGCCAGTTGTCATTATGCCTATTTAGTTTGTGTCAGCTATATCTGGGAAGGGTCGCTTCGGTCGAAAAAATCTAATATCATCGAAGTAATATTTTAAGACTAACTAAAATACTACGTTAGTAAATTTGTTAAAGCTTCCAAGAGTTGAATAAGACCAACGTACTAAAGTAAAGGACTCCTAAAAGTAAAATTACATTTAACTATTTTATTTTCTAAAGGGCGTTGTTTTAGAGGAAAAACTTGTTTACTAAATACCTCTGTAAAGAACAGCTATTAGACTTACCACGTTACATCCGCTAGTAACTGTTTCGCTGTTGTTCAATATATACTGAAGCTTTGTGGGAGTCTTATGATTTCAATGATTAGATTTTTTTACTAAAATTATGTATAACTAGTAAATTATCTCGAATATTTCTTTTGATTTTTTATTTTGATAGTTATAGAAGTTTGATTTTTATGTAATTTTTTTATTATGATATTGGATAACATAACAGATTATAAAATACTGCTTTAAAGTGTTAGTGCAGTGTGATAATGATAATGTTTGGCTTTATTTGACAGACTTAAGACAATATGTGTAAGGCATAGGTTGAGGAAAATATAAACCCTGAAACTACAGTTATTTTATTTTATGTGCGTTAAGATAAGGATACAATTGCTTCCGATTATTACATATAATGTTTTACTATACAAATCATAATAATTCTACTCTAAAATTTTTGTTCACAGGATATTTTAGACAGGATGACAAGTACAAGAAGGTTTCCTTGGATGTGGGCAATTTTGTTCCTGTTAGTGGGTATAACCGGGCTTATTTCTTATGATGTCTCCCGAGTTAATGGAAACTTTCCGAGTAAGTTACATATAAATTGAAAATATTGATATAAATATTACATAGAAAGTTAACTCTACCAAGGAACATTAACACATTACAGCCATTATAATTTGAATTCACTCATTAGCAGTCATCAGCATTCAGTAGTTCTATCATATCATCCATAATATTGCAAATTATTATTCTCTAAGGTTTAAAATCAAAAATTAGAATTTCAAGCATAGTAATCGTTTGATTAATAAATAAGTTACTGTAATAGTAACGTCAGGTGTAGCACATTTAAATGGCTTAATTATGAAAATGTTGAACTTACGAAGGGAATACAGTAATTTTTTTGATATTGTAATGTAATACCTTTTTAACCTCCATTGTTATTTTTAATTTACTTATATTGAAGGATAATGTAGAGATTTTCTGCAATTTTTGTTATATAAACTGCTATTGTAATGTTTTTAGATTAAGTGTAAGTTCTTATTTCGTTTCTTTGCAATTATATTTTTTACTTTGTATCATCAAACATTGAATTAAGTAATGTTTTTTAGATTCATTTAAATTTATAGTATTGTTATAATATTAGAAATAAAATTATAAATACTTTTTCAGAAAGCACAACTGGTCAACTTTTGAATGATCTAGGATTGTTAGAACACAGTCAAAAAGCATGGCAGAAGACTCTTTCTTCATCTGCTCGTGGATACATCTGGCTTGAGACAAATGTACCAATATACTATACACAGGCAGTTGAGTTCTCAAAACCTTACTCTCAACTCTCTAAGGACCTCTTCGCCATTGGTGTGAAGAAAACAGGAATCCTTTATGGGAATATGAAAGAATATGTTATAGAGAAGACCCCAGTGATTGTAGCCACTATAGACCAATATATCCCTGGCGCAGTTGAAACAATTCAAACATATTTTGTGAGCGGTGTGGACACAATAAAAAAATACTCAAATGAATATTACCAAGTTGTTGCTGAATACTTGGCAACGAAAGTTTTTGTGTAAGTTTGCATTTTGATCAATTTTTTGTCATTTCCTGTTTTCAAGGTTAGCAAGATTTGTTTAAAGTAGATGTTAATTGATTTTAAAAAGTTTTAGTCAATAAAAATTTTATGACATCATGAAGAATAAATTTATTCAAAAGAATGTTTAATGTTAGTAATTATAATTTTGTTTAATTTTTATATTTTCTATCTATTCAAGATCTAAATTTTTTTTATTTGAGGAATTCACTATTCATAATTGAGCAGCCCCCACAAGTAATCTTCCATGTTGTTTCAATTTACATACATACATTATTATGTAACATTTTATTTGCTTCATTTATTGTGTCTGCAATAATTTATTCTAGGCCCTCTGATCTACAGAAGTGTGATTATTAGTGATAATATTGTTGTTACAGAGGCGACTGGGCACCAGAGATCTTGCAAGTTAAAACCCAACTAGCACTTAATGCTACCAGGTCTCATGTCAACGACTATTTCCACTGGTTCCGTGAACAGGTACATACATATTCGAAGATTCCCTGAAGACATACCTGGGAATTGTGAACAGTGAGTTAGTGTTATTGTGTCAACCATGTTTTACAAGGTCATAGTGATTTTTCTACTATTAATGTTTGAAAGTTGAGTGTGGTTACTGTTTGCTATTCATATATATTTTGTACAGAAAATTCAATGTTTGCCTCCTGTGAGTAGTTTTAAGATATGTCATGAAAATATCACATAATTGTTTTAGTAATCGATAGAAAATTAGCCATCACCATAGATTTGTTAAGTAATATTTACTGTTGTAGGTTGACACAATTTTACTAATTAAATTAGCAGTTTGGACATTGTTATGCTTATTGTAATGTGGTGCTGCTCATAAAGCAGTAATGTCATATCTCTTTCTATAAGATTTAACTTTTAGCAGTACTAGATAACTTACATCTAAGGTCATCAATTAATAAATCGGCACCACATTATAGAGTATGAGCAATTATTTTATTACCTTATAATACATTTAAATGAGTTATCAAGCACAAATTTAATTGTTAATTGTTACATCAACAACGAAATTATGAGTAGTATTTTAAAGAAATGAATTGAATTACATAAACAAATTGAGGTTTTTATATATTTTACTTACTTTAAAAAAAATGGATTGAATGTATTATTTTTATGTAATCCATGACATTATTTAGGTATTCAGTATTCTTAAGCATTCCCAATTGCATTTTGTTTAATAATTTTGAAAAAAATTCTAGTTACCATCATTAATGAAATCACAGTGTTAATGTAGAAAATATTGCTATAAGTTTTTGTAGTGTATTTATTTTGTGTTGAGTGTGTTTTAAATTTTAATACAGAATCTAAATTAAAACGTGTTTCTTTTTTCATATTTTTTTTTTATCAGAAAGTAATAAAAGTATGTTTCCTTTGAACTTAGTAAATTTTCATTACCTAATTTATTTGTTACTTGCTATAAGTACTATTATGAGGAATGTTAGCTTTGTGCAAGAGACTTAACTTTAGACTGGGCATTAAGCAAAATCACTCATCGTAGATTCGATTTTATCTAAATATGTGATGTTTGAATTAAAAATAATAAATATGTATTGATCCTTCACTATAATCTTAATGGTTGACTCTAATGAAAATAATTCCTTGATTTAAAAAAATCACAGTCACTTAAACCTTTGTCTCGTCTCACGCGAACTACATTGATACGAGAACACTAAGCTTCGAGTAGAATAAAAACAATTCCCCAAAAGTACACTAGCACACTTTCGCATTTATGATATTAGTATGATTATATAATTATAGAAAGATACCATGAAATTTCAAATCAAACCGCGTAGTATATGTAAACCAAACAGATGCAAATTTATGATTTTATTGAAAATGAGACCTATATTTTGCATGATGTAGACTGTCACTAAAGCGGTGACCCGCAATCATAAATTTTGCTAGCTTTAAGCGGGCCATAGAGGGACCGCATGTTGCAGTCAAGACCGACTGCAATATGCGGTTTGCTCAGGAACTGCTCAAGCGGTCCGTGTATTGCGAATATGAATTTAGTATGGAAACTGCAGATCGCCGTGCGGCGACCGCATATTGCCCGTCTATGGCCCGCTTTAGGCGCGCTTTCAATAAGTAAGGGAATAAAACAAGTACACCATGCGATGAGATGAAAACATCTCCACTTAAGATATGTAAAAAAAGAAAATAATGGAAGATTCCTATTTATATAGAAAATTAACATGTTTTATCCTTAAAAAATAACTTGGTGGTATTTTCATAAATAGCTTCTGCAAGTTCGTTGATGTCTTCATTTCGTATTGCCGCTAAAATTTCCAAAACTTGTCTGTAAGAAAATAATATTAAAAAACTAAAGTATTATTTCCCAATAGTCAAAGTACATATATGTAAATGTACATACATTGAAATATAGGGGTTAATGAGTTGAAAGCTAAAGTGAAGCCAATTTGAATAAGCAACTAAAGCAATAATTTAATAAATTTAAACAAAACGTAAGTTACATACACAATATTTACAGGTTCATTTCTCCCTTTCACAAGACTATCATTTTCCAGAGTCAACTTTTCTTTTTTAACTGTTGGTCGTTTTGTAACTACATGTTTGTGTCCTGGGTGTGTTGGTTTAACTTCACACCAAGGGCTGTCGGTTTCAATAAGTAACTTATCTTGTGGTATCTTTGCAACAACTTCTAGATTTTCTTCTGTTCTTAATGAGCTGAAAAAGAGCTATATTAATACTTTTTAAGGATAAGTAAAAATTTAGCAAAATGATGCTATGTCTAAGTTCAAAGAAAACTTAAGCTACAGGCATTAAATAAATAAATAAATCAGTGGCACTATAACCTTTTTAGATTTGGCCCTCAGGTTTCTGTATCTGTTTAATGATCATTTGCCAATCTTATAGGCAAGTAGGTGATCGGTCTCTTGTGCCTGACACAAGTTGGGGACATTTTGGATCTAAGGCAAGCCCGTTTCCTCACGATGTTTTCCTTAAGAGTCATACACTGAAGGCACTAGATTAACACTGTTCAGCAGGCAAGGCAAGCTACAGATAAAAAGAGCTCGAAGAGAAAATCAACATATTAAAAATGTATATTATTCTAAAAAAATTGGTCTCATTGTATCGGATTATAACATTACTTACCATCCATTTATACCTATGTGCAAATTTAATTCTAAAATCTTTTGAAGGGCATTATAGGAGCCATCAAAGGAATGAACAACTCCACCAGTAATACTATCCCGATGTTTCTCTAAAATCGATACCAAATCATCAGCAGCCTCTCTGCAGTGCAGAAACAGTGGCAATTTGTGATTATGACATAACTGCAATTGTAATTCAAAATATCTAAAACAAAAATTATAACACTTAACCATGGTGGCAGTGGGATGGAGAAATCTACCGATCTTCATTAAAGTGTAAATCTCTTCGGAAATATTTCGGTTTAGTTTTGTGTCTCATGATGGGAATTGAACGAATTTCAGACAAATTACTATGCTATTAATATATGAAATCATTTTTTTTTTAATTTTCTCACATATGTTAGGGTAAAAGGCAATAATGGCTCTAAGTACAATTCCATAAGCAGGAATTGTAAAGTACCTACTTGAGTTGAACATCCTTTTGACAAAAATTTAGTCTCTCATAGTCCAGGCCAAATTCTCCAATAGCAACAACTTTGTCTTTGTTGTCCAATATTAAGTCACTAAGATCACTGAGGTATGTTTCAGGACTATCACTAAGAAATTCATCACATCTAGTTGGATGACATCCTACAGTAGAAAACAATCTTGCTGAAATTTATATAAGAAAATAATTACAATAATTACATGGCCATACGAAAAAGAGTACCAAACCACCCTTTTCTATTAAGTTGCTAAGTAAGACCCTCCGCACATGGACAATGTCAGAAGACTCATAGCTAGCAATGTACTTAATGTACATTAAGAACATTGCAAGCCTGAAATTGTACGCTACTTCTAGAAGTCTTTATTAGTTTGGAAATACATTTTCGGTTGGTGGACTTACATTTGCTCGAACGGTGAAGGCAAACGTCGTGAGGTCCGACATGTCTTAGGCCCAAAAAGTCGACGGCGTGTGTCAGGCACTAGAGGCTGATCACTTACTTGCCTATTAGAATGAAGAATAGAAATGATCATCAAACTGATTCAGAAATCTGAGGCCCAGACCTAAAGAGGTTGCAGCGCCACCGATTTTTTTTTCATAATTTCAAATAATAAATTTAAAGTATATTTGAAAACTACTTTAGTGTTTTAAGTCATATAAAATTTACCATTTCAAAATACTTACAATCTGTACGTGCCAGTTGTAAAGCCTCTTTACTTTCTGACAGGCTTCCTCCAGTAATAATAATTTTATTGAGACCCCCTGACCATGCACGGTCTAAGACCTTGTGTAAATCTGGGTCATGTTTCCTAGAACCGTGATAGATTCCTCGGTACATACCGTCAGTTAAGTTTGCTCCAATATCTTAAAAAAATAATGAGTACTAGGTACTTGATAATTTTATGATAAGGTTAGTTTCTTTACCATTTTTTACAATGGTACTTTTACCTATATATTTTTTTAAATTTGCCATATTCCTTATTGATATTTGCAATTATAAGCCGATTTATTTCACAAATATTTATCATCTAAATCCATCATGACATCCTACATCAATTTATATGATCTGGGGCCTTAGTCAAGATGCCTTAACAGTAGTGTATGTAGAACGTCAAAAACTAAATTTGTATGAAAACTTTTCGACACGAACTGTCATTTCCATACAAATTAAGTTTTCGACTTTCTACATACACTACTGTTAAGGCATCTTGACTAAGGCCCCAGGGTGCAGAGTAGTGTTGCGCACCTCATACATGAGGCACCTCAAATGTCACACTCAAAGTTGTCAAATGTCGCATCACCTCAAACACACATTTTGTACCGCTTCAAACTCGTTGAGGTATTTCAAACGCGGGCTAGGCGCTGAAAGTGATTGAGGCGGTGAGTCGTATGTCATTAATGAGTGAACGGTTGAGATGAATTGTTTTGTCTTATTCTCCCATCCCATGTAGGACAATGACAATAATTAAAAATTGTGTCTGATGAGCAACTGATTAAATCGATATTATTGAATGAGTGACAGTGACTGTTCACTGTGACATATTATTGTAATTGGTTTTTGTTTGCATAAATAACTTATTTATTTATTGAAGTTATAATTCTTTAGGCGCGTTATGAAAAATTTATGAGAGTGAAATTTTACGATGCGCGCGCACCGTGACACAAAATTAACAGAATGAAGTTGCCCACGGAAGATGCTACGGCATTGGACATAATTTTAAAACAACATTCGAATAATAATATCATTTATGTTATACTTAATGTAAGAGAATTATAATAAATATTTATTTATTTCATTTTTCAAATGTAAACTGAACTTTTAATTGTAATTAATTATTTGCATGCAATCAAAAACTATTTTTAATAATGCCAAAGAAGTATAACTTCTTACGCGCGTACATAAGTACACGCCCCCTTTTTTTATGGTCGAAAGACCTGCGCCATGGAGATAATGGGTTCGTACATAAAGGGACTAACAGTACAGAACAGAATCCTCAAATGAAGTGGTACAATGTATTAACTCATTTTATAGAATGAGGTGGGACATACAAACACTTCAATTTCGTTTGTCCTACCCATCACTAGTGCAGAGGACTGAGGACTTTACGTATACGGTATAATGTGTGTACTATGTAGAAATTGTAGAATTTAGAAAGTCGAAAAGTAAATTTGTATGATAATGACAATCTGTGACAGGGCTGCCAGGTGAAAAAAACGCATGATCGTACACCAACTACAAAAAAATCGTACACCAAGGGAATTTTGAAATGAAAAGATCGTACAACATAAAAGTGGAAAGTTTTTACTTAAAATGAGTGGCTGCCTTTGCCTTGAAGAGTGTAACTTTAAAACTTCATATTCTGAAACCATTTAGACGTCATAAACAGTCAGCCAGGCGGCTTTAAAATTGTTTTTACCGGGCCCTAACCGGTCCGTAAATAAATCAAATTTTTCTCACGACCCGGACGATACTTCTGTGCTCTGTGTTTGTTCCTCTATGACCTGTGTTGTAGAAAGCTCTCCTCTTTTGGATTCTTTTTTAAAGTACATGGCACAGGTCGCTCTTCTTCATTTTCACTACCCATTCTTGCTTAAGCGTATTGAAGTAACACAAAAAGCACTAAAGACAATATGCAGATCAAAAGAGGATAATATAATCACTTAGAGCTAGAGACTGATGAGAAAAACAGGTTTTTGAATATTCCGATACAAGTCTTTACAAGAGAAAAATAATAAGTTTTGTAACAATGCACACAATTAATACAGACTTCATATAAAAAAAGGGTCTTTAGAGTTTAAACGTAAAAGGTCTAGGCATACGTTAGGTTGTTGGGGAATTCCCTTATATACTTGCCGGTTGAGTATAATATATTCGTTTCATTACGAAATGTTGCCAGGTACAGAAAAATCGTACATTTTCTGTACGATTCTACGCATGCCTGTATACGTCCCATAGCGGAAATACCGAAACCGACCGACTCATTGAGCACATCCAAATGGCTACAGATTCCCTGCTCGAAAGGGTTCCTACCGCTGAAATCGTGATACTTGGCGATTTCAACGCCCACCATGCCGATTGGCTCGGCTCAGAAACCACCGATCATGCGGGAAGATCCTTTCACGACTTTCCTTTGGCTTACGACTTGACGCAAATGGTCCCTGCGATTACGCGAATACCAGATGTGGATGGTCATAAACCCTCTTTGTTGGACCTTCTGCTGACTTCACATCCGGAGAACTACCAAGTCTCTGTTGAACCGCCATTGGGTTCATCAGATCATTGTGTGGTCCGGAGCATTGTGCCGTTCACGCGCCCTCTACGGCCTAGCTACACGGGCTGTCGCCACGTATGGCACTATAAGTCAGCAGATTGGGATGGGATGCGGTCTTTTTTGCGTCCTACCCTTGGGGGCCCATTTGCTTTTCGTCGAGTACTCCTGATGCCGTCGCTGACTCTGTCGCCGAGGTGGTCCTGCAGGGTATGGAACTTTTTATTCCATTCTCTGCGGTGCCGGTCCGCGAAAGAGAAGGCCGATCTTCTAGGCTGTCTCTTTGCGTCGAACTCCACTTTGGATGATCAAGGGAAGGAACCACCGACATTATTGCGGTGTGATACTACGATGCCCGAAGTTATATTCCGGCAACGCGCTATCCGTAAAGCTTTGTTTTCCTTGGACATCCATAAGTCGAGCGGGCCTGATGGCATCCCCCCAATTGTGCTGTGTACTTGTGCTCCTGGCTTCGGTCCTAAAGCGCCTTTTCCGGTACCTTTACACGCTCGGCACTGTTCCGAAGTGCTGGAAGATCGCTTCGATACATTCGATCCCTAAAAAAGGCGATACCTACTTGTTCTCCAAAATAATGGGAACCATTATTAACAGCCAGCTCTTGAGGTATCTAGAGGGCCACCAGCTGATTAGCGATTCTCAGTACGGCTTTCGTCGTGGTCGCTCGGCTGGTGACCTCCTTGTATACCTTACACATAGGTGGGCAGAGGCAATTGAGTCCAAGGGGAAGGCGCTGGCGGTAAGTTTGGTACATAGCGAAAGCCTTCGATCGGGTGTGGCACAGAGCACTGCTCTCGAAGCTTCCAGCCTATGAGCTCCCTGAGAAATTATGCAACTGGATTTCCAGCTTTCTCGCTGATCGGAGCATCAAAGTCGTCATCGACGGAGCATGCTCCGACCTGAAACCTGTGAATGCTGGTGTCCCACAAGGCTGTGTCCTATCCCCGACCCTGTTTATTCTGCATATCAATGATATGTTGTAGCTTAGCAACATTCATTGCTATGCGGACGACAGCACTGGGGATACTTTTTACACTGGCCGGGCAGGTATTTCTCGGGCTGTTGTTGAAGTCGAATTAACTGCCCATACACATTCTTCTGTTCCTTCTGTTCCATGCTCTTGCGCTACATTGAAGAGAGGTTGTACGGTTAAGTATCTTGGCATCACACTAGATAGTCGACTCACGTTTCAGGCCCATCTTATGAATATGTGTGGTAGAGTCCGCAAACTCATGTTTATCTTTAAGAAAATTCGTCATGTTGCCGAGCCTCATATAGTCAGAATGATGTATTTAGCATTATGTCAATCTGTTTTATTATATGCTATCACCACTTGGGGTGGTGCAGCCAAAACCCATCTGCTGTCCCTGGAACGTGCCCAGAGGGCTCTTCTAAAAGTTTGCTTATTCAAACCCATTCTTTTCCCTACTTTCACCCTCTATCAGGAAGCTCAGATGCTTACAGTACGTCAACTGTTCATCCTAAACACAGCCCTCAAACAGCATCACGAACATAAACCTAGTCCTTCTTCCTCTCGATCTGCTCGCCGCCCACCCCCTGTTCACCTTCCTTCTCTCTACACTGCCTTTTCCCACCGCTTCTACTGTTACCTCGGCCCTTTTATTTACAACAAACTAATTCGCAAGCTGAATATTCACTTACTCTTATCCTTCAGTTGTAAAAAAGAAGGTTACTGCCTACATACAGGGTCTCAACTATGATGAGACTGAAAACTTAATCCAACCAATGGTCTAACTTACAATTTATAGCTTATTTTTGATTTACTATTTATTTTTTATACTTATTTATGTACTGTTATCTATTTATCTAAGTACTAATATATATATATTTATCTAAGTACTAATATATATATATATATAATAATATATATAATAATTAGCACGGATGTTATATCGGCGCGATTGCACACCTACATATTTTAATTAGGTACCTCTTTTCTCCATGTTACATCTGTAAAATGTCCTTATTAATAATTTACTCTTGTTACTGGCTACTTTTTTACACCATGTGGGGAGAGGCTGGTGGTCTGAGATACAAGCCCTGCTTAGTTCAGTCACCAGTCTCTCACAATCTTATAATGTTTCCTTGCGACAATATATCTGTTTCTTAATATTTAGTTAATTTCAATGTAAGATTGTGGAGAAAAATAAAGATTTTTCTTTTTCTTTCTTTTCGAAACTCTTCTACGTGGAGTCTCGGACTGGGGTAGACTAAATCTAGTCCAATTTAACCCCAAGAAGACACAAGTTTGTGCGTTTTCCGCTAAAAAAACTCCTTTTGTCGCTACTCCCCTCTTTGAAGACACTCTCCTTAAAGCCTCAGCTAGCATCGGAATACTGGGCGTTGACATATCGAATAACGTTCAGTTTCGCGGTCATCTGGAAGGAAAGGCTAAATTAGCCTCCAAAAAGCTTGGTGTGCTCAGCAAGGCGAGACGGTACTTCACTCCGGGCCACCGCTTGCAACTATATAAAGCGCAAATTCGGCCCAACATGGAGTACTGCTCTCACCTCTGGGCGGGAGCTCCCCAGTACCAGCTCCTTCCACTTGACCGTATTCAACAAAGAGCGGTTCGAATCGTCGACAACCAGTCACTTTCCGTGCGGCTTGATCCCTTGGCGTTGCGTAGAGATGTGGGATATCTCTGCATCTTCTACCGCATTTACCATGGAGAGTGTTCAGAGGAGTTGTTCGGTCTAATACCTGCAGCTGAGTTTCATCATCGGACGTCAAGGCAAAATACAAAATACCATCCGTATCACCTCGACGTCCGTCGTTCCACAACAGAGCGTTTTCTAAGGCAGTTTTTGCCGCGCACCACCACTATGTAGAACCAGCTGCCCACAGAAGTATTTCCGAACCAATTCGACTTAGGGTCCTTCAATAAAAGAGCGTACCAATTCTTGAAAGGCCGGCAACGCACTTGCGAGCCTTCTGGCATTGTGAGTTCCATGGGCGGCGGTATCACTTAACATCAGGTGAGCCTCCTGCCCGTTTGCCTCCTAATTCATAGAAAAAAAAAAAGATCTTGGTCTAGCGATCGTACATGAGTAAAAACGACAAAAAATCGTACAAGTACGATTTAAATCGTACATCTGGTCTACAACAATAAATTTAGGGGTACATGACGTTAGTTTTAGGGGGAAAATTCGGAAGGAGTTGGCATTACTGCACTGGTGAGTGGTGTCAACTGTCAATTCACAATTGTCAAATGAACACATGAATAACAGTCAAATGTCAACACAGTGAACACAAGTTAAGCTATTACTTATTAGTAGTTTGCAGTTTTAGGTTATAAACTAAAAATATAATAAATAAACTCACCGTGGCCTTGTGAAATTAATGCCACTTTATTTTACAAGTAAATAAATTATCTTAATTTTTATTTGTCATTTAGTGTTTTTAAAATTATTTTTGTAAGTTACAATGGATTCAAATTTTCGTATTTTTGTTGGAAATCTACCTGAAAATAGTTCCGAGAAGGACTTAGCAGCAAAATTTTCCTCCTTTGGAGATATAGTAAATATTGATATTAAATGTAAACCTGACGCTGAACCTGATAAAAAGAAATTTGCCTTTGTCACATTATGTACATCAGAATACAATATAGAAGCATGTAAGTAATTTATTTCTTTTATGAATTTCTTGTTATTTATTTGGTTATTTCATACAAAAATTTATTATTTCTCCTCTGAATTGACAAACATTGTTCAAATTAGTTATTTGATTTGCAGGCTTAAAACATTTTTCAAATGAATTGTTTTTGGGAAGGCAATTATATGTTACTAGAGCTCGTGAGAGTTTTTTGGAGAGGCTCCAAAGGGAACGTGAACAAGCTCAGCAAAAGGACACACCAAAGGTTGTTTAAACATGATAAATGAAATAGAGCTCTTTATGATAAAACAACATACATTCCCTTATCAATACTATACTTAATAATATATGTGTATCTTTTACAGCTTCTTGAAAGTAACTTTAGTACAAAGAAAAGCTTTGAAGTTTCTAGAAATAATAAAAGAAAGTTTATTAATGATAATGATTTTGAAGATAAAACTGATGGAAATTGTCATACAGGTTCTAACTCGGAACCTCAACCTAAAACAAAGAACTACAATGACAATTCAAGAAATGTTGATGTTAAAACGTCTCAATTTGATAAAAAACAAGAATCTGAAGCTAAACGATTGGAGTCTATGAAAAGAAAGAGACAAGAGTTCAAAGAAAAGAAAATGATGATCAAAACTGGATTAATTGGCATTGTAAGTACTTAATAAAACTTACCCTTATTATATATAAAACATGGACATAAATACTATTTTTGTTTTCATGTGAAATAATCTTAAATATTAAGAAATTTAAATATTGAGTTCTTTGTAAATCATCTGCACCATTAGCTATAGCTTTTTAACATATTGACTATTTATCTATTATTCTTTATATATAACTAAAACTTCTATCAATTGGATAATTTTTATTCTAAATTTTTTTTTTAGGATAAACCTACCAATAAAAAAATATTTTTTTCTGATAATGAAGATGTTTCTGAAACAACAAACAGTAAAAGAAAACCAGACTTGTTTGAAGGAGATGGCAGTGGTGATGAAATTAACTTTGAAATAAAAGAACAATTCGAAGGAAGAAAGGGACAAAAGGTATAGAAAATTAGTTCAATTTATTAAGTGTTTCTTTCACTTACTACTGAACAATGAAAAATTATTTAATAATAATAATCTTAAGCAAGGTATTAAGATTTCAGCTTACAAGGTGTCGTTTGAAATTATTTATTCATTTTTTCAAATTCTTGTAGGTTTTAGATCTGCAATCGAAGTACAAAACTGATAAGCGGTTTGTCTTAGATGAAAGATTTGCCGAAGAGTCAAACGAGGAAGATGACAACATTGAGAACATTGAATTAAATCAGGCAGATGAAAAGGCCACACAACTTAATATCCTGCAGAATGTTTTAGGTGTACCAATTAAAACTAGGCAACATGACCCTTCAAATAAAGTCAAGTATGTTTTTTTTAGGTTCTTTTAGTTAAAAATAGAACTTGTTTCCTAATTTTTGAATATTATAATAACACATTCCCGTAACATATCCGAACCATATCTGGAATATTATATGTTGGCAAATATATAGTTAAGTATATTTCGTACTGCTAAATTAGAATATTTATTTCATTTACCAAAAGCTATATATATAACATAATGCTACAACCACATTAACACTGATGAAACCATGGGTCACAGCTAGTATTATACAAAATACATAATGCCTGTATTACAGGGCAAAAATTGGTATGCTGCGATTTGATCCTTTACAACCTGAGCATGCAAAATTTCTTGCACCAATTGAACCAAAGCAAGAGAATAAGAAATCTAAAAAGAAAAAATTGAAGGACAATGAGTTACAAGAGCCGGAGCCGGTACCAATGGAAATTGAAAAAGTTGAAGTCTCAAAGGAACAATTTTATGAAGTTAGTGATGTTTTAAAAGAAAGTATCACACAACCAACAGCATTTAGTTTACGTAGTTTATTTTCAAAAGGAGAAAATAATGACGAAGGTAGGTTTTAATTTAATATTTATATGCTGTCTGTCTTAAAAGGATTTGTTATTATAACAATAGCTTTATAATTAATGTTTCTCTTTGCAACCATGTGTTCAGAAAAGGCATTAGGAAATATTCACTATGTATCAAATTGGGAGCTATACTTTATTTTTTAAGATAATGTTTTCTTTTGCTTTGCAGAACCACAAGTTCAAGAAAAACAAAGTATACAAATTGAGAAAAAGATGGATAAGAAAGTAAAGAATCCATTGGACCCAGGTGAAAAAAATCCATTTGTATATGATTCATCAGATTCTGAGGATGAAGAAACTAAAATTCAGGAACCAGTTCAAACAGAAAAATCTGAAGTAAAAGCTGTATGGAGAGAAAACTTGTTTTTCACAAAGTTTGATAATAGACTAAAAGGTAAGTTGGAAAGATGATTAAAGTAGTAGCAATTTACTAAAACTAATTAAATAAAGAGACTTGTTTAGAAGGCATCACATTAATTTTAGTTGATAATGTTTCTATAACAAAACAGTTATGATTCCTCCATCATAGCATTACTGTTACCTGTTTCAGATGGATTAGAATTTTTTAACACATCAATTGAAGGTTCAATTCATAAAGAGAGACGACAATTGAAATCTGTTATGAAGAAGAGACTTTATAACAAGGAGCGTAAGAATAAAATGTTCCAAAAGAAAATCGGAGGTAGAAAAAAGACAATGAAAAAGACTTATAGAAAAATCTAAATTCAGGGTCATTAATAAATGAAATAAATCATTTTTAATTGTGTTTTATTACAATTTGTTTTGATCTCCCAACAATTGTTGTACAAAATAATTACATACAACTTGTTACAGACTGCCAGCTAACTAATTGAAATTAAAGTTGGAACAAATACTGTTTATATTTGTAGTTAAAAGAAAATTATCTATTTTCTACATAGCATATTATGAAACTATCTCCTCTTCCATGTAGGCTTCTTCCTAGCACCGGGTTGACCTGGCTTCTTTCTTTCTCTTCTACGATGATCTCTGGTAAGCAAACCAGCAACTTGCATTGATTCAAGCATACTTTTATCAACAAAACTACGTAGGCCCCAAGCTATGCCCCATCTTATTGCCCCAGCTTGCCCTGAAGGACCTCCACCTTCGATGTTGCACTCCACATCCACACTATTCTGAAGGCCAGTAAATATTAAGGGGAATATTACTTGCTCTCTTGACTGTATGTCTTCAAAGTAGGTTATGTCTTTACCATTAATTATAATTTTTCCTGTTCCAGGAGAGTGAATGGTTACATCCCCTCTTGCTTTCTTCCTTAAACATTCATATGTTGTAATATATGCTCTACCTTCTTCATCAAAACTGGGCTTAGGTATCTCTAATGCAAATTTCTGAGAGGCAAGTGGCTTCCTATAGTTCTCAATGAAATCAATGCATTTGTAAGAATATGGTGTAGAAACTAACCTCTCCATGACTAACTTAAAATTATCATATTCCAGATCTGAAATTGTTTCTACAAGCATTATTTCTAATTGATCTTTGGAAACCCAAACACTTGATGATAGTTCTAGTTTACTATTTTGGTCTGGGGTGGCTTTGTTTCTTATTACTTTCTCTTCAAATTTATACAAGTTTTGTAGATGTTCTGCAGCATCATAAAGTAATTTAAAAAAGTTTGGCTTTCCAGTATAAAATAGGAAATGATGAGGTCGCCCAGCTTCATCAAACTCAGCCGCTTTTCTAGCTGGAAAAACTTCTTCAGGTGGCTTCATTAACGGTCTGGCTGCTGGATCGTAAATACCACTAGGGAACAAATATTCAATTGCTCTATCTACATCTCTTTGTGTAAATGTTTCGGGATCTTCACCCATCATATTAGCTAGATGCCTCTTACCGATGTTGTACTCAATTTGTTGCTTTTTCATGAAATCATCATGTTCTCTTGCTCGTTCCAAATAAGCCTTCATAGGTTTGCTAATAGATTTCTTCTTATTCAAAGTTTCCCAATCAGTAAATTGTTCGTAAATATTATGTGCATTTGTTGTATTCTTGTGACTGCTGCTATATTGTCGCGCATTTTTATTATAAACTGAGTTAAGAAAGGAAGAAAAATATTTTGATACAGGCATAACCTGTTTTAGTGTAAATTTTATAACGTTCGACATTATATAGTTTGGAATTACAGCTTTTTATAATAAACGATAAAGTTTTACATATCATAAACCACAATTGAAGTGATGAATAAATAGTAAATATTTAGTTTTACATTTTAGTTAAAGTTAAAATGTGTTCGGTCTATAGAGCACAGATTACTTATTTGGTAATACTTTGCTTTATTCATCTGTGGATATAAGTATTGAGTTATGACCACAGAGTACATTATATATAGGATAATATGTTATTACCTATATAATAAGCACCGTGATCCAACTCCTACAAAATATTCCGATCTACTAAAAACCCCAAAATTGTTTATTCTACACTCGCGCTCGGTTTGAGAGGTAATTTCTTTTATAATCTAAAAAATACCACAGTCAAGTAATATACCTATAATAGCTGTTGTAATTATGCGGGTGCATTTCACACATTTACTTACATAAATTTAATGACCTGTGTGTTATATTTTTTTACTTTTTTTCCTTTAGATGTAGTATTTCTTAATTTTTCTTAGCATATGTTTTTTGCTTGTTTGCAAAATAAAGGCTCAGCACTTTGTAGATACTTTTCTATAATATATCTGCGGGGGTTAATTAAATGGCCAAGTAATGTATATATCCCTAACTAAATGTATCTACTACCTACGTACTTGATTGCCGATCTCATTATGCGATGCCTAAAGATGAAGTACAGAAGTGCTGTACATACTAGACTATAAAGCTATTAGAAAATCTAAATAGAAAGACATTATTGCCAACAAATGTAAAAGGGATATAAATCTGTAATTTGTATTTCTACACGTTTTAAGAACTTTTCATGGTATGAATAGTGACCTAAGACAACTCTTAAGTAATGAATCAATGATTAATGCATATTTTTTGGTATTCCTAGTTTTCTATTTTCTTGTCTTTTTTTAAAGAATCAATAATCAATATAACATTACTTTATCTCCTTTTTCGAATTAGGATAGGGTTAGACAGAGAAATAAACAATTTTCCTACGTTTGCTATTTTATCGCAGATTCTATGATATTATTATGTGATTGGCCTAAAGGTCTAGATACCAGGCCATAAACTCCAAAAAAAAAAAAATTATGTGACATTTGGATTCTTGACAATCAATTGACATTTCATATTTGATTTTTGAGACTTCCTGTTAAAAAAATGCCTATTTTCTGTTTTATGACTTGAGAAGTTTAAATTTTTATTCTGTTATAATTTCTTGTAAATCTTTTATTTAATAATAATACAATTTATACGTAAGACAAAGGGGTATGGTCTACAGACTTTAGCCTGGCCGGAAGGCGAATAATACAAATAAAAAATATTAATAATATACATTACATTATATTATTATATTTTGATCGGCGGTTTTAATTTTTCTTGATGCTGACTTTGTGTCATAATTACTTTTGCGTTTCGAATAGTAATAAAACCAGCAAAAATGAGGGACAAGTATTTAGTCGAAGAAAATATGCATTTGGTATTTTTATTCTATTACTGGTTGCTGTTTTATGGGTAATTTCTTCGGAATTAACTAAGGTAAACATAGGTTTGGTAATTAGGTTGTTTTATAATTTACTACTTTTATATACTATTTCTAAATACTTTTCTCTATATTTTAGTACATATATATTGAGAAGAAATTGGAAAGACCTTTTCTTGTGACCTATGTGAGAAGTTCGTTATTATTTATATACCTCTTAGTACTGTGTTTTACTCCACCTACAAAGGATCCATGCCAACCAGCTGAATACACAGTAAGTTAACGAAATTATGGGCTTGACTTTGTAAGTAGTCTTACAGTGACCACCTGTTTCACTGACAAGATCAGTACAAGTTTTACTGTCTCCATAAATACTTATAATATGTTTTTTTTATATTGTAGCAACTGACAGAAGCAGTAAATGAAACCGACGATGAGTATAGTGAGGCCACAAATAGTTTGGTATGTAGAGTTTTTATCATGACAAGTAATTGCTAACAGTAATGAATTAAAAAATATAATTTGTACTATAAAAATATTATTGTGTTATATTAGAAGTGAGCTGTTAAGGTACATTTTATTAAATAAAAAATGTTACTATTAAGTGCTTACAAACTTACATTATCGGTTTATAAGATAGTTCTTTAAAGACACTACATTAGTCAATTTAAATAAAAGACATTAGTATGTTATATATAGTATAGTCTAACAACAGTTTATTAGCTTAGATTGCCTAGATTACAGTGGATTTAAAGTGAAATATTGTTTTCATCCTATAACCAGGGTGACTCAACATTTGTACCAGTCCGTGCAGGAGAAACAACAGATAGTGATGATGTAACCCCAAGAGCCGTCAGATTCAACAAAGTAGCTGAGGTATTTACAGGCTTTAGTGGCTAAGTGGTGAATACTCCGAAACCTAGGATGGTTCCATTTCTGGTGAAACAATAATTCCTATGGCTTAGTACGCATAAAAAATCATATTTTAATCACAGACATGTCTATGCCCTATTCTCGTTAGAGATTTGAATTCCCTGTAATGCTACAAATCTTATAGAAGTCATCGTCATTCTTATAAAAGCAGATTCTACACTTCTTTCATCTGCAAAGAATGACAATTAGGGTTGCCACCCATACTTTATAATAAAGTATTGTATGCTATTTCAGGTTATTGGACGCTATACAATATGAGAACAATAAAGTACACGAAAATATTTTATTTCGCATGATGTGATTTCTTTAGTCGTAAATATTCAAAAAATATTTTTAAAAATTTATTAATTACGTAAATTCGTTAATCGGAATTTATCGGTTGGCGCTCAATCGATGTTGCCACTCGCCAACGCAACACTGTCACAAAACTTCAGGGCTTGGTATATAATAAATACAATACTTATAAAAAATATATGATTGTAGTTTACTTTGACACTATGTACTTTATTTTTCTTGTGTATGTGTACCAATCTACTTTAATTGAAAAAAAAGGTGGCAACCAACTCGACTTCGTAAAATCATGAATTTATCAATGACAGGTGCGAGTCATGTCAGCCGCGATGGCCGGTGAGGCTTTACTCGCCCGTCTCTCGTGGTCGGCTTCACTCCGCGCCTCTGAGTTTGCCCAAAGACGTGCCGCGGCAGCAGCCACTCGAAGACATATACGTCTCGCACTTATATTTACTATACCTGTAAGTTTTATCTATCTATGTTTAAAGCAGTGATATTAGGATTTGAAAATTGAAGAACCTTTTTCCCTCCAATTAGCATTTTTTATTATCTTTGCGGTAAATGTTATAAATAAGATTTGGACTGAGCAGTGTTGCCCTAGTGGCTTCAGCGTGCGACTCTCATATCTTAGATTCGTAGGTTCAATCCCCGGATGTGCACCATTGGACTTTCTGTCTATGTGCGCATTTAATATTCGGCTTGCCTTAGACCCAAAAAGTCGACGGCGTGTGTCAGGCGCAGGAAGCTGATACCCTTCTTGCCTTTTAGAATTAGATTTATGAAACAGATACTTAAATCTGAGGCCCTGACCTAAAAAGTTTCTAGAGCCAGTTTTTATAAGTTATCGCGTTGATAATTTTATGTAAATCATATTTGGTTGAATTGTTATTAATTTATAAAAAAAGGAACATTAGCAACTATTTATTTAAATATAACGAATGTGAGACATAGTATCAGCTATATTTAATAAGCACAGTTGCTTGTTATATAAGACACAATTAAGACACTGGATTCGAGCAAAACCCAGCATTTCTTATTCCAATGAAAAAAATGGTTGTCTGTAAAGTCGGTTAACGGACGATAGCTTAACCTTACAGCGTCATAACATAACATTGATGAAGTGATTGCATACTTTTATGAATAAAATTGAATAATTTTTATTGAATTATCACTATTGTATGGATACAATGATCGAGTGAATCCTCGGACGCATAAGCCAATCGACTAGGAGAGAGATAGATGCGGCGTAAGCGTACAATGAGCGTAACGGGACAATGAGTCTTTTTCGTGCGTGCCGCCGACACGTTATCGATTAATGAGACGTTGTCACGTCAAAAAACATGCTGTATTTTTATTTACAGCAATATTCTTTCGTTTATCCCTTTCTATCGAACTATAAAAAGCCTTTATTATAGCTATGTTGATATGTTTAGCTTATATGCTAAAGTAAATGGGCCTAAAGTAATATATATTATACTTATTACGTATCGGCAAACGATTGTTTATTTATTTACAGCTTGTTCTTCGAGAAAGGCCGCCTCCAAATTTTCCAATCGTGGCGTTCTCTAGTGGTTCGATTCCACATTGGACCTGCTACCTGTTTTGTATTATCCCCCATCTTATCGCCTGACTTTCGTTTTCCACTTCTTGGGTACCACTCCGTTACAATTCTGTTCCATGGATGCTTCTTTCGCATATGACCCGACCATCTCTACTTTAGTTTTCGGTATGTGATGTATGCATCCAACTATAACTTTGCCTTTTTTTTCAGTGGTTCATATCAAATTATCTATATCGGCTTAGCTTGCTCCATACGTCGACTTGTTCCGCAACAATTTACACGTCAACAACAAGTGCATTTGCGCTATCACTCGGCGCTTTATTCGCTCAAGCACCAACCGACAGATTTAGCTTCTCGAAATTCTTCTCGGTTTTACTCACCGCAGGTGGAATGGTAAGTGTTGGATAACATAAATATCTTCTAAATTTTTATAGGATGTTAAAAGTTTGACCTGTATGCATATGATATTGGAATCCGATATTCGTGTCTTTTTAGGATTCTAAGCACGTGTCTTGATGTAGTGTGTGTTTGTTTATGTTTTACAGAAACTAAAAGGTTTTGATTTTATATATATAAATGTATATTTCAACCTTCAACAAATATCATAGAAATCGGTTAAATAGTTTATGGGTTATGGGAGGATACACATTTCTGCTAGGAACATGTATAATGTAAAATTTAAAAAAAAAGTTATATGTAATAGTGTTAGTTCATTTTATAATGTCTAAGGCACCTCCCTCAGTAAAATAGAGTATTTTGCAAAGAAAGTATTGATCTCTGTCTCATTCCCTACTCACTCTTTATATAAAGAAACTAGCTGACCCGGCAAACGTTTTGTTTTGCCATGTATGTATATTATTTCCAGGAAATACTTTTTAGTTCAATAAAAATCACAAATACAATAATAAAAAATAGGGCTTGATCGTAGAGGGGTGAAAATTAGGGGTTGTATGTATTTGTATGCTGTATCATTAAAAGTAAAAACAAAAAGTTTTGTCTAAAAAATAAAAATTTTGGGGTGGGATCACCCTTAACATTTAGGGGGAAGAAAAAATTTGCCCTATTCTCAGACTTACTGAATTTGCATGAAAAATTTCATAAAAATCGGTCGAGCTGTTTCGGAGGAGTATGGGAACGAACATTGTGACACGAGAATTTTACATATTAGATATTAAAACTTGATCCTATCCATAATAACAATGTTTTAATTTTGAAGTATTTAATAATACGTAAATTATCACTAGGTTGATTAAATATACAAAAATATGTGTTTATTTCAAGGTGGTGTTAGTTTTATCGGAAAGCAATGAGAGTAATTGGACTGCGGTGTTATCGGCTCTTGGCTCTGCACTTTGTTACGCAGTGCATTTGCTATTGTTTCGACGGGAGTTAAGGAAAGGGGATGGAATTAATTGTTTCTTACTTGTTGGTAAGTAAAATTTGTAGTTATCTTTGAAGTGAAACTTCTATAGGCGCTTGAGGGTAAATTTTTTACGGAACTTCACGAAGATGTGCAACGTTTATGTCGAAGAAAAGGGAGAGAGCGATTGAGAGAGAGTGAGAAGGGCGAATAACCTTATAGAAATATTTTTTTTTATATTTCATGCAAAATTATTGAAATCTCAAAGGACGAAAAACATTTTAATATAAAATGCAAATTTTTCATAGTCTTCATACGAAATTTTAATTTTAAAAATAGAATTGCGTATATTTTTAAATTTGTATATATATAATATACAGTCAAAACCGTTTATAACGACATCGTGTCTCCCTAGCAACGACCTATCGGTTATTACAACCAGATGTGTATGGTCCCGTCCGAATCCCTAGTAAACTATTCAGTAAACAAACCGCTTATAACAACATCGGAAACTGCGACAGTATCGCTTGCAACGACGGAATTTTATCGATATTCATCGGCTATAACGACTAACCGCTTTTGTTTCAGCAAAACAAAACAATACAAACGTTTTAAATCTTATTTATAAGGGAGTTGAATGAATATTAGGCATGGTATTACCTACGCACTTTCTCCCGCCTCATCCGAACCTCTTCCCGGCAATTTGACCTTGCATACTTTACACATGTTTAGTTCGCTAATTGACTGCGTGAGTAACAGTTTGATTTAAAAGTGTTGGTGTTGTTTAGACTGTGCAATTGTGCATTTATGTGTATCTGTCGCAAAGAGAAAAGTGTTTTCTATTAAATAAAAATCTCATGTCATATGGAAAAATGCAAAAATATTTGAGACTGGGCTAAAAAAAGAGACCAAATGGCGATTACTTTTGTAGAATTATTTTAATATATTTTTTTCTTTTTTGACTCCTTTACATATTATAATATTAAATACCATATATAACCCATACCTACCTTTTCTAGATAGATAATATATAATATAACTATAGTACATACATATGAACTGTATTTTGATATGACATTGCTTATAACGACTATCGGATATAACGTCGGCAACTATACGGTCCCTTCAATGTCGTTATAAACGGTTTTGACTGTATTCACAAATAATCATATACATTATCATCTGTTGGAGCTTTTACCTTAGTAATAATTAATTCACAAAGAAGTTTCACTTCTGACATCTCACACATACTTTGTACGCACGCCATTTTTTTATATTAAGAGTGTTAGGTACATTATTTTTTTCTTTTCCCCTTAATATTACAATTAATTGAGTGCAATATCTAAAAATGATTTTAAGTTGTCAAAACATTCTAAACGATCGTAAAGATGTAGATTTATTACAATAAAAATAGTTTTGTATATTTAAGACCCATAGAGCAGTGTTGGCCTAGTGGCTTCAGCGTGCGACTCTTATTCCTGAGGTTGTAGGTTCGAACCCGGGTGGTGCACCTATCTTTCTATGAGCGCATTTAACATCGTGAGGATACCGGCTTACCTTGGACTCAAAAAATCGACGGCGTGTGTCAGGCACAGGAGGCTGATCACCTTCTTGCCTATGAGATTGACAAATGATCATGAAACAGATACAGAAATCTGCGGCACAGACCTAAAAATACTTCTGATTTATTATTTTATTTTAGGCCCATCTTGAAAAAAATCTTCCATTTCTCAAATGTCATAAAGATTTTATTTTCTCTGTGACGTTTGACATTTCGGACAGAGCTCACGTATATTTTATCACAAGTAACCACAGAGCGTATTGAACATGATTAAAAATTGTGTGTTTGATAGTATTCTATAATTGTGAATTGAATTAAGATGTAATTAATAGACAAAAACCTTATGACTAGAGATTTCATGGTTTTCTGTAATAATTTTAAAGACAAGTAGGTGATCAGCATTTTGTCTTTTACATGTTGATGTTTGGGTTTAAGGGTTTACTGATGAGCAATTTACACATAGAAAAATCCATATGCACTGAGATTCTAACGCTCTACTTCATGGTAGAGGCTCGCACGCTTAATCATAGTCAACACTATGGGAAATACCCTATTGGAAATTTGCAGCCATTAACCCCAAGTGGAACATTGTTAACATGGCTCGCCCATAAATATTGTTAATAAAAATATTACCGATGTAGCCGGGGCGTATTTCACGAGACGCGTAACACCCCATTCGTGAACTAGTGTATTGGAATTAATGAAATGTATCTTGTTTTTTGGAAAAATTTGAGAGATAGAAAAAGTCCCTGGACACAATGGCACGGGAGTAGAGTATTATTAATATAAAAAAAACATTCAAAGGAAATAGAAATAAACTCTTTTGATATTTTGAATATTATTGATAGGTTTTCTTTGATGCTGAAAGTTAGTAGCTGACGTGATAACTTTATTTGTCTTAAAAGACAACTAAATCTTAGTGTCCGTCATTTAAGGTATAGTTGGCTGTGTTTGCGGTTGTCTTATTTGGACATTTGGCGGTGTACTGGCACTCACGGGAGTGGAGAAGGCGGAACTGCCCTCTCCTCGTCTCTGGAGCTGGTTGCTGCTGGATGCTGCACTTAGTCCTCTGCTTATGGAGTCATTGTGGCTTTGGTAAGTGATATCTGTGTATGAAAAATGTAGTGTACTAAATAAAGTGGCGTTTATATATGCCTGGTCAATGGACATGCGTGCCCTCCAATAGGCTGCATCTCACTTCATCATCAGATGGGAGTTGTGGCCAAACTGTCTGTCCAGTTCTGTAAAAAAGGTATTGAGAGAAATCCGTATAAATTAGGATTTTTAAAAGCGTAGAGTAAAATAACTTGTAAATAATATTTAAATTATCGAAAAATCTATAATTTAAAGACTGCGCCGTCATTCTGGCAAAAGTACCGTTTTGGCCGGTTCTTGTATGAATTTTTTAAACTTTTGCGTGGTTTACAGACTGAAATATATAATTAAAATGAATTTTGATATACGGGAGTAATAGTTCGCACTAAGTCTCGTTTATTCATTCCTCTTATCATCTCACTTAGTTCGTCAGTCGATGGTATAGGGTATCTATATATAAATTATCTTAATATATCTCTATATATAAAATTAATAAAGTAATACTTTTGATTTTTTTAATACATATGTTCAAAAGTGTCAAGAACTAAGCTAGTCTCATAATCTGCGATATCAAAGTCAAAAATCATTTATTCATGTAGGTAACAGGTACACATATGAACGTCAAAAAAGAAATATACATTAAATGCTTCCAACTTTACATTTACTGCCAGTTCTCAAATCAAGGGCGTAGAACGGAACAGAAGAACTGGCAATAAACTCTCCGCCACTCTTTTTAATCGCCAAGCTTTTTGTTTTACACAACGTTTGTAAGGAGCTGCAATTAATAATAATTTAATAATACAATGAATCATTGTGATTATACATACAACAGAACTCAAACACTGGGGCCAGTCAGCTATAAATATAAAACCCAGTTCCTAATACTGAAATGTCCTTAAAGGGGTAAATCATTAACATCATCGCGCACAGCAACAAGCGTATTAAGCGCAACAGTGGTGATGTGTGCGTGCCTTGAGGCGTGGCGGGGTGAGGGGGGCGTGGTTCGATCGTGTGCGGCCGTACTGGCCTCGTGCGGCTGGTTCTGCGCAACGCTGGATAGGAGCGGTCTGCCCGCGCCTGCGGCAAGACTGCTACTCAGACTTCGGCCGACCGATCGACTCACGTGAGTATATTCCTCTCTATACAAAGATTTTATCTATCTATACAGGCTTCTTCAAGAAACGAGAAAATTGAAACTACTGCACAGATTTTGTTGCCGTTCTCTAGTTAATATAAAATCAGTAACGCTACACCCTTTTTTAGGTCTGGACCTCAGATTTCTGTGTCTGTTTTATGATCATTTGTTAATCTAATAGGCAAATAGGTGATCAGTCTGAAACACGCCGTCGACTTTATGGATCTAAGGCAAGCCGAATTTTAAATGCGCTCATAGAAAGAAATTCCACTAGTGCACAGCCGGAAATCGAACCTACGACCTCAGGGATGAGAGTCGCTTGCTAAAGCCACTTGGCCAAAAAAAATGGCTATGTAAGGTTGGGCATTGGCTAAAATTTGTTATTGATTTAAACATAAAACCCTTATTGGTACGAGATAGATGTAATAAATAGAAGAAGTATTCCATAACTTTAAACCTTCTACACATTTTTTTATATGTATTAGGAGGCAAACGGGCAGGAGGCTTACCTGATGTTAAGTGATACCGCCGCCCATGGACACTCACATTGCCAGAAGGCTCGCAAGTGCGTTGCCGGCATTAATTTCAATAAATAAAAAGAGATAAAATCGCTGATGCTTGGCAGACCCATGCGACTTTTTCGGTACAAAGAGTCCCCTTAGAGGTTGTGTTCTGCAATATTTATTATGAGGAGATATTTTTGCGTTAATAATACATAAAACAAAATAAAATATGCGGGCTACTCGATTGTGAGGAAGTTGCAGGGCCTTATCCTTTCTATAACATAGTTTCATAATCACCTGAGCAAAAATAATATTTTACAGGACGATACGCAACATTTCCGATTTGGATGAGCAGTCCGAGGCGCTCATATCAGATGATCCGACGTAACACGATAATTTTAATGTCTAGAATAAATTGTTTGACTCGCAGCACGGAGTTTGCTGATGCCACACTTTGCGATTGTTTCACTTAAAATGATCATTATGTACCAATTTTGTGTTTCACTCAGCGCTTTTGCTTATTTACAATTTTTAAAAAAACAAGACTAAAAATTGTCTAAGTACAGATACCGGCAAACTTCTTGAGCATTAAACAAGGGAGTGGGGGAAATTTGCGCATCGTACACAAACGCAGGTCACAAACATCAACTGATTTACCAATCACGCGACACGTCACTCTTCCGCTGCCGCGCACCACCGCCCGCCGCCCCCTCCCAGTGATACCTTAAAATCGCTTCTGCGCAGGTAAGGACATTTGTTCAAGATGTTTGCCGGTATCTGTATGTCGTATTATTTCGTACGAATCGAACTTAAATATTGTAGTTAATTTAAGTGAAACGGAACGCAATTACTAGTCTATGTTGTAGCATTTATTGACGCTTAAGTATTAATAATTTTCGTAGCATTCCATAAAAAACTATTTTTGTAAATAATTTATTTATACTAAAGTAACTTCAAAACTTGAAAGTAGAAAAATCATGGCAACATAGAGAAATCTAATTCTCGTCTTCAGTTTCTTACAAGTGTATTTCTGGTGGATTTTATTATTATTGAGTGTTAATTTTATGCCTGTATTAAACCTTTTCGTGTGACGATTGATTTTTTATACATAAATATAACCCATAGACCAAAAGTATTCTTGTGAAACTTCAAAAAAGTTGCAGTGTATCAATTTTGTGATCTTTCGAATTTATAGATACAATATGTTTCCTAGACTTGTGAATATGTGTAATTAATAGGTAAGTAATAGTTGTGTTGTTCCACTAAAGCAACTCTAGAGCTCTCATGGTTTTGGCGACGAGTTATAAAATTCAGAATTTAACTCGATATGAGATAAATGTATACTAAACTTACATATTACTATATATATTGATCACTTGTGTATCGCAAATCCTAAGTACGCTCTTTAGCAGTGTTTCCCAACCTTTGTTGTGCCATGCCCCACTTTGGCCTTACTACAATTCTTATGCCGCCCCCAATTCAACATACATAACTTTTAATTAAAAAAATATCGTTAAACTAAAGAAACATACATGATACCTATCATATTTTCTAGGAAGAAATTACTAGGAAATTGTAAAAGATATAATGAAAAACATAAATTACCTACTAACTGACGTGAGACTGATCTTAAATTAAATTATAATGATTCATGTGCACTTTTTATTATTATTTTTTTGAAGTTATACTTCTTTAGGCGCGTTATGAAAAATTGATGAGAGTGAAATTTTACGATGCGCGCGCACTGTGACACAAAATTATCAGTATGGGCGCCGAGCGTGCGCGAGCGAGATGGGAATAAGACAATCTACAAGTAAAAAGAAATAGAATATGCGTGAAGTTAGCAGCTATGCCAAGAATTTTGAATGACTATAATGACATTTGTTACTACAAATAAAGCCTTTTAAACAAATAAAGGAGTTTTAATTAATTTTTCAAAGAAATTTACCAATGCTTTTTAACAAAAACCTATTGTTACTTAGTTAAACGGTTATGAAACATACCTAGTTATTAAATTGAATTAATAATATAATTAAATAATAAATAATAATAATTATTATTATTAGTATTAATTAATAATTGAATAATGTACTAAATATTAAATTATTAACGTTAAATATTTATTATTAATTATTTAATATTTAAAAAAAATAAAGAAAGCCAAAGAAGTATAACTTCTTACGCGCGTACATTAGTACACGCACCATTTTTTTTTTTCATGTATCCTTTATTAGTTTAGTTTGTTTTTTGTTCCTGTTTAGTTTCTTTTTCTGAACAACTATATGTAATACATGTATTTTTGCACTTCTTGTCTACCTTATGTAATTTAATACTTTTTTTTTCTTTTCTGACAGTGGTTGCCTGGAAGAGATCGCTCGTAAGCGATAAGGCCGCCAGTTGCTCTCCTTTTTATTTAATTATGCCAATATTGTACTATATTAATGTATATGCAACGAAGTGTTAATAAATAAATAATTAAAATAAATAAATTCTTATTCCAAATAGTTTTAGTAAATTTTGGAATAGCAATCAAATTGCCCCCCTGTGGGACAGGAAACGTTGGGTAACACTGCTCTATGGGTTCAAGTTATTTAAGAAATTGTTTTTAATATATTTTCCTCACTTTATGTTAAAGTTTAGCCAATGTTGTAAGTCAATCTCATTACTGAGTTAGTGCAATGCTATTTTCGAAATAGCTTCCTCAAGCTTCATTAATTTTTTAAGACATTCAAGGGTTATTAGGGCTAATTTTGATGTATTGAACTAGTTTTATACCTCAGCTTACGTAGCCACATATGTGAAAAATTGATTTTTGTAAAGAATAATAATTTATTTAAAGCTAAATCCGGCTCGAAGGACCAACATATCTTTTGTATTATTATGACCCACAGGCCAGGATTTTTAACAATATGAAAGATTATTATTAATTATGATACAGAGCCAGCCATTGACCCGAAGCAAAATTGTAGTCTGAGTTCATTTAATTATTTATTTTTATAGTAAAGATTTTTTTGTGGACAAGATTCAACAAATTTTAGCCTAGTTCGCAACCATCAAAATTAGCACCGCTCAAGGCCGCCGCGGCAGTTCATAGTGTTTAAGTTTGTACTTTATTACTCTACATATGTATTTTTATTGGTTGGGAGAAATAATTTTGTTGAAAAATCATATAAAATAACTATTTTAATAGAATGTAAGATCAGTATTGTGGTATGTATATAAGATTTCTGTAAATAAACTGTATTTTTTTATAATTTTGCAGTGCAGATGATGGAATGTTTAAATAACTAGTAAAGTATATGAAACAATCCTAAAGAGAGAAGGCCGAACAATTTTAACATATCCGAGTATGGCTTTGATATTTTTTATATGAATGAAAGCCTGGGATGACTTTAAAATATATGAAAAGATCTGTAAACATTGAATGATCTCTTATAGGTCTAAAGTTACCAAATTGTTGGCCTCCATCATCTGTGGGAAGATTGACTTTCGTTTTGAGATTATTGGTATATTTATATATTAATCTTGTTTACAGTATCTGTTGCACAATCTTTAGATGCAATTGTTTAAGTTAAACTGAATGTACCTTATAAATAAACAGCTTTTGATTCTTTGGTTTTATTATTAATAATACAATTTGTTTAAGATTATCTTATATATAATTCTACTGTATGTGTGTATGTCACTGAACTCCTCTTAAGCATATCCAGTACCTTTGGTAACACTGGTAGTCTATAATTACCAATTTCCGTTAACAACCGTTTTCATACATCCAGCAGGAAGGTAAGAGGAGGCCTTATGCAATATGTAAAAGAAAATAGATAACACCCTAGGCAAGCCCGCGTGTAACATGTGTTCGATGCCAAGATCATCATGGCCCGTTGATTTCAACTAATAGTCCCTCCTAGAACTACCGCAACTTCTGTTGGACAGACTCCAAAAGCAGATCCTCATGATATAAGAACAGATTTCGGCAGCGGGCACCCTTGCAGCAGTTGTGTGTGTTGTCCTTGTAATGCTCTCTAAATGTTTGTTATTTGAATCGGTTCCAAATTGTTTTTCTAGTGAAAAAAATATCTGATCAAAATACGTTTTAGCAGCACATACGTATACGTAACCATTCGGGACCATTCTAACTGGTCTGAACTGAATTCTAATTTAAATTCAAAATAGTATTGTTAACGGGACTTAAATTCTGTGGCGGTTGTTGTAGGGATGTTCAAATATACTTATGTTAAATCATAAATGAAACTTTGAAGCTGGATGTCAACTGGTTTTAATCGTTTACTACATGAGCTTATTACTAACATAAAATTAGGGGTAGTGCGGTTGCGACGCTGGACTAACAAGAAACTAACTTGGCTTATTTAAAGGTTCTTAGATCTAAGTGATACTTCAATATAAGTGTTGTCGATCTATTGGATTTGGACATTATCGGAATTCGGAAACGAGAATGTTATATTACAATTTATAAGTGTGGGAAAAACTAAAGGACTCATTTTGCCATCAATTGTGCCAGGATTGCTAACGTTTACGCTTCCAATTATTTACTAATATGTATATGTATGTAACTAAAATATATTATGTATGTAACTTAAATAATGTTAGGTTACATAACTCGCGGCATTTATTTTTATTTTTATAAATAAAACTGACATTTATGAGCTCCCATATACCAGAGGGGTTTAAAGAAAAGAAAACCAAAATAGCGAGGATACAGAGTCTAATAGAGAAATGACAATCAATAATCCGTAAATAAAAGAAAGTATATAGTATTTGTATTTTTATCAATTTTATAAGCTCTGTTCAATTACAAGCTAGTTGTAAAAACTGCAAATGTTATGGAGAATGGAGATTAAATAAAATTTGCTACATGCTTTACAACTGATAAGTTGACAGCTGTCAATTCACATCCCGTTTCGCTAATCGCTTCACGCTTGTTACCTGCAACAGATTGTTTATGTAAAATAATTTAATTTCTAATTGCCTTTAAATAATAACATTAATGATGGAAGTTATAAAACTGGTCGGTAAATATTTAAATGTACCCGTAGGTCCTTTGTGTTATAACACTGACAAGGTAAATTGAATAAATAGTTTTCTATCTACTGTATATGTTACTAAAATTCTGATTCTCTACTTCATCTTTCCAGATACCGACTACGGTATTAGACAAGCAGAGTGTGGAAGGTTTTGCGACAATTATATTACATTTGACATCTAAAAGTGGATACAGTATGAGTCAAGAAGAGTTACTTATAAGCTATCAGTGGCTGGAACACATTGCTATGTATAGTAATCAAGCTTCTTCTAATCCTACTTTTGCTAAGAATTTTCTCCAGGTGGGTATCTAATTTCCACATACTTATGGCCTACAGAACTTAAATAAAACTCATACGGAGGAAACAAATTATATATTTGCTGTTTATTATTTAGGTTATTTTCTTGTCAGTTATCAGCCTTGTACAATGTGCATTTATGTTAAGATATTTGTTTTAAAATTAAAATATTATTTTTTAGACAATTCATTATGTTTACAGTCCAGTACAATTATTATTGTTTTTCTAGGAATTGAATCATTTTGTGTAAAGTAATTCATATTGTTCATATAGTTACCTACTTTATTCAAGTGCTAAGCTTGTCAATATGTTATCTTCCAGGGTATTAACAGAGCTCTAGAAAAGAAATCCTATTTGACTGGAAATAATCTAACAACAACTGACATAGCTGTATTTTATGTTGTACAGCCTCTTGTGGTAAGAACTATAAAACTTTAATTTGTCTTAAATATAAATCTATTCTATTTAGAGAAACTCTGCATATTATAATGTTGGATTTTTTTTTTTAAATTAGAAGGAATCTGTTATTGATTTTCAACATCCGATCCTTGGACAATATCTATGATAAATTCTGTGCCTGTTTTGTAAAAAAAAATATTATTTTATAATTAGAGGTTGTAATAGTGCTAAATTTTTATTATAAGTTCACAACACTGTTATGTTACCTTACTTAGTCAGTAATAATCTTTATTAAAAATTAATAATGTTTTTTTTGTGACTAAATGAAATCATGGGTAGCAAATAAGAATTATATTATTTCACATCACTGTCACTACTGTTCTCTTTCCACACATACAAATTACCCATTTTCGTTATATGAACACATTATGTAAACTTAAGGTAGCAATGGTAAATTTATGATATTTTTGTTTTAGGGAAACTTAACCATATTGGAGCAGGAATCATTGCTACACCTAAGTAGATGGTGTAAACATGTACAAGCGCAACCAAAAGTGTGTTCTCATTGTGCCCCAATCCCATTAAATACTTTGAATCTACATATTCTCGCACCTGCAGTACATTAAGTACAATGTGTAATTTTATTGGTATTTTATGGTTATAATTTTAATTATACGATCTCGAAATGAAAGACTTAAGATACGTTTTATTTTATGCTGCTGCAATAATATTTTTGGTATGTTTTTAAATATTTGAGTTTCACACACTATGTCGGAATTTATGTAATGCAACTCAATCAAACTGTAATGATTATTGAAATGGGTCACAAAAGTTAAAGTAACTAAATACTAAACACATACTTTTCAGACAAAAGTTTTTTTTTATGTACTATCAGTTAAAATTACCCTTTAAGAGTGAAATACAAATTTTCTATTTCCCAAAATTAACTTGATAATGTTGATTTGTAGGAATAGTGATATGTACTACAAACAAAGAATAGTTATACTCTGTACCCACTTATTCCATTCTTTATTCTAATCTACGCGAAAATCACTCATGTAAAAAAATATTGTTACAGGATTAAAACACATTTAATTTTGCCAATTTTACAACTTTTTTTTTACTACACAGCATGGTATCTAGGGATGACAGTTAAACTGTCAGCTTGAATTATAAAACTTTATATGAGTGTTATTTAATGTATGAACTGCTATAGTGCCAATTTTCTTAACTTTCAGCAAGTATCTTGTATCCCTCCTTGGTATAAAATACCACTGCCAAAGCAATTATTGCCTCATGAATTGAAGAATGTTAGCTTGGATAAACCACTAGTGTACCACCCTCAGCCATTTTCCTACCCTGGATATCCAGTTATATTATATTTATAAAAAAAATTGTTGAGATATTGTAGATAGTGCATTACTGAAATACAAAACTTTAATTATATAGTTTTTATATATTTGCTGTACTTTTCTTCTGATATATTAAAGGCTCCATAACGAACTGTTCCACCTATTTACTTCAATTGTATTTATTTAATTATCAAATCTTAATAAACCAAAAACGGATTTCACACTCTGTTTTTTATGGGTCACACAAACAAGCAGACGGGTAAATGAACAAAGTGATAACCGTAGCCTATGGACACCTGCAACGCCAGGGATTAGCGGGTGTGTTGTTGTCAGGGAATGGTGCGCTCTCTCCTATGTAACGTGGGTAACCTTCAGAAGAGAGACTTAGCTTGAATTCTGCTGTGTTTTGTGCTCTAATGTCAAAATTCAATACATATTTTAAGCACGGCAGTCAGACTTAGGCCGTTTGTCCACCGCCGCCGTCACCGAGAACGAGATTATTTCGGGCCGAGTTTAAAATGACGTGACGGCGATCGTGTGTCCACCGCGCCGATATATCAGTGGCTCAGTTCTAGAGCTTGTAACTTACCACGTGAGTCTTTACACCCAATTTGGCAATTTCTCGTGCACAAAATAGCATATTTGTACGCAATTACAACCACAACACATACGCATTACACACTTAAAACGTACCTTGTTTTTTAATAGAAAAAAACAATTGTTATCTTTTTTTTTTCTATTTTTGGATTATTGTTATTTTGTGTGTTTCTGTGTGTGTTTTGTAAGTAATAAATGTAATGTCTATGTCAATTAATAACTGCCTAACATATTGAGTGCGGTATATTAATCTAATAAATTATGATTCAGTAGCATATATAATTTTAAAGAATTACATCGCCTATCCATATCCTTTATTATTTCTTTATTATTGTTTGTGTTACATTGGTTTTCCGATCAGAGATTCTTAGCATCAAACATCGCTCCAGTTTATGTGCATACGAGCAGCCATTCTCTTCCGATACTGTGAATTAGTATAAAAATATATTAATAAGATTTAAATGGTTATTTGGTGTAGTTTATTGTTTTTTTTGTCCTGTCCTCATCAGAACTATTATTACAATGTTACTAGTTCTCCATAACGAAGTATATTATGTTCTTTCTTTAAAGAACAGGATGAATTCGCCAGCCTTTTAAGAATCGGTACGCTCTTTTCTCAGGACCCTAAGTCGAATTGGAAATATGTACTCCAGAACTGCAGGATTTTCGAAATATAATATTTTGAAATGAACTATAATTTGATAGAATTCCACGCACGTATTTATCACGAGTGATACAACATGCAACATCTTTGCAAATGAGGCACTAATTAAACGAAGACCTACCAGACTCCAACTCTACAAAACAAGCGTGGACTTGATCCTTAAGGAGCGTTCTGGTTTGTTGTGAATTGAGTGAAGTTTGAATCTTGTTCCATAATTCCGCTTCTCGTGGAATTCCCCTTGAATCAATCTGGAAAACCCGTTAACAATGTAAATAACTATTATTTTGACTTAATGGACAAACCGCAATAGCACTTACCACTTGTAAATTGGCAAACACGCATTGACTCAGGCACTGAAAATAGTAATTGCTTTACATTTGCTACCCATTTAATGCTAGGCGTTAATTATTGAATATGGAAACAACTAGAGGTCAGGATTTGCATCTTCTCAACCTAAATAACACTATTTGGGATTCAACACTGATGAAAATAATTAATTACCAAAGAAGTGGTAAATCTATAGTCTCAATATGCGAATAAATTCACCTAATCGCATTGATTATTTTATGTTTATTTTTATTACTTTATAAAATTGTGTATTCCGATATAATAATGTTAAAATGTAAGTAAATGTATAAATTCCCATTGTAAAAAAAAGATTACCTGTTGCATGGAAATTTATCATTAAGAAAATACCTACCACGAACTTACGTAGGTACGACGGTACGGACGGTCGTCCATAGATGGTAGGTAATAGAACTAAAATCCTATAAAATCAAATATACCTGATCCGTATCCTTAGCTAAAAAATCCCGTTTATTTCTATATACATAGTTGCTATTGTTATTATAATTCAAAACCGGGCGGGGTATAGTTTTTATATACTTTTCACCAACATCACCAGCTCCAAAGCCCATATAATCATAGTCTGTGGCATTTAGTACGTGTATCCGATTTTCCTGGCTATTATTTCTACGTTCGTGAAAATATTGATTGTGGTTTTCTTTGTTCCCATCAATACGCGTATAATTGTTACTTCGACGTTGACGACTCTTCGGAACTTCCAAAGAACAAAACCGTAAAGCTTCCGATATTTCTTCCTCTAATAAATGAATGTTGCCTTCGTGGCAAAGCACTAGTGGTATTAGTAATGTTAATGTGATAGCAAACATATTGCCAAATGAATCTGTGGGAAAAATGTTCAGATTTAATACACAGTGCGCAGGAAACAGTTGTTGCTCTTGACAGTTGATTGGCGTATGTATGAAGGGAAATTTGCTGTACAAATTCATAATCATAACTATTTAATATGATAGGTTTATAATTCTAACTTAAGTGTATGTTTTTCAATACTGTAACATTGGTTTCGTAAAAACACTGTACTGTTAGTATTAACTGTTGAAACATTTGTACAGAGACCTTTCTAACCTTTTATATATTATAAAAAATTAAGTCTTGTTCTTTAATATTGTATACATAAAACTCACAATAACATATATTTTGGATATTTGAAGTTAACAATTTATGAAAAACAACGTTAGGAAGCGCGCCCGATTTTACCATTTTCAGGCAAGTCGGTCTACATCGTGCTATATAAGTGTGTCATTTAGAAAAGTACCTATAAATGTAACACTTTATATTATTACTTATTTATTTATTAAGGAAACTAAACAGATACAACTCTATACAGTAAAAAATAAATGTAAAACATAAAATAAATAGACACATTGGACATATCCACAAAAAAAGTTTCACTAATAAAAAATACAATACAAAGTAAAACAAGAGAAAACATGACAGCACAAAATTTAACACTAAACTAGCAGTAGCAGCTATAAAAAAAAACAAGGAAGATACAAGGCTTAAGCCATTAAGAGTTTTAACTTATTCTTAAATCAAGTAGTAGAGGAGTGCGAAAAAGGGTCGATGTTAGTGACAGCATCCAAGGTGGAACACATCCTGTGAAGAGGCTCATGGAACCCAATGTTGGTTCTGGGAGTCGGAAGGTTAAAAGTTCTGTGCGAGCGCAGAGATCTGGCAGTAACATTAAATGTTATCAGTTCGAGAAGATGGGAACAAGTTATTTCATATACACATATTTTTCTAATAGTGACAATAATAATAAATAAATAAATAATTTTCAATATACATCTAAATAACTTAATAATGTATTAAATGTCATCATAGATCCATCACGCTTAGGGGGGGGAAAAAAAAAAAAAAAAAAAAAAAAAAAAAAAAAAAAAAAAAAAAAAAAAAAAAAAAAAAAAAAAAAAAAAAAAAAAAAAAAGGGGGGGGGGGGGGGGGAGGGGGGGGGGGGGGGGGGGGGGGGGCCCGCGAGCTAAACTAACTTAGCTTAGCTCTTGGTCTGCAACCCGTATAAAGCCACTGCCAGATTTTTAAATCTGTCCTTTTTAATTGGACATTAGTTTTCGTAATATGCACCATTCTCCATTCTAATGTAGGTACGCTTATACGACTGCCGAATACCCTTTTGAATTAAAACAACGGTTATAACGTATGTGTTTACTAAGTACACGCTTTCAAAGACTTATTAAGTACAAACTAAAGACTATAATAAGACGAAGTATGAAAGAGATCTCACAAAATTCAAATAAAACAACAAATTCTTATTTCCCTTTTCCGTAGTGTCCCCATTTCCCATTACCCCAGCCAGACCACGACGCTTCTTGGCTTCCGAATAACTTTAACCCTGTTCCAAATCCACTTAGATTAAGAGGTCTTCCGTACACTCTGGTGCCAGATAAATTCGTATAACTGCTGGGGACTACTCCTGTACCTGCTAACAATACAAATAAATTTAGAAAAATAATTTTGAAGAAAATAATAGTGCTAAAAATCTGATCACTCCCTTGACTATTCGAAGAGCCTATGAGTTTCTATATTATGAAGAGGTTAATTTTGTAAGTTCGTTTGTAGAATCTTTGAAACTACTGAACCATTGAAAATTCATTTGACAGTATTAAACAACGCTAACCTAGCAATTAATTCCGAATTACACAGACAGAAGTTATTATTATTATTAATAGAGCCCTCCGATCTCCAGTATGAGTTTCGGTACCGCGCGTTCGCAACGTTGTCACTAATACATCAGCCCTTCGGAAGGAGAGAACTACATGGAACTTGCTTACAAAAACCTTGGTTATGGTATCGCGGTCGCTATTGGAAGTTAAAGAAAAGGGGCGCTGGTCTATTAGTATCTTTATTATGTAGAAAATCCTATCTGAAAAATGTAAAGGTTTTGGTAGCTAAATAAATAAAACATATATACAACCAGATTTTTGTTTGATATATCAATGTACTGACAAGTTCGAGGGATATATATCATAACATATTCATTTTATAAGCTAACACGTGCAAAGAAAAAACAAGTAAAAGTAAGAAGCACATTTTCAGTACCTCTAAAACCTCCATAAGTTCCAGTCACATGAAATTGTATCGGAAAATGAATTGAACGAATATGCGGCCAAAATGTTTCAGCTTCCACCATCGCATCCTGGTCATTCGCTGGCTCTGAAATCGTTTATAAAAAATCCCATTGAAATAGTCGTATACCAAGTAGAAAGTTTATAAACTAGAATAATGATATTTATTAAATTGTTTGGATAACTTATCTTGAGGATCACAAGCTATGTTATAATTTAAAATATTAGTTCAAATGTGTTGATTGTTTTATTATTTCTTTTAAAAGTTAACAATGACTTTAAAAATACTTCCAAAAGATTCCATACAGATATTTAAATAGGATGTAAACGTATCAAATAAATATATAGGTATTTTTATTATATAACTAGCTGACCCGGCGAACTACCGCCTAACAGTCAATGAATTGCGTGTTACGGATTAGTTGAACTTAATTTATGATTTTAATATTTAACAACCAATATATAAGTCAATCCTTTTTCGTTACTGACATTATTCTACATTAAAATCTAAAAATATTATTCATATATCTTGTCGATTTGAAACCTTTACTTTGTTAATATGTTCTTTAATTTGAAGGGAGAGTTTACCGTATCGACGGGTGAAATTTTTTACTCAATGTTTTAAAGTTATTCTGCTATTCGGGACGGAGACAATTACAACCACGAAACAATGAAAATCAGTCTAGGAGTTCTAGAGTAATAAGTGTCCGGACAAATCCGACTCTGTTTTATATATTAAGATAATTTGAAAGCGAAAAATATAATTTTTGTTTCACTTTGAAAACCAAATGAGACCAGCTATAATTATAATACCTTTATCGACAATAGATTTGGTGTTTAATGGTGCATTCCTGGGTTGTGTCCATATAATTTCCGGGCTACTTTCACTAATAGAGATCAGTGGAGGGCTTGGTGAGAGATATAATGCTGGGTCTAATACTGCACAGTCAGAAAGTTGGAAACTGAGTAACCACCACATAAACTGAAATAACATAAACATATATATAAAATACCATCAGACTATATAATTATATACAAACTGTCCCGTTTTTTAAATATTTTGGAATAAAAACTTTAAACTGTATTCGGTAACATAAAAGGTTTAGTTAAATTAAAACTCCTCACCTTTTGGCATCGCTTAAGATCATATGCAGTTTAGAAGCGTTTATTAGGACGTTTCTAAGTTTATTATTTCTCGGGGAAACACTTAATAAGTATGTTTATGTGGGTTTTGTAGTTGTATGTTAAACAATAACTAAGGTAAATATAGATGACTATCAGGAAATAACGCATCGCTTTACGCTTATGTGTCTATTATTGTTTTTAAGTCATAAATTAACGTTAGTCATAAACTTGAAAATTGATTAATCTCACGTTTCTGTCTAATATAATTGCATATATGGAAAATGTATTAAGAGAAAATATTTTCTCTTAATACACTCTTGTAACACATTACAGACAATTGTCAAATATAATTACATTTCTAAAAACAATACTGTCGAATACAATGGTGAAAAAAAAATATTAGCATTGTATTAATTAAATATACTTTAAAAATTCTGTTTTTAACATATTTAATATCAAAATATAATGTCGACAGCGTTATGAATGTAGCAATATTAAGGATCATAGATATTTTTTATTATAATTTTATTTACCCCTGTATGTATGTTGTTATTATAACTTTTATTTAAATTTGGTAAACTTATAAAGAATCAGCGACAATATAATAATTCATAGGTTTATCTCGAAAACACAATGAAATTTTTTAAGTCCACAAAGCAATACGATTAAATTGAGACAACACGTATTGCGGGGGGGGGGAAAAAAGTTGGGAATAAATATAGTAAAAAAATATAAAATGTAATGAACAAAAAATACTGGTTTTTTGTGAAAAAGCGTGGGTTTCTCGATAGACGAAAAATATGGCACAGAGGGGGGTTTAAAGCTTTTTTAAACTATATTTATTTAATTTCAATTTACATTTGTCCATGAGTAAAACATTGTTTCATCAAATTTAAACAGGCCTCGCAACGAGAAATATAAAAAACTTAAGACGCAGCTGCGACGCATTTGTACTTATTTACGCAAATTTATATTATATCCAAGAATCCGAAAATGATATTACGTGCTTTGAATACAAACATATCCAGAACACGTGTAACTCATGGGATTCCCATTACACTAGATATTGTAAACTGGTACTTGATTTTTTTATGGAATTAAATTACTACTTTTGGAAAGAAAATATTCTATTGATGATTATTTGGGTGAAATATATATTAATATTAATTTGATAACGCAATAATATATTTTAATAATGTGATTATATTATAGTGATAAAATAATATAAGAATTGAATCATAATGTAATTTTAACTTCTAATCTACTATTTAAGACAAATTTGCACGTCATTATGCGTGGCAGAATATGCGAACTTTAGATTGTACCACCATAACTTTTTGTAACATATTCTTGCAAATAAATTATTATTATAATAAAGCAAACCCGGCCCGGCTCCAGTCCTACTACCATAGGAATAACATAACTAATAATAAATAAGATAATATAGATAATAACAAACAAAACATTTAATACACAGGGGCAGTATATAAATAAAGTATACACTCAAGTTTAGGTGTCCTTTGGCGATACGCTCAGCTATTTAATTAGAAATAATATCTATCAGTTTTGGTATCTAATCTACCTTGCATAATCTATGCTTAAGAAGATGTTTTCTATGGATATTTTTGCAGTTATTATTTTTAATTTGACACACCATAAAATATAAAATTCGTACTTACAAGCATTGTGTCTTGCTTCTTCGATCACTTGATTTTATATTTTTAGGTTTCCAAGGAATAATAAAAATAATTATATTTATAAACCTCAAATTGAGATACTGTTGCTTCAGTCTTCAGTATGTTATAAACTGAGTGAGCTGAGAATAAAATGAAACGCTTTCTCGGGATTAGAAATTTTATTGCAGGTTCAAGGACGCATTGCGTGTGGAGAAAGTTTTGAACATTTATTAGTGTGGAAGGATGAACTTCATTTATATCTAAAATAACGTTATCAATTTGACTTTGGATCTTTAAAATGTTTTTTATGAAGTCTTTTACCTGGAAAAGTTTAGCGGTGGAACACGATAATGATCCTCCATTCCGAGTCACTCGAGGCAGCTAAATTATTGAGGCCATCGCCAGAGATATTATATAGTTCACAGGTTGCCTAATACTTAACACTTAAAAAAAAACATAAAACATACAGAAATCTTAAGCCAGGACAAGGATTGTTCCGCCATTATTTTTACAGCATTATTTGTAAAATATTTACAGTGACCTTGGAGCCATACTCGAGTTGCTGATGATAGAGCTAATTGGAGAGACCTGGGAGAGATCAATGACCGATTACGTCATATTTTATAAACGGATTTGTTTGAAAATTGTAATTCGGACATAAAAGGCTTTTATTGTATGACCAGCACTGTGGAACGTTCTGCTCCTCAGCCGAATGCTGATTCAGGGCCAATTACAACCATAGCACACACGCATTACACACTTGAAACGAACCGAATGGGAAAAGTGGTTATTATTTTTTTTTGATATCTCTCATTATATTTTTTATTTCATTTTTTTCGTTGATTATTTTTGTTTTGTGTGTTTATGTGTGTGTGTTTCTGTTAGTAATAAATGGTATGTCAATGACTATTTATTAATAAACAAACGTGACCTATTTTCCAATGACTTTTACCATAAATTAAGTTACCAATGACAGGAAGCAATTGTTGCCTACAATGTGGTATTGTGTTACGTTAATTACTTTGTCAGTAGTAGTCTGTGGTTAGTTGTAATGTATGCAACACATCGTAATGTTTTCTGAGTAATGAAGAAGTTATATTTACTATACACATTTATTAATCGTCGATGACCAATCGCTTTCCGAGCTGCTTGATTCCTTGAGGTTGCGTAATGAGTTTCATCATCGTCGAAGCAGTATGACCTGCCCTCTATGACTACAAGCTCCCACTTTTTCCGACCGCCGATGCGAAAACCGCTGTGTGAGTTCGAAAAGTGAGTTACAGAATCGCAGGGCTGGACGCCCATCGGTCCACATCTGAGCGTTTTTTAATTGATGTAGAACCAACTGCCCACTGCAGTATTTCCGAACCAATTCGACTTAGGGTCCTTCAAGAAAAGAGCGTACCAATTCTTAAAAGGCCGGCAACGTACTTGCGAGAAATCTGTAAGTGTCTATGGGCGACGGTATCACTTAACATCAGATGGGCCTCCTGCCCATTTGCTCGTTCTATAAAATCTTTATATATATAATTCTTCTGTGAGTGTGTATGTCACTGAACTTCTCTCAAACGACTGGACCGATTTTGATGAAATTTTTTAAATTAATTAATAATTTTTTTTAATTTCAAAAATAAAATAAAAGATGTAATATCTTTTATTTTATTTTTGTTTTTCATTTTCAACTGTTATCAACACGTGTGAATGAGTGAGTGAGCAAATGTGTGTGAGTGTGTCAGTGAATGAATGAGTCAGTGAGTGAATGAATAAAGTGTGTAACTACTTACTAGACCTCAGAAGCATCTCTAACACTGCGTAAAGTGTGTTTATAAGCCAGTCCTTTAGTAAATTATTAGAACTATAAAATAATCGCGTCCTTCTTCAAGTTTTTGTTTGCTAGTGGATTCGCAATTAAGCTGAGAGGGCGATTCTTAAGCCTCCAGTCGTGAGTTCGATTTATGTCTGGTTTTTCTTTGTGCAGTTTGCCACAACCTAAGATCATAAATAGAAGTGTGTCACAGAAGGGTGATTACATACAATAAAAAGAATGAATAAAACAGACACAGAAATGTGTCATACTATTGTTAGGGGTGACTATTAAGGGGTTTTATACATACATCATCATATTCAATTAGGTTAGGTTAGCTATATTTAATTTATGAATCATATTCCCACTAGCAATATCATGATTGTTACTAAACTGACAAGTAAATCACATAATTGACTGAAATTACATTATTATAACTTTAATGTTTGTCATTAAACAAAATATGCCGCGGGGTACTCTTTGCCGGATCGAGGATGTGAACTAAAGTCCAGAATTATTGATAATACCACGATCCGAGGCTACAATCAGTATGATGATGTCGTACCTTGAAGCACGCAAACAAAATTAAATTCCGACCGCTAAGGATATTTACAAATTCTCTTCTTTAGACATCGGGGCCTTTAGGCCATAAGTGGTTAGACAGTGGCTGCCCACTGAAGTATTTTCAAACCAATTGGATTTAGGGCCCTTCAAGAAAAGAGCGTACCAAGTCTTAAAAGGCCGGCAACGCACTTGCGAGCCTTCTGGCAATGTGAGTGTCCATGGGCAGTATCACTTAACATCCGGTGAGTCTCCTGCCCGTTTGCCTCCTATTAAAAAAAACACCTCCACCCATCTCCTCCACATTTATTGATATAGAAGTTTTTTAATAGAAAAAAAACGATAATTTGTTATCATCAATTATTATAATAATAATAATAAATCGCTTATTTACAAAGTGGTACATTCAGATTGGTTAATTATAAAAAACATCACAATCAGCCATATAAAAATAGGCATGCAAATGTCAGATTAATTACACAGGCCTACAAAAAAAATTTTTTTTATGGTGCAGCTCCTTTTGTATATATTGTCGATAAAATAGGTAATGTACAATATATTGGCATACGTCATTTTAACTCATCAGCTCTAGTTTACCCACTACCCTTCTTTTATTTTTTTTCCCGCCTTGGTCGTAAATAGAGATTATTACATTCATATCGATAAAGTTTCTATTACTAATTCAATATGACTAGTACGTCCAGATGTTGTGTTAACGATTCTGATACTTTTTGCTATGTTTGTGATCAATACATACTGAAAGATCAGCGTATAACGATGACAAACACTGTGAATCGTTTGTATTTTGCTTATTTCGGTATTGAAATTCAGCACCAATATAAAGTGTGGGTGCCACATGATGTGTGCACAATATGCGTTAAGCGTCTACGACAGTGGGAGAAAGGCTCACGTAAGTCTTTAAAGTTTGGAATGCCTATGACATGGCGAGAACAAAAAAAAACATTATGGCGACTGTTACTTTTGTATGACAAATATAGTGGGCAACAACAAAAAAAATCTATATCTATATAAAGAAATGGAAATACCCAAAATTTCCCTCAGCACAAAGACCTATTCTTCATCCAGAAAATGTTCCAGTACCAGCTTTTCACCAAGTAGTGCAGCAATCTCAGGAGGATCAATCTGAAATACCTTATAGCTTCCTTCTATATACCTTCCCAAATAGATGACGAATTTGAATACTGCGGGAAATCATCAAATCCTAACCCATTTTAAGAGAATGAGCTGAATGACCTCATCAAAGACTTAGGGCTTTCGATGGAACATGCTGAGTTACTAGCTTCAAGATTTAAAGAAAAAAAAATCTTTTGTAGCAGTTGTATAGAATTTCCTCGGAAATCATAAGGCTGTGACAACTATGTAAAATTAGTAGAAGATATGCTGGTTCGATTCAACGATTTACCCCTTGGCCACAGTCACCTGCGGCGCGGTTTGCGGCGCGCAAAGCGGCGCGCAAAGCGGCGAGCGGCAAAAACAAATTGAGAAAATTGTATGAAGTATGCCACAGCTATCGGCGACGCGCATTGCGGTGCGACCTGCGGCGCGGTGGCACCCGCGCGGTGGCGGCGGCGGGGGTCTGCGCGGCGTGCGAGTGAATCAAATGCACTCAAGAGTATCGAGGCGGCCACAGCTAAGAGCGGCGCGCGCCGCGGCATTGGTGGACGCATTTAGCATCGCGCGACCAAAACAAATAATTTTGTTTTTATCGCGCATTGAGCTCATATAAAATAATGGATACAAAACAATTTATTAGTGAAATACTGAGTAGACCAGCAATATGGATGTCAAAACATCCACATCATAAATATAGGCATGTTATAAAAAAAATTGTGGGACGACTAATAAAACTAACTAATATACTCTAAATATTGGCGCCGCGGTCGCAACTGGTCGAGCTGTGGCATACCACCGCAAACCACGCCTCTCGCAGACCCTCTTGCCGCGCCGCGCTCCACACCGCCAGAAACTGTGGCCAAGCTCTTAGGCTGTAATATGAGTATGAAGTTTTCACTATCTCAACAGTAATCTAGATCAATTCCAACACAATTTAGGAGACCTAAGCGAAGAACAAGGAGAACGAGATTACCGAGACATAAAAACAATGGAGAACAGATACCAAGGAATATGGGACACTCATATGATGGCCGACTACTGTAGGGGAATCATGCGAGATTGCCCAAGTCAATTTAATTCGAGAAAATCGCTCAAAAGACAATTTCTTGATGTTTAATGCCATAAAAATATATATTTATTGTAAAAAATGTTTTTTTATGTATCTCGAAAACTAGAGCTGATAGAAGAGAACTAATTACATTTTTGATTTCACCATGTAAGACATGCTTATAATCAGGTCTGAAATCCCCGGCACCAAAATGGTTGTAGGCCAGTGTTATCATAATGTCATAATAATAAGTTAAGTTATTTATAATTGTTGTCAAAACTTATGGTCTAAATACTTTCCCACGCTATAAAGGCACCTTGCTTTTAAAAATTAGCCATTTGAGTCAACTTATTACCTTACGAGACAAAAACTGCGCAAAAAGCGCTCGTAAAACATGTAATAACATATTTATACGTTTATATCCGTTATTATTTAGATAATTATTACTTAAATTAATGAACATATTACAGATATTAATATTTTTAAATTCTACTCTTGTCTGTCAGTTTGTGATGTCATAAAGTCTCTTAAATATAGTCCTAAAGATAGACCATACCTGTTTTTCCGTTCACATCTGAAGTATATAAATTATTTGGCATTTTAAGATATTTCGCTCCCAAAGAGCGCTTGTTGTGTTAAAGAAATGCTGGGGATTTCCAAGGTCAAGTGGGTTCAATAATTCGTCCTTCGCACGTTGTTTAAACTAGTTAACTCATTCCGGTTCATGTTTACATTCTATTAACGGTTTGTTTGTTTGGTATTTTGAATGCGTCATGAAATGTGGTCCTATCATATCGTAGGTTGTATTGTATGTATGCAAAATAAGGTGCCCAGTAAGAGAACGTAGGGTTCTTTTTCTTTATACATAAATTTAAAAAAAAAACATTGTCCCAGGAGCCCCGACAAATTCTGTAAGAGTCTAGTCAATAATCTCAGTAATAGCTCTGTTGTTGGTTCCATGTAGATGAGAAGGGGCCAGCGTATATATATATATATTCATATGTTCATCAGGGATAATGTAGGATTCTAATGGTGTAATAATTTTTAAAATCGGTCCAGTAGTTTTAATTTAACAAACAATCAAATCTTTCGTCTTTTTTATAATGATTATTTAGCTTTGAACTAGCAGGAATACAATGTGTATTGTAACACACTCTTCGCGAATTTTGATCACCATTCCATAGTTTATAAATATTTAATTCGAAACCAGCCTAACACGCATTATATTCCGTTATAAATATAATGATGTAAATACTAGAACGATCCGTTTAAAAATATCTCAGTATTATAAACAAAATAACTTGTTTCAAGACTGGTCCATAGGCGTGGCCTGGTTTATTCGCTTTAAAAATGACATTACTGGTACTAAAGAAACAATAAACATGTAAATTACCCTTGAGTACTATTTGACGGGTCTGAATGCGGAAATTATTATACTTATATATTATATAGTGAAGATGCTTGTTTTTTTAGGAAAAAAATATAGAATAAAAAGATTTACGAGTTATGTTACCTTAGGTATGTTACGCCTCATAATACCCTCAGATTTAGAAACAATGTTAGCTTTAGACAGTTTTTCTGAACATCATCTAAGCACTAACTGTGAAACGTATCATACCCAATACGTCTTAGATATATTAAAGCCACAATTCATTAGTAAAAGGGCACATGGCAAGAGGAACGGAAAAGTGGAGCAAAAAAGAACTAACCAGGTGCCCAAGGAAGACAACTTAGAAGATGGATATACCAAATTAAAGAAACAGCAGGTTGTACATGACAGAGAGTGTCACAGTGCATAGAGGAATGGCGGGATTTTGAGGAGGCCTTTGCCAAAAATGGCTCACAGTACCTAAAAGAAGATACGTGTTTAAATGTAAAAGTATCTGAATTAAAAGGCTGTTATTATTATTACTCAGTAAATAAACTGTTTGGCGCAAACAGATTTGTTTTAAAAACACTTCAATTACCAAAAAATAGATTTAGGAACTTAATTTTGGTTCTGTTAGTACGTGCTTTTATTGTGAGCTTTCGTAATGTCATCAATCAGGTTACATAGTCCCTAGTAATAATATATGATTAGATGTTAAAAAAATAGTATATGCTTTGCATAGACTATTTTTTATAACTTTTGTGTAATATATTATTATTATTAATTACGCTTTGTACTTTGGATGTTCGTGTAAAATGTTAGTTTCTACCATTTTTGCGTATAATAATAAAATTATAATGATTTTCCTTGTTATTTTTTCAACCATGTCGAACCTGAACAATAAAAGCATCGGATGCAAAACTGTATAATAAATTAACGTTTTTTATGGTTGTCCAAGCTTCGAAAACGCTTTAATTTTATTTTGTTTTTCTTGAATTATACAAAATATTTTTGGACACAGTTTTGGGAATGCGTAAAGCTGACGTAAACAATAAAATAAATATTATTATAAACGTTATTTATTCATATAAATCACAGATTAAGTACATAGGCAAGCCGTTAACGTCCCCATCCTTGATGGCCCCATCCTCTTCCTCCATATCCGCCACCCCAACCTCCTCCATAACCGCCACCCCAACCACGGCCGTAACCACCCCATCCTCCTCCATAACCACCACCCCATCCGCGTCCGTAGCCGCCGCCCCATCCGTTACCATAGCCGCCCCAACGTGATTCCTCTGCTTGTAGTCCTTCAGCTGGTACTTGCACGTCAGGGGCAATAGCAGCATCCGCCGGCAGCGCTGACACGTAAGCCACGCAGGCACATAATAGCAAGACAAACGACATTAACTGAAAAAAAAAAACGATTTGTCAATTTTATTATGTATTATACTTGCTGACCCGGCAAACGTCGTTTTTCCCTGTATATTATTTCTACGAAACATTTTTTTGTTCAATAAAATCTATCTATATAATAAACTATCTACTAAAATAAAAAAAATGTATGTATTTTTGTATGCTGTATCAAAAAAAAATCAAAACAAAAAAATTTAGGGGTTTACCCTTAACATTTAGGGGGATAAAAAATAGATGTTGTCTGATATTCAGACTTACTGAATATGCATAAAAAAAATCTGTCAGTCTGAGAATCGGACAACATCTAGGAGGAGTATGGGAACGAACATTGTGACACGAGAATTTTATATATTAAGATTGTCATAATTTTAAAGAACTTTATTCGAATTTTCCCACAAATGTTACTCCAGGAAATTGGAAATAACTGACATTCGAGTTATACCAAGCTTCAAAGAGCTTCAGCCTTAAGGGCTTAATCCGTACAAAATCACGGGCACAAACAATTTAATTTGCACTTAAATAAATATAAACGAACTACTCAAGATACTTACAGTCTTCATGATGGCAAGTTTCCGAATGTCTCGTGTGGTCCGATGCGACCTATATATACAAAACACACCTTCATGGGCTTGTGACTAATCCTTGCAGGTAAATAACCTACCATATATAATGAAACCTCATCTCGCTTCTAAATCGATCGGTAATAACACAATTATTACTTAGTACATAATTGTGACTAATATCTTTGAAGGTGCTTAGAACATCTTCCGTATAATGGTAACAATTGTTGTAGGGCTGGCATATTAGTAATTTGTTTTATTTAGTTACTGTTTCAATAGCTAAAAACAGCCCCTGCTTTAACAAAACAAAACAAAATTTTAACTAATCAGTTAATTGATTTATCAAATATACAAAGCGTAATTATTATATTACGAAACACAAAAGTTATAAAGCTATACACAGCAGACTTTTTTTAACACCTAATAAAATATTATTACTAGGGACTATGTAACCTGATTGATGCCATTAGGAAAGTGCACAATAAAAGCACGTACTAACAGAACCAAAATTAAGTTCATAAATCTATTTTTATGAAATTGAAGCGTTTTTAAAACAAATCTGTTTGCATCAAACAGTTCATTTACTGATTAATAATAATAATAGCCTTTTAATTCAGATACTTTTACATTTAAACACCTATATCACCTGTATCTTCTTTTAGGTACCTGTGTGCCCTTTTTTGCAAAAACAAAACAAAATCTTAATTGATCAGTTAAAATGTTGTAGCAATGTTGTACCTATTAAATTAATTTACCATTACAGATAATAATAACTCTGAATATATGACTCTAAATACTGATGTAAGTAGCTAAATTCGAATATCTAATATGAATCCTCGATCCTAATCTATCAATAGTTTAATCCCGCTTAAACATTTTGAGTGTGTTTGTGTATCACAAATCACTTGCTGCTAGAAAATAAGATACTTGTCTATGGAAGAAAACGGTAATGAGGCGGTTGTGGGGGCACTAGGTTATTATTTAAATGTATGTAAAATTTATAATTTTGACTTAAATTCACTTTGTGGTATAATAAACTTTTGTTGGATTTTAAATCTACATTATTTATCATTCGCAATAAAAAAATAAAAATAAATCAATGGCGCTAGAACCTTTTTAGGTCTGGGCCTCAGATTTCTGTATCAGTTTCATGATCATTTGTCAATCTAATGGGCAAGTAGGTGATAAGCTTCCTATGTCGGTATAAAGTTTTACTTAACAATAATTACAATAATTAAAGAAGATCGTTAAGACTTTCCGTATTTTGTACGCATAAACATTTAAATTCCAAGTAAATTGAAATTGTAATAGAAGAACATTTGCTCGTCACGATTATTACACAATATAAATAATCGTTTAAAAAAAATAAATTGAAATGTGCTAAGTCTATCATTATGAAGTCCACTGACCCCGCCTTGGGTTGCGGATACTTTTTGCCAATAAATTAATGAAGACACACCTTCGATAAATATTGTTTCGCCGCAAATCGGACCCGGAATGTGGTCATGGTCACCCTTGGGTACTAGTAAGTCTCGGAGGCGAAACACATGTAACTAAAGCAGGTAGCTAATTTATAAAGCGGATTTTATTTTATATAACACAACAACACCAGGCAAACGGGCAGGAGACTCACCTGATGTTAAGTGATATCGCAGCCCATGGACACTTACATTGCCAGAAGGCTCGCAAGTGCGTTGCCGGCATTTTAAGAATTGGTACGCTCTTTTCTTCAAAGAGTCAAGTCGAATTGGTTCAGATATACTTCAGTGGGTTCAGTGGGTTCTCAGTTGTGGAACGAGGGACGTCGAGGTGATACGGATGGTATCTTGTATTCTTGACGTTCGATGATGCAACTCAGCTGTAGGTAGTCCGAACAACTCCTCAAAATTTTCCTATTCATTACGATGGGACCTTTTTAATTTACATACACTGACAGCAATAATATTGAAAATGAATTTGTAAATAATTCGTTTTAAAATATCATAGGACTATATAACTACGCAACAAAATAATGCTCAAGGACAGGTGCGCATTTATGATGCTGTGAATCATTGTCATGGGAACAGCTGGTATTCAATATGACATCTTTTCAATCTCGTTTTTTATTTACCATATCATAAATAATACACAGTGTTGGCCTAGTGGCTTCGGCGTGCGACTCTCATACCTGAGGTCGTAGGATCGATCCCCGGCTGTGCACCAATGGACTTTCTTTCTATGTGCGCATTTAACATTTGCTCGAACGGTGAAGGAAAACATCGTGAGGAAACCGACATGTCTTAGAGTCAAAAGTCAGCGTGACTCAGGCACTGGAGGCTTGCCTATTAGATTTAAAAACGATCATGAAACAGATTCAGAAATCTGAAGCCAAGACCTAAAGAGGTTGTAGCGCCACTGATTTATTTATTTTTATATCATATATAATGCAATAATATTGCTTGCTCACAACCAATTTCGTTGCAATTAATTCGTGATTGAGTTTAGTCGACGGCATTATGATAAATGTGTTAAGTCATTAATATTTGTATAAGAATGTGTTGGAATGCAAACAGCTTTGAACAAGGCATTTTGCAAGGAATTCTTTTTTTTACAGTAAAATTATAAATTAAATGACCACTAATTCGAAATTTTAACTAATTTAAATGAATATACATACATTTAATTAAAGTGTTTTCAAGTACCACATATGTTTAAATATATAAATATACCAGTTCTGTATATGTTATAGGCAAGTATCAGCTGTGCCCAACAATCACGATGTTTTTCATCACAGTATGAACGCAGTACACTGCTCTAATATCTATTATTGAATATCCTAAAACATTTTCATGTAGTAATTTACTACTAATATATTTGAGTATTAATAAAAAAAAATTGTAAGTTGAATAGTTGCATAACAGTATTTATTTATTTATTTGCTCAACGGTATTCCTTCAGCTACTTACTAAACAATATTCAAACATTTACACAAAGGCCAAAAACGGTATACACATTTAAACATACACAAAGCACAGTTTCACCTATACAAATACAAAAAAAAATACGAAGAATATATGTATTTATAATAAATTCTAAGTTCTAAGATTCATTGTTCAATATAATATATTTAATATAAAAGAGGAATAACAAAGCCATTCTATCTAATAATTTCTTCTATAATTTCTTAAGCATTTTTTAGATACATTAAATATATCTATTTGCTGGTAATTATTATGAACCATTGTATATTATCTATAACGTTTCTTTTCGGCAACCTTCGGGAACCTTCTGGAAATGTGAGTGTCCATGGGCGGCGGTATCACTTAGCATCAGGTGAGCCTCCTGCCCGTTGCCTACATTTAAAAAAAAGTTAATATTCTGTATTAAAATAACAAAGCCTTTAAACCTGTTTCAGCGCTTTGAAACTAGTTTACTTTTCTGTTATGTCTTTTAGTTTTTTTGTTGTTATTCCCTTAAATTTTCCGTCAGTTGTTGATGTAAACACGGTTTGTTTTTTGAACTTAAGACGATGATAAATCTCACACATCATCTTGGGTTTCTTAATAACACTCGTCCGAAAATCATTCAAAAATTCATTAAGCTCGGGTCAATGCACTGGAGTTAAAACATATAAACTTCGGTTGTATACAGTTCAAAATTTTACACTTTATAAATTAACATTTCAAAGCAATCTAAAACTCTACATAATGAAAACGTAATATTTTTTACCATAGAGTAAAAAAGGTTTGCATATGAGCAGTCCTATCATAGCGGTTAAGCCGACCAATCTTGAGGTCATACGTTCGAATCCCGGCTATGCTCCAATTGATTTTTCTATGTATGCAACTAACAATTCGTAAGAAATCGGCAGACCAATTTACGTACTAAATTATCAATCAGATTTTTTTTGCTTCATTATTTAGGTATCAAAATACATTAAATTCAATTCAGTATCACTAACAAAGAGCTTATACTTTGATGAAGACACATGTAATTAAATATTCACTTCAATACTAGACGTAAGATATATGTTTAATTTAATTACAGTATGTAACTAAGTTTATAATAATAAATTATACAACGCTATATAATCTACAAAGCAAGTTTTGAATCAACGTTTAATTTGGATTTTTGTTTTAATAATACAAGCGACATTTTCTACATCATTTAATTACTGTATAGCAAAATATTCTGTCATTTTTTTCAACACAATATTTAGTTCTTTTAACAATGTTTGTAGTCCTAGTAATGTCACTTGTATTTCCTTTTATGGTTGACGCGTGGGTTTTTACTTTGATTTCAATGTCAATGTCATCAGTTATAGTACTTTCATTACCAGCGATTGTAATGCTCTTGTTTTCAGAATTTCGCAGTGTTTTATCGGATAATGTTACTTTTTCTTTTGAGCCAGCGTCAGTTTCACTATCAGGCGGTGGACGTCGTATACCGTTAAATGGTGCATTTAGGTATCCGCATTCAAGCCTTCCATTTCGTATTCGACAGCCATTACCGGTATCTGTGATTTCTTCGGTTTTTAATTCCCCTTTGTTCTTGTTGTAACCGCAAATTTTTCTATCATTTACGTATTTGCACTGGGTTATATCGTAATCATAACCTTGACAGGGTTTCGATGTTTCTTCTAATGACTTTGTTCGTAGAGCTGGGTTTAACAACTCATCGGAATCTTTCAATGTTTGCGAATCGGATTTTATAAAATTTTTGCTTTCGTAAATCAAAGGATCAAATAGAATCGGTCCAATTTTTGGAGCGCACGAAATTAGTTGAATTTTAACGATTATACAAAATCCCTGGAAGAGATTCCTAAGATAATATTTATGGTAATACGCAGTAATGATATTGACTAAATATAATCAATCATAAACCTGTCTTACCGATGTTATTATTGACATTATATATGTAGTACGTACGTAGGCACTTGAATTGCATTGATTAATCACCTGGGATTTATCGATTGTTAATAAAATGTTTGTACAATAGCATACAGTTGTTTTTTTTATTTTATTTGTAACTTAACTAAATCTTCATTTAATAAGGTTTTAGTAAACATTGTTTGCTTATTTTATTGGTAAGTAAATGATGATTAAATAAGATCTAAAATATTTACAGATTAACTGTGAAAAATAAAGAACATTAATATAACTGTTCTAGCTTGTGCCATTGAGTATATTTGCCTTTTTTGACACTTACGTTCGCTGCCAAATTGCGTCAAAATTTGTTGTTAAACTGTCGCGATTTTAAATTATTATCAATATCTTTAATAATAGACATGGTTTTTTTAAAAAGGTAATGTAAAATTAAGTTCAGGCTGTTTATAATTTAAACAGATATGGAACGAGCAGAAGAAATCTCGATTCTATGGAATGAATAATTAAAATAAATTAGCAGAATGTATGTGCGCAAACAGAAGACACTAAACAACTAAATGGCAAAAGAATCGAAAAGCAAAGGAAACATTAAAAAGAAAAAAAGAAAGAGAAAATTAACATGCTGCCAGAGATGCAAACGCAGAATTGTCAAGTGGTTTTACAGAAGGACAAAAAGATGTTGTAAGAAAGCTATTTTTGGTGTTCCAGATCCAAAACTATCAGACTATGACATAGCTGGAGTTAATTTAGGAGACGCCAGGGACAAATTAAAAATTAATAAAAGCAAATCTATTAAGGATAACTCTGAAAAGAAAAAGCCCTCCATTGTTACCTTGTATAAAAGTAATAAAAATAAATCGATAATTAGTATACCATTTAAACAAAAACTCATCAGGGAATATGACGATATATCTATAATCAAACCTAAGGGTAGTAATATTAAGGCAATTATAAGTGATTTTAAAGAAAGAAATTTGTATATAGGATTATCTAAAGATTTTACAAAAAGCGATAGAGATTTTTTTTCTAAAAAAGCAAAAGAATACGAAGAAAAATATAAAAAAGCTTCCCTTTTAGACGATTTAGACAAATATAAAAGAAGTTCATACATGAAAAAGTATGATGATAAGTACAAAAATCTATCCTACTTGGATTTCAAACAACTAGAAAGTATGGATAAAGATAAATTAAAACATAAATTATCGATCACATCTTCTAAACATAATATTTTAAAAACTATGCTAAGCGACTATAAGAAAAAGAAGTTTTCGTTAACAGGCTTATTTAGTAAATCCAAAGTGGATATGGATAAACTTGATAAAGAGAAAATACAAAAACTAATAGAACTATACAAAGATAAAAAGAAGAAGAGTTTTACTTTCGTCAAACAATCCAAAATTAAACAGCTTAAATCAGATTTGAGAGCGAAATTAGCTGGCATAAATTGAAAAATTATATACAGAAATATAAACCTGAAAGGTCTTTTGTCATTAACGATACTTGACTGAAAATTAATAATGACTTATACTTATTGGATTTTTGATAAGAACAATGTACGCATGTTATAGTGCATGCATTCTGGTAAATGCCTACACGGTACACCTAACATTTATAGCGTAAAAAATCATGAATTCAAATTGTTCTTATTTTTCCAGTTTTTAACGAAATTATTACAAGTAATGTGTTGCACTTGTAGTGATCACGATGTGACAGTAACTGAGTCTGGGAGACAAATACACAAGGGAATTGAAGATGCTACAGAGACGGCAACACGACGAAATAAAAAACGATGCTGTCCTTATAATTTCGACAGCAAATTTTGTAAAGTAATCGGTGACCGGCTCCTCTGCGGCTATAACACTAATGTTGGAACACCCCGAAATAGTGAGAAAATTGTAAATTTAAATAATGGATGTATAATAAGAGGTGGAAGATTAGAATGTGGTTATTTTGAACCTCCATATATTAATTCTAGAAGACCACCTGGTTGGGATCAGGGGTCAGTGTACGAAAATCAAGATATAGACTTGGAGAACGACGTGGATACATCTATGTCGTCTCCACTTTTGAAAAATAAGTTAAATTTAAAGAGAACAACTAACAATTTACTTGGATCAACTAGCTGTCTTGAAATACGGGACAGAATTGTTTGTCGCAGGTTTTAAGGTCATTGCTTAAACATAAACGCCTTTCAGTTTTACCTTAGACATTGAGAACTTGGACAAATTTTGCTAATACTTTTCTTGAAGGCGTAGTATGGAGACAGAACAATAAGGCCCACATACCAGCTTCAATGTTTGCATAAACTATGCAAAAACATTAATAGATAGATAGATAAACGCTGAATGTTCTTTCGTGCGTTACATTTTTACGCACTAATGTGTCTACTTGGATATTTATTATTGATAATGTTTTAAACAAAAGATAAATATGAATAAGTTTCTGTAGTATCGTAGATGCGAGCGAAATCAATTTAAAAAAGGAGTTAAATTAAAGTAGCAATGACGTGATTGTTTATTTTAATTGTTTCTTTAGCTTAATTTATAAATAAACAGATTTAGGACACCATGAAACGTAACTATTAAGTTTAAACTATTATATAATGGATATTGTACTACAAACAAAGTCGCAAACTTTTCATATTCAAGTAGGTACACGCTACACACACATATTTTTAAATACGTTTAAACTTTAAACTGTCCAGTTCGTAGCTCTCCTATGTTTGTATAGTGAGAATAAATTATTAATATAATTGCTTCCAATGAATGTTAGGAACTAGATTGTAAACTCATAATTTCTCTTAGAAATTGCTGACATAGAAGCTGTAATCTAACACGTCTAACTGCGAAGGCAGCAATTATATCCAATACTTTCCAATGTAATTTTACACGTAGAAGTTACCTTTGGGTTTCAAATACTAAATTTATGTACATGATTTACGACGGATTGTTGTTGAATAGCAATAATAATTGCACTTACCTTGGCATCGTACGCTTTGGTTTAGTTTTTTTACTGATAACACGGAAGCGACTTTATTATATAGTATATCTTGTACCTATATAATATATATCTAAAAAGCATTGTATTATCTAGTGAGTACGGTGTGTTTAGGTTTTCTTTATACGGCTAAGTGGAAGATGGTGGTACATCGAACATCTGGTACTGAGTTCAGTTCCAAGTAAAAAAACTATTGTTTTGCATTGAAATGGACATATAGCTGAAATGGTTGGTGCCTTTGTTATAAGACAGTTTTTTTAATTATTATTTCTTTTATTTATTTAAAGAAAAATTAAAATAAAAGTTTATGTGCCGGAAAACTAATTGGTCACAATTTTCCATCCAGAAACAGAAAATAAGACTATTTTATAAAATTACATATGTAAACAAAATAGTACAGTATATACAAAATAGTACAGTTTATCGTAATAAAAAACATTTCATAAAAATTAATTCAGTCTAATAAATTTAACATTATCTCCTCAATAAATAATCCAAAGCATCTAATCCACCTTCTAAACTCGGTGGTCCATCATCAGCTAATAAACTGAATATCTCTTTCATTATTTTCGAATCGCCGTCATCTTTTGGGTATAAGTAGTCCAAGATGCGCGTTATCGATTCAGAGTAACCTCGCTGCTCAGATTTTCCATCGAGAAGTTTTCCAAAGGTTGTCGTTATTAATAAGAGAGATACCAGGGCCAGTGTTGCTTTCATTTTCCTGAAAATACATTATAAATTCTTAAGGTAAAGTTCATCAGTGATCATTATTCGTGGGAAAATAGATTCGAACGAGATAAAATAGGCATGGTCGCATTTAGAGGTCTGGCGCTCTCGGAGTAATAAAGGAGGGGAGGCGAAATATATTCCAAATAAAATGGACTTTTCAGTCGAGTTTACCAGTAAATAATTTATTGTGAAAGTATCGATTCTTTTATGATCAAAATCTCTATTGTCGAGGATTCCTATTGTGGAGTCTTCCTATTGAGGATCCCTTAAATCCGGGGCTGATAATAGGTATCTTTGGCGTCCCAATGAGACATTCGTTCGTTTGTTCCATTGATATGCCCTCATCAATCATAATTTGGGAGTGGGTTGCGGTAGTGGTGCCATGGCGTTTACATAGAGGTACTGGGTTCGATTCCCTACTAAATAATTATTGATCACGTTAGAAAATAAAGAAGGCTGATAAACTATGGTCCTAAATTCTGTGTACAGAATTTTCTGAATATACCCAAAGTTTTATGATCAACTATACAAATGATCAACTTAGTAGGTAAGCGAGCATTCCTATGGTTACACATATTTCCTTTATTTGTATAAATATCAATGTGAAAGTAGGCGTATTTGACTAGAAAGTTAAGGGCGTTATCTCTACCGTTAATCGCAAAGTGTATATTACAGATTTGCTTTCCTAGAATACAGTTCACAAAAGAGAGTACGACCTTATATGAATTACAATCTAGCCTATACAATAATTTTGGCTAATAAATAATAATATGTTGACTTAATTTTCTACAATACTAATAAATAGCTTAAACTATGGTAATGTTCATTAAGACTAGTGTTCTATAATGTTTTGACACTATGTTCGTGTGTCCGAGATACCGCACTTGCACTTATCACTACACTAGGTTTATTAACACGAAAAGATTAGTTCTCTCGTTCCTGTTGTATCAAGAAGAATGTGTATTAGGTACTGAATGTAAATCACCTCTTCTGATGTCTATAATATAACATCAAAATCTCTAAGGTACTTTCATTTTTAAAATAAATTCAAATGGCGTTTTGAAGTTTTACAGTTAATTTAATGATTTTTTAATGATTCACGTCGGCTGCATTTTCATACGTTTCAAATGTATCCATTCTCAAATTATCAGACATCACTGAGCCAGTCCCTACTGGGGTCGTCTCGGCCCGGATCTAATTAATTATTATTTTGCAAATTTAAAACCGACTTAATTTTTTAAATAAAACTTATTATTGACGATATTGTATTTTATTTACTGTATTCCCTCTAAGAAATTTACGACGAAATCAATCGATATCAATGTAGCCGTGAAGTCGATTTTTTAATTGACTTCAATATCTCGAAGAATAACAATTTTATATTTGATTAATTCTTAGATGTTTTGTAAGTGTTAAGGAAGTTTGTCCGCGCACCACTACTTTGTGGAACCAGCTGCCCACTGAACTATTTCCAAACCAATTCAACTTAGGGTCCGTCAAGAAAAGAGCGTACCAATTCTTAAACGGGCGGTCCATGTCACTTAACATATGTTATATAAAAAAACTAAAAAAAAAGCCTAAATCATAATAATTTTGGTAAAAAAGAAGCGCTTCTATGACCACGGACAGGGGACAGATTTGATAGATACATTAACAGATAGATAGATATAATCTCTCTATGTTATCAATCTGTAAAAACATAGAATCGCTACTCGTATGATAGAAAATTAGATACGAAAAGATCTTACCTAGACAATTTCGCGTCCAAAAGCAACACAAAATCACTGCACTTTATATGTATTTTTAAACATATTGCGTGCTTCGTCAACTAATTAAAAGCAGTGTGTTATCCATTGTCCACATGTGGAGTGACATGCGTTGGTTACGAATGCTAACCAACCCCACTTTCTTTATGAATTATGTAATCAAGACACGTTTCCGTATAATTAATATGATAGTCGCTTATTTGCTGCGAGATACGAATTAAAGTCAAGTCAAGTCAAAATCATTTATACATATAGGTAACACAATGTACACTTATAAAGTCAAAAAAGTTTAATATATATTAAATTCTTCTAATTTTACATTAACTGCAAGTTCTCAAAACAAGGGCGTAGAACGGAAATGAAGAACTGGCAATAAACTCACTGCCACTCTTTTTAATCGCCAAGTTTTTTTTACACAACGTTTGTAAGGAGCTGCAACTATTACACCATGTTCCACATGATCTTAAGTGATAAATAATAATAAAATAAATTAAAAACAAAGATTTGTCCTCTATCAGCAGGAGGCATGGTGAAATAGGCACTTACATTCTCTAAAAAACTATTTATTTTTTATAAAAATGTTTTGGGATTTTATTTCCTGAGCGCATCCTTCAGTTTTCAAAATTTGACCTGACACAGACATTTGACCAACTCCGAGTCTGAATTCTCCTTTGTTACATATGGCCAATTGTTTTGTACGGCTGTGAAGCTTGGACAATCAAAGAAGATACCCGCCGACGTTTGGAAGCATTTGAGATGTGGTGCTTTCGTCGCATGCTCCGTATAGACTGGTTCCAGATTATCTCTTACGAGAAAGTTCTTAATCTAGTTGGAATGTCGAAAAAATTTATAACAATTAACAACGGAAAGTTGCGTATCTGGGCCACGTGTTGCTCCGCTATTACCTCTCTCAATCAATTATAATGGGTAAAACCGAGGGTAACCGTGTTGGTAGGAGGAAAAATCATGGCTTCGCAATGTAAGAGAGTGGATGGGTATAGCGACTGCGGAAGAGTTACTGCATCTGGCACAGGAGAAGACACGAGAACTTCAAGACCCTGTCGCCAAAAGATAAATAGAATTTAGTGAAATTGGTACTTTAGTTGTTTTATCGCCACGAGGCAATTGGGAAATTCTGTTATAATACAATTCACAAGTTTTTTTAACAATTTTGTTGGTAATAAGATGGAAGCCGATTTCTAGTTTGGGTCGCTGCGCCAGCGGAATTAGGTGTGGTATCAAGATTTTTTTTTGTTTCCCATTTCAGTCGATGTATAACTTTCGCTAGTCAATAGTTTTTTTCTATTAATTTACTTCTAACAATAGCTTATTTGATTAAAAACTCGAAAAAATCTATACTATATCATTAGTAAGCTAATTAACTCCAATTATTCACTTTCTTTTTCACTACCGTAAACGGTAATGTGTAATCTAACAAACATATTTTTACTTAAATACTATAAGTTCCGCATCTTGTGGTAACATAGCGGTCTTTGTACTTTCAAATTTGTGTGTTTACATTCAAATTACGGACCTTTCTTTAAGAAAAAAGAATTTTGTTGGAAACGTGTATTAAATTTCACGTGGCGTGCTGACTTGGTATTCCGTTGATGTTCGGCAAACCTGTCTTTGTACTTTCAAATTCGTTACGAAATCTTTGATTAGAAAACAAATTAATTATAATAAACGTCACCCGCGTCTAATAGCGCGCGTAATAGGCGCACGAGACCCTCGAGTTCGAGACTTCATCCTGGCTGTTCACCAATTTATAAAATAAATCAATGGCGCTACAACATTTTTAGCTCTAGGCCTCAGACTTCTGTATCTGCTCCATGATCATTTGTCAATTAATAGGCAATTAGGTGATCAGCCTGTGTTTGACACACGCCGTCAACTGTTTGGGTCCGGTTTCCTCACGATACGCCTTCGTACGAGCGAATGATAAATCGGCACATAGAAATATAGTCCATTGGTGCACAGTCAGGGTTTGAACCTACGACCTCAGTCGCACGCTGAAGCCACTAGGCCAACACTGCTCTACTGCACCAATTTATATGTGCGCAATTAATTTGTTGATACGGTAAAGGATATCTAAGACCGGCAAACGAGGGTATCTGATAGGGACAGTAGGCTCATAACTTTCTTATCTATAAGGATTTATTATTATCAAACAGTTGGCTCTAAGACGAAGATGTGTTGTATGCTACTGGATTTTTGTATCTCGGTCACCAATGTATCGATTTAAATGAGATTTTTATCGTTTTTAATTCTGCATCTAAATGACTGCTAAATTAAAAATTAGTCATACACAAGAAGGTTAGGAATTGCACGCTTAGTTAATATTCCTCTTGTCATTATACTATTTATTGCGTGTCAACAAAGTTTTACCTTACCTAAAATCCTTCAAGAAACAATGATAAATAATTGATCCGGATCCTTATTATTTAAACGAGCAATATTTTATTTAATCATTATTCTTTAGACGGCATAGAAAGCAGATTGTTAGCAATGAATAACTTCTTTAAAGTTGGTATTTTTTAATACTTTTTTTAATAAATACAATACGTTTATTTTAAATATTTTTTATTATTCCAGGTCACAGTGCTGTACTTATCGCTTTATCAGTATGACCTAGTGCTAAGTAGGAAAATTATAAAGAAAGTATGGATACTCAAGGAATTTCCGCACGGAGTCCTCCATCCCTTTAGTCCGATATCGTTAATAAAGGAAGCAATTACGCCCTTAGGAACATTGAGCGTCGAACATCTTATAGAAAAAAGAGATTTACATCATGAACACACACGAAAAGCAAGAGATGCTGAAGATATTGAACTACCAAATATTGAACAAGTAGTTGAACCAGATGCTGTTATTGAAACACAAAAAGAAATTGTGTCTCAAAACAACTTTCTCACCGATATTATATTAACACGCGTGGAGTTTCATAGGGGTAAACCAGTTGATGCTATTAAGTTACAATCTATTACATTTCCTGGTGAAACGAATCAAGATGGTGTAGGTTCATTATCCACAGATACAAGCTCAGATCTAGTGGCGCAAGCTTCATCGAAAGAGAGTTTAATTGATACTGAACATGAAAGCGAACCTCCAAAGGAAACTGAGAAAATAGACGGTGAAAGCGAAAAATTAACTGAACCAAAATCGGATGTAGAACTAATCAGTAATGTAGAAGAGAAGAAAAAGGAAGAGGAAGACAAAAAGGAAGAGCTTCAAGACGGCAAAGAATCTCAATTGGAACTATCAGAAACCACAGATGAAAAGGTATCTGGTGAAGTGGCGCAAGGTTCTGAGGAATCGCCAGGTGTAATTGAGAATAGGGAGACCGAATCAGAGGCAATTAGTGATAATGTAGAGGCTATACCGGTCAAACCAGAACCTCTAGTTGAAGTAACTCCAAAGCCTATAGAAACTCCAGCACTTCCAGTGAGTCCGTTACCACAGCCAATATATATTCCTTTATACACGGATGTCAAGACACCCGTGCCTATTCCTGTTCAGCCTGTGGTATCGGAAGTAGTTGTTACAGCACCGCCTGTAGTAGTTGTTACAGAAAAGGAAGTGGTAGTCGCACCTCCACCTCCACCACCAGTACAAACAGAAACAACTGTGATCCAAACAGAACCAACTCCAGGTTTATTTACTCGTGGATCACGTTTTATGTTAAACGTTAGCTCTCGTATTTTAAGGAAATTGTTAAGATTAGTTTCAAGGGTACAATCACGTATTCCGCTTCCTCCAGCCGAAGCATAGATATAAATAATATATATATACTACTTCGTTACTTATTTATTGTTGTATATTAATAACTGGGTTTGTACTCTATTAGTTACTTAATAAAAATGTTAGATTATGAAAATGTATTTATGATTATGAATATAAAAATGATATGTATTTCTTTCCATCATGTCAACAATCGTTGTAAATGCCTCACAATACGAGTATTATATTCTCCCTAAACCCTTTAAATGTGGGATCAAACCCATTTGCTACATTAAAATTCAAGATTCTTTAAGACCTGGAGGACGCATAGGAAATCTTCCCCATATTCTCTTCTTCGTATGGTTTATCGAATGCTACTAAACATTACATCTACACGAAAAAGAATTTTATTCTACGTTATGAACACAAAAATAAGACCTAGTAATTTTCATAAATCTCATAATTACCTTTAATAGCGCCATTAAGTTTTTTACGCTCACCACGTACTATGTCGTTATATGAGTAGATTATGAATTTTAAATATATATATGCATTTTTTAAATGCTAGAAGGTAACTTAACCCGGTAATTAAACTAAAAACCAGCATCAATTGAAATACCAATTATAAGGATCAAATCTCTTTTGCGTGTGCTTACTTTTTATATGAAACATCCTTATTTAAAATATTTAACTAAAATATTTATTAGTTTCTTCTGCCGATTTAGGTTAATATGTGTCAAGAAAGTTACGACGTAATAGTGTTTTTATTAAAACGGTGTTATGGGGGTATAATGGGTAACTATTAAAAGAAGATGAGAATTCCATCTTTCGTTAAGTAAGACTAAAAGGACTTTTAACGAAATGAAGACATAATTTTGTAAACAAAAAGATTTTTATTACGTTGTAATCTATTCAGGAGTACATCATTGGATTGTTTGTCAATCATGGTAATCACTTTCCTAATTTGTGATTAAACCCGCTACCTGAACTTCCCTGGTTTCCACCATAACCTCCCTGGCTGCCTCCATAGCCACCGCCGTTGGAGCCTCCGGAACCTCCCGAGGAACCTCCTGAGCCACCGCCGCTGGAGCCTCCGGTACCTCCTGAGAAACCTCCCTGGCTGCCTCCATAGCCACCGCCGCTGGAGCCTTCGGAACCTCTCGAGGAACCTCCTGAGCCACCTCCACTCCCACCCGAGCCCTGGCTACCCCCATTACCACCTGAGCCTTGGCTTCCACCATATCCCCCTGAGCCACCCCCATTTCCACTTGAGCCTTTGTTTCCACCGAATCCAGAACTCCCCCCACTGCCTGAGCTTTGGCTTCCACCTTGGTTTCCACTAGATCCTGAGCTCCTTCCATTGCCTCCTGAACTACCCCCGTATCCACCAGAACTACCACCACTTCCACCCGATCCTTGGTTTCCTCCAGAACTTCCTCCGTTACCTTGGCTACCACCGGATCCGGAGTTGCCAAATCCTCCCGAACCACCACCGGAACCTCCTGAACTCCCACCAGATCCGCCGGAGTTACCACCATAACCACCAGAGCTGCCACCACTGGAGCCTTGACCACCACCTTGGCTCCCAGAGGAACCACCACTTCCTCCGCTAGAACCTCCTTGCGAGCCTCCTCCTAGTCCACCAAGACCCCCAGAACCACGCAAAGCGGCTCCTAGTCCAGTCCCAGAGCCACGGCTGGTTCCGGTAGCCCCAGAGTCACTTTTGGTTCCGAACAGACCCGACTTGGCCTTGCCAAAAGCGTCGGAGCTGCTACTTGTACCACCAAATTCATCTCCTTGTGTGGCTAGCACTGAACAAAGCAGAAGGACTACTGCAAGGCATTTCTGGAATAGATAAGAGTAAATTCAGAATCAAAGTACAAGTATGTGTTCTAATCTATTATCTATCACTTCTATAAGTAAAAATCTTGGTGACAATTCAGTCCATTAGTTAAAAAAACAATTGAATTAAAATAAGCAAATTTTTACTTGAATTCGATGCATAAGGTGCTTAGTTTTGTATATTTAGAAAGCAGCGACAGTTTGACAGTTTGATAAATATTCATAAATCAAACAATTGCATATTAAAATAAATTAGACAATATTGCATTAAAATTATAAAATTTGTGATTACCTTCCCCATGGTGGTGTATTTGTTTGCCTGTTACAAACTTCTGTTATACCCTGACTGCCTCACCTCTATCTTATATACAGGGCATAAGTATATTATAATATATTCTATAATGTAGATTGGTATTTCATATTTTGCAAATACTCAATTAACAATAATTATAAGATTCTTTATGCTCTAGTTCTCTGTAAAGATTATATTAAACGTTTGTATTACAATGAAATGATTATATCACGGGTAGCAAAAATCTATTAACTTATACTAAAGTAAATTTGCCCTTAATTCTAGTAAAAATACAAACTGAAGTAAAGCAAATTCAACTTAACTGGCATTACCTTATTATATGATCCAATTAAGGATTTTTGGTATTCTTGAACGAATAACAAGTAAACTCAAATTTAGGTTTTATATGATACAAGTATATCAATACTAGCTGGTACCCGCGACTTCGTCTGCGCTGGATTAGCATTTCGAGACGCTTATAAATTAGCGCGGCGTAGAAAGGCACTAACATTATGACATTAAAATTTTTAGGTCGCATTTGATAAATATAACAGCCTGACAATATTGAGATGTTACAGTCGCACTATATATTAGTGACGTAACAACATAAGAAATACGGTAATGAAGCAGTCCAGAGCCCATTCCCGTCATACATTACATATGTGTAACTCTAGCGGTTTTGGCAGCGCATGCCAGAATGGCTCGCAGATGGTAGATTTTTTCCTTCACTTGTAATTTTGAACAATTCTCACAATATCTTTATAAATTGTAGCCTAAGTGTAATTCTGATGTTTAAGCTATATTATTATAAAGTTTAATTAAAATCTATTCAGTATTTTTTACGTGAAAGAGTAACAAACATCCATACATACTTACAAACTTTCGCGTTTATAATATTAGTAGGATGTTTTAATAAGTACTATACTAATAAACGTCAGTGTTCATCGAGACGATAAAAACATGTGTTGATGAATAGTCAATTAATTTATTTAAAGAAGTAGACATTATGGTAATAATATACAATAATACAAATATATTGTAAAGTTAACATACGAATAGTTGCTGTTTTCTATAGCTTTGCAGTATGAATGAAGTCCCCTTAAAAAAAACAACAATAAAACTCATTTTGTACTATTTTTCAATTTTATGAGGCATCAAATGCCTGAAAAACTCGTCGAATTTTCGGTTTAATAGTACCTACGTTTCTTTCTCTCTTTTTTACTTTTGTATGTGTAAAAGACTGTCCCCAGTCGAGCTTCAAACCCAGAGTTGAGAGACCGCTAGACTAGGCCACCACTGCTCCATAGTAGGAGGTAAATTCTCAGTATAACAAAGGCTATGTTTATTAACATATTTCACGTTTAATAAAGGAAAAATCCTTTAGCGATCATAAATAGCACTTTAATTGTATAGTGTATAATTAAATTAGCGGTTCCACGTAAATATTGAATTATGACTTCATACATATAATTATTATTCTTGACGTCGTTGGTAATAAATCTAAGTAATTCAAGTATAGTTAAGGAGTAAAAAATCATACCTAAATAATGTTGTTTATCGACTGAATTATTTATTATATTATTTTGTGCATACAGAAAAACACTTAAATTTTAATAAATATTTATTTCCAACACACAAATATTCAGTATTTACAATATTATTAACATACGTAGTAATAATAATTATTACCACAACAAATTTAAAATGTTTGGTCCCTGTGGCCGTGTACCTTTAACGCTATTATATATCGTAGAATAATTTTATATTAATAAATAAAGCAATGTAATACAAAAAGAAAATAATAAGATTCAATAAAATTATTATATATGTATCATAAGACATAGACATAACATTTATTACTAACAAAAACACACACACATAAACACAAAAAATAACAATAATCAAAGACAAAAAAAAAAAATATATATATAAATAAAATATTGTTTTTTCCTTTTCCTATTCGGTTCGTTTCAAGTGTGTAATGAGTAACGTAAAAATTATAATATTAAAACACTGACGGTAAAGTGAGATATAATTATTTTTTTATCTTACAACAAGTAGGTAATACAATTTAAAAACTCAATTCTAGCTGTAATTAATAATATTGTCAGTAGTTGGCGAATATATTTCTTAATGTACCTGACCAATATTGTTTACCTCCGCGCCGTCATTAGCAGCTATTGCATTTGCGGCATTGTTCGAGTTGTCTTCAAGTATGTCCCCAGGCGTGAAAAATCTAGTGATTAAGACGCTGACCCGAAAAATATCTAGACAGTATCCTGTGCTTAGGCATGCTACGAGGAGTACAGTTACTACCTGGAATTGAAGGTCATGTGTCAAACTATGGAAGCTATAGGCAATTATCCGTATGTGCTTGATAAACGTAAACAAAGTATATTTACTGACTGAAAGGTTACAGCTGTATATATTTTTGTACAGGCGTTTGTAAGAGCAGTGTTGGTGACTGTCAAACCTGAGGTCGTGAACCAATGGAGTTTTCTCCCTATGCAGTGGCGTACTAATAGGATGGCAGTGCTGGCAAAATGCCCCCGACTCAAGAGGGCCCCTGCCCAAGAGATATCATGTTCTATGGATGAATGTGAAGTCTCCAATACGCATTGGGCTAGCGTGGGAACTACAGACCATTCCCTCACGCCTAAGAGAGGAGGCCTATGGCCATTAGTGGGATATATACAACGTATACAAAATCTCGAAGTTTATTTAAATTAAGCTGAGTACAACTATATGACGATTTTTACAGATAAGGCCCCACCAAAAGAATTTGCCACGGGCTCCAGATGGTATAGTTACGCCACTGACCCTATGTGCGCATTTAACACATTCTTATACAGTGGTAGAAGCTTCACCACCTACTTACCACTTACAGAAATACAGACACACAGAGATCTCAGGCGAACACCAACGATTGTAGCACCATTCTTTTGTTTCAGTTTATTGTTCATGATTCGACCATTGATCCTTATTTCGTGAACTAACGTAGTACAAAAGACTTACAAAACGTATAAATAATGATAATTTAATAAATACAAATATTCGTTTACCTTAGTATTCATTTTGTTTATCTCAGGTTTGACGAATACTCGTAACAGTAATAGAAATACTGGAAAGTCAGCTTCTTATAGATGCACATAATTATTATGTATCTTTTGTGACAGGCGCCCTACATTTATTTTGATATTAAAATATATTTATCAATACGTGCCAAGTACGATGCACTCGTTATTTTATGTACTGAATTACATTAGTAGTGTCACCAATTTAAAAAAAACGTTCTATAAAATTGCCCTTCATCATGTCCACTTCAAGTTATGTATTACAACCACAGCACACACACATTACACACTTAAAACGTACCTTGTTCTTTAAAAGAAAAAAAAAATGTTATTTCTCATTCTTTTTTTTTATTATTATTATTTAGTGTGTTTCTGTGTGTGTGTGTTATGTTAGCAATAAATGGTATGTCTATGTCTAATTGGATTATTATAAATGTATATGAGACAATTAATATCTTATATATAAAATTCTCTTAAAAGTCTGCAACCCTCCGACGGTTACGATTCCTCTGAAATTTTAAAATGGAGGTTAAATAACACTATTTTTCACACCCCTAAATAGGGTCCACCCCCATTTTTTTTCATTTTTGACAAATTTTTTTTTTTTTTTTTATGATACGATATTCAAAAATACATACAACCCTAAGTTTTCCCTTCTATCACCAACCCCTATTTTTTATTAAAATAATACGAACATGGCAAAACGACGTGCGGACAGCTAGTCTTAATATAATATTCTTCTGTTTTGTATGACTCTGAGTAATTTTATAAATTTTTTGTTTTGGGATCTGGAATGTTAATTAATCAGGAATGACTATGTACTTTCATACTTTGCTTAATATCCTAATCGCTTTAAATATCATGCAGGACAACGTCTGTGGGGTCCACTAGTTTGTTTATATAGATTTAACAAACATCATTTTATCGATCTTTGGAAAGAGGAAGAGTAAAGTGGAGTAAGTAAGTATTAAACAGGTGCCCAAGGACAATTTAGAAGGTGGACAGACCAGATTAAGGACATAGCAGATGGGGCACAGTGCCGTTAGAAATGGCGGAATTTGTAAGAGGCTTTTACAAAAAAAGGGCACACAGATATCTAACAAGAATGAGAACATAGAAAAATAACACGTTTAAGAGTAAATAATGTGTAATATCTTTCATTATTTATTATTAAAATTTTTATTTTTAATAATAATAATTAAAAATTAATTAATGAAAATTAAAATGAATTTCAAAAGTTTGGCCCCTGTGGCAGTGTACCTTTAATGCTGGCAGGATTTCCTCGCTGTATTGCGATACTTATTCGTTGAGTGAGGAAAGCACTAGTTCTGGGATCACCGGTATTATCTACCAGGCGCCAATTTAAATCTTTTATTAACGCTTGCCTTTGACCGGCTTCCCTAGACCCCACTGCCCCCAACCTTGCACGGTTAAATTTTATTATTGTCGTGTTAATGTATTCTTCAAAAGCTTCTTTGAAAGAAGATCCTAAGAGGTACAGCGATTTTTTTATATTTGGAGTAAAGCTATTTTTTGTGTCGTCGATGTCCAAATTCTCACCATGGAGATATAATTTTACATTTATCAAAACTTAAAGTGATGTGATCTGAAAGTACATCTGCTTGACCTAATAGTGCCGGTCCAAGACGAACTCCTTGTTGCCAACAACCAGTAACAGTGTAAGTATATATTTTCTTGAATGTTTTCTTGTTTTTTTTAATATTATTATATATATTGTCTATAAAATATTTGCACCTATCGCTAATATACTCAGTATGTTGTATATAGTTCGTTTTGGAGAATATTTTTACAAACGGATAATAGACAAAAATGTTACAGATAAAAATGGTAATTTGGAAAACCCAAGAAAAATAATTTGTACAAAGTAATTATGGGTTTTCATGAGAGCCAAGGGCACAGATAATGCACGAGGCAAAGCCAGTTCAGACAGAGATAATGTAGGGTTCTTTCTAAGACATAACATAAGATTAAAACAAGTCGAATATTTCGTTTGATAATAATAATTAATTCATCTTAGTTGGCGAAGCTTAAGGATAACAGTGGTAATAACAAAATGTGCTTTTGCAAAACGTTAGAGTAAATACAATTATTTATTAAGCTTTTTTAATTTTTATGTTTAATTTATATAAATTAAAGATATTCCCTATTAGGATATAATCATAAAAGATAACATAGATAGGACCGGTGATGAGCGGGTGCTTTCCACGCTCAACGAATAAGTATCGCAGTACAGTGAGGAAATGCTGCCAGCGTTAAAGCTGCACTGCCACAGGGACCAAACTTTTTAAATTTATTTTAATTTCTTATTATTAGCAGTTTTTAATTATTTTTATTATTACTATGTAAGTCAAGAAAATTGTGAATACTGTATATTTGATTGTTATGTTTAGGTTTTATTAAAATAAATATTATCTTAAAGATAAATCTTACGTTACACTCTGTGATACTTAACAAAATACACTAATTCAAACGCATATTGTTTATTAATCGAATAAAGAAACCTATTAACCATAATAGTCATAGTGTTACTTGAAAAAATGACAAATTTAACTCATGCATGGGCTGTAGAGAAAATAGATAACTGAAAATACTGTTAAGAGAATCCTACAAGCGTTTCAGTCGGTATTACCCATCGCTGATAAGTTTAATTGTAGTTCTTTAAAAAGGCTGTGCTTTACTTCTAGTGTTGAAATCGCAGACGGCATTATGTATTCTCTATTATTCATTTTCGTACTCTTTTCTTGCTATTATTGTGCTGATGATTATTATTCCAAGGAAAGCACTAAGGAGTATTGGCGACCTACAACCCCGTCTTACTGGGAGAAGATCAAACCGACAACGTCCAAGGATGATAAGCATCTCTTAATACAGACGACATATGCTAAGCCATACTACGTCACTGGATTATATACGATTCCGTATTATGTGTTTGGCGAATTTGCAAATGTCTACCAACGACCGCCATTTGGATATCCCGACGTGAATTATTTTAATTATAACATCAAGAAGCAGAATAAAGATAAACAATATGTACCATCTTATAAGGCGTAAGTCGACTTATGACTTTTTTTAAATTATGGCGCTTTTATAACTATCGTAATGTATCAAGTGATAATTAAGTTGACAAGTGTATTCAAATATAATTAATGATGAATGTGCAATAATTTTACATTGTTACTAGCTGACCCGGCAACCGTTTGTTTGGCCATGTATATTATTTCTAGGAAACATATTTTTTAGTTCAATGAAATAACTTTTTACAATAATAAAAAATAGGGGTTGATCGTAGAGGGGTGAAAATTAGGGGTTGTATGTATTTTTGTATGCTGTATCATAAAAACAAATTTTCTTTTCGAGAAAATCTATTTTTAAACCCCTTATAACTTAGGGGTTTGAAATATAGATAGTAACCGATTCTCAGACTTACTGAATATGCATGAAAAATTTCATAAGAATCGGTCAAGCCGTTTCGGAGGAGTATGGGAACGACCATTGTGACATGAGAATTTTATATATTAGATTACACACTTCACAATTTTTATATAATTTTAGTTTCTATGTGAATTCTGATGTGTTGTCCACCAGTGTAACTAGTCGTTCTAAGCTGTGCCTGGCTAAGTAGAATGCGATCCTTATACATAATTGATTAAATAAATGAAAGAAAATCTAGATATGAGATGTTTATTAAATTATTTCAACTCTTGAAGATTATTGATTGCCGGATTGATTTCCAGTATTGAATTTTTCTAATAATCCTACAAATGTCTGAAGGAATCCCGTAGGTAGTTTTTCGAAGACTCCAGCGAAACTTCCCAGGTTTTGTGATCCACCGATTCCACCCCCACCAATTCCACCTTTATCGGCACCGCTCGCCTTATCTCCTTCGGCTTGTCTTGGGATCCGTACTCCCGCAAAGGCCACGTGCACGAGGCACAATACAACGGCGAAGATGATTACCTAAAATTGTATTTATTATTATTTTCGGAATTCGTTTAAGGCATGAAAGAACATATCATTACTGCTATCTGAATAGGATTGGTTTATCAGTAATTAAAATGGCGTATTACTTAGATTCACATCCCCTTCTCCCATTGGATCTACTGAACATAAATTGAATGAAGGAAAATGGCAGTAAAAGTTAGAATATCTTAAACCCAATTTGATAAAAAAAATTGAAATAAAAACTTATAATTTCTTATTTTCTATATTTTTTTTAATGTAAATGCAAGCTTACCTTGGAAGTCATGATGATTGTTTGATACCAACCTTTGGTGCAGTGTAGAATATATACAAAAAATTATCTCCATTACATTAACGATAACGTAAATTAAACCATTCTGAAGTCTAAATTATTTCCTAAAAGCATTATTGTAATGCAAAAAACTGCATTGCCGCGTATCATTAAGATACCAAAAACCCTCATTTAATGAATTACTTAATCCGGTACAACCCATATTTTTAGTCCTACCATACAAACAAACTGTTTCTTATTTTATAGTTAACGTGTAAGATTAACTTAAAATATTTATAGTTTAATGTATTAAAATTTGTCGAAATGAATAAACAAAAAATAGGTTAAAAAATGAACTTGATGAATAATTAAAAAGCGTATTAAGGTTTAAGGTAAAAAAATATAAAAATATAAATTTTGATGATGCAATGTTTATTAAAATACACCCTTATAAGAATTTTCACACAAACATGCAATTGAATTAGTTATCGTCCTTGTCGGAGCCCTTGTTCTTCGATGCACCCTTCGCCTTTCCCTTTATCGAATTAGAGAGGATTGATAAGGTTTGTGTTGGGTTCTTGGAGATCTCTGAGAAGATTTTGTTAAAGTTCTTTATGGCTTCTAAGTTGCTAAGAGAAAAGCCGCCGTCATTTTTCTTGTCGTCGTCTTCAGATGATGCAGCTTGCGTATGCATGATGCAGGCGAACATGACGACAGCGAGGATGGCGATCTGTAATATTATATATGAGAAACACTATCAAAGAAGCGTATTAATAATTCTAGATCGACTCCCAGATCAGAAAGAGTTTTATTTGTTTTCCAAAGATCGAACCTTCGAATATTTCAAAGACAATTCAAAGTTAATACAATAAAAATAGTAATAACATACCTTTGAAGAAACCATGATGATATTCAGGATTGTTTAGGTGATTGGAGTTAACTGAAGTTGACTGATGATGAAGCTAGTCTAGGTCTAGCTTTTATATAAAAATAGTTTCGTTTACCAATTTTATGTTCTTCAATTTAACTGATAAAAATGTAAATGTCGGTCTTTTAACAGTTTATGGCATCATTTGGGAAATAGGTATTTTCTATTTTATCTTTAAGTGATTAGAAAAAGGTTAACAATAGTTTTAATAACGACAAACAATTCAAAACATATTCTCTTGAAATCACAATCACATTGGACATTTTTTGCCGCTCCCTGATTTATTGTATAAGTACAGTAATAGATTAGACTACCTTTATCAAAACAAAAAATGCTGTTTTGTTTTCAAAACACTACTATTACTAATTTCTGGTATTATATTATGATGAATTAATTATTAATTATTTCTGGTTATATTAAGTTTTTGGTATTTGTTATTTCATTATGTAATACAAGCTAACCCGGCGAACTTCGTTCCACATTATAATATGGATCAAGATCAAAGCCTGGTTATGCATCTCCTCATTCACCTCAAGATCGGAATTTCTTGAACTGACTCGAATTCAATCAAAAATGGTGCGTAATTTTTCAACAGATGGTACCACATGCTGTTTCCATTTTTTAAATTAATTAATTGCTATTCGATACATTATCCGATATTTTATTACTTATTCTGCTATTCGGAGCGGAGAAGAATCCACAAAAAAAGAGATAACTAACATCGGTCCAGCCGATCTTGGGTTATAAGTGGTGTAACTAACACGACTTTGTTCTATATATTTAGATATACTTAGTTAAAAAAAGTATTTAATTGATAGTTAAATACACAGAGTTTGTTTGGTATGGGATGCTACTTATGTGGACGTTAGCTCCGTCTCACCTGCCCTCGGACAAGCAAAAAATCTGGGATGGCCGCAGAGCAGGTGGATGGTCTTTCCTCCAACTTCGATTTTGTTCCCTTGGAGAGACTCTTGGGACGTGGGGTTCAAGTGCACAGGCGCTAACTAAATATTTCAGTTGGCGCCTGGTAGAGAGTACCGGTGACCCCAGAGCTGGTGCTTTCTTCGCTCAACGAATAAGTGTCATCTTATTAATTTTTAATTATTATTATGATTACGTATTGTTAAGAAAATTGTAAATATATACTTTTTATTTGTGTGTTGGTGTTCCATATAATTTAAGACATTCAATAATTTTTTCCTTTCGTAAATAAGCCTTTTTGTATATATTATTTATTCCATCTTTTGCTATATTTTTAGTATAATAGTTTTTTTGCTGATGATGTTGATATGTACTACAGAAGTTGTATAGGAGATACGTTTTACAATTAACACTTTTTTGCAGATTCGTTGTTCTTGGTATTGCCCTTAGATTTTTTAACAATAATAAATCTAGAAATCTATTAGTTTTTAACTATTGCATTACTTCGTGCATGCGTAAATGTTTAAATTGTTCTTACAGTTTACAAATCTTTATTACAGGTAGTTTCCGGTTTTAGATAACTTCAAACAAACTAGTATATTTAAAGGGTAAAAATTTAATGCAACATGTAGTACTCAGAGATGGCTATAAAGGTACTTAAAACACTTGGTTAATGTCAAACACTTTTAAAAAATATCAGCATATAACCTTCAGGTTCTGGTTTCGATTCCATGTGAAATAATTGTTTATTGCAATTATTGTTTTGGCTTGGAGAATATATATAGTAGTGTAATATATACGGTAACCCCGAACAGAACTGTTACTCTACAGCCCTTTCCAGGACTTAAGAGACAGAGGTTATTAACATTTTCGTTTGGCTTCTACAAAAATAAAATCTACTTTTTATGCTTATTTGTTCACAGGTAGAAATCATCGCGCTTGTAATATGCATTTTCCTATTAAAGATATCTTCGGGAGATAATTATGAAGATAGAGATTGGCCAATTGGTTTCGGATACAGAGATCCCGAAATTGAAAATGCGATGATTGAGAACATATCACTAAATTATGAAGATTTAAGCTCTTTAGTTGCTTCCGTTTTTAATAGGAAAAATAATCCAACATAATATACAGCTGTAATAATGTATTTTTTGTTTTCGAAATAAATTAATGAATTCTTTAATAAGGCGTTTAAAAAAAGTAATGAAATGTTTCCATTATTTTTAAAGACAAATAATGATCATAGGGGAAGTACTTTAAAATCCGCATTCGAATACAAAACTCAGATCAACTGAGATATTTGAAATCATATTTCTAAATGTGGCTTGTTTATTTCAGAATGTATTTTTAAAGTTAAACAGTTAAAACTAGTTTTCAAATCTCTCCCAGATTTGATCATCTATCAACAAGTCAGCAGTTGGTCAGGTTCAGTCCAAGTGAAATGTGAACAAGTTAGCTCTTATTAAAATGTTTAATTAGTAAAATTACCTTATCTTCACTCTAGCGCCAATATGGCGATACTACATGTTAAAGCACTTTCTGCTATACAACATTTATTGATGAGGATCGATCAGAATCAAAGCCTGGCATCTCCTCATTCACCTCAAGATCGGAATTTCTTCAACTGACACAAATTCGACGTAAAATTATGCGTAGTTTTGTCAACAGATGGCACCACATGGTGTTTGCTTTAGTAAAATTAACTAATTTATTTATTCTTATTCGATAACTTATTCGATATATATTTATTACTTATTCTGATATTCGAAGCAGAGAAGAATCCACCAAAATAGAGATAACTAACATCTGTCCAGCCGATCTTGAGTTATAAGTGGTATAACTAACACGACTTTGATTTTTAGATTTCCGATTTGCCTTTATAGCGTTGAAATGGAAAATGGAAATATCAAAGGAGATTAAAAATCACCTGAGACAACATTTGAACTCTGATTGCTACTCAAGTAGCTACTTTATTCGAGAATGTATTTTATTTGTTATTTATTTATTAAAAGCCGCGGCAAATAGGCCACAAATTGGCATAGAAAAAGTGTTAAATTTTGCAAGCAATAGACGGCGTGAACAAACATAACGCTTATAATATTAGGTCCTTACATATGAAATTGGCGTTTTGTATGGGAGGAACAAAAAGTCGAATATTTTTAAATATAATATATTTAATTAATCAAAGTATGAATCATTTTTTCTATGCACTTTTGCCATCTCATAGGTATTATTGATCCTTTATAAAAAAACAATGGACGGGAATCAATAAAATCTGTAAAGGGATTTGGACTGCCCCATCAGATAAAATTTTTCCTTGCAAGAATTGTCAATTTCGAAAAAAATGGTAATCTGTTGGAGAAGGTCCGGGGAGTAAGAGGATTTTAGACATTCATTGAAGCTCTTCTAATTTGGTAGGTCTGTTGTGGTGTGGGTAGGTGGAGAGTGTGAGATGCATAGTTGAGTCCATGTTTGAATTGTGAAAAGACATAGCGTAAAGTTGCCAGATTTGAAAAACTGATGAACAATACCGGACTATCCAAAAGCTAAAGTAACTTTTTGGGGTTAATTTTCGCTTGGGAGGATTTGCTGTGGCAGATCAACCATTGCGCTGAGCACTTCCGATTATCGTAAAGAATCCATTTTTCATCACAGGTAATGATTCGGTTTAAAATAACTTCATTATTGTGCCGGTTCAGTAATGTAACGCAGCAGTCGACGGGTTTGCCGGTTTGCTTCAGTAAATTGTGAGGTACCCATCTTTCAAGCTTTTTAATCTTCCCAATTTGCTTAGTGAATTAAAACAGTTTTATCACTAACATCGGCTGAGCTAACTGATGGTTTGGATGGATCCCTTCCACAATAGCCTTCAAACTTCATTATCAATGGTTAGGGTCCACGGGGCTTGTTCTGCAGATCGAAATTTCCAGAACGAAAACGTTGGAACCAAAAACGAACTGTGTTTTCTTTTGCAACATGACCGCCATAAATCATTCACCCTTCGAGTCGTTTCCGCAGCACTAGTGCCACGGCGGAACTCGTACTCGTAAATAATGCGATACTTTAAGTTTTCCATTTTGTAAAATGAGTGACGCAAACAGAAAAAAAACAGAAGAAAAAAACAAATGAATGACGGTCATCGAAGCACAAATACATGAGTAAATAGCTGTACAAATTTTAATTTGGAATTCTTAACCAAAGAGGAGATATTTGAGGTCAAAGTGGCCAAAACGTAAAACGCCAATTTCATATGTAAGGACCTAATATATAAACATAACATACGACGATATTTAAACCCTCTATGCGCCGAAACTAATTTTAACTGAGACAATATTGATCAATATTTGGGTGCAGCCTTTTTTGTTTTTAAAATGTATGTTTTTGTGTGTATTTTATACTGTATATTCTTCATTTTGTTAACTCAAAGATATCTAGATTGAGCATTCTGATACATGTGCTAGGTTTGGATATCCATAATTGCTCACAATTTGAAAATAATTTTCCTGTAGTTTATATTTTCGTGTATTACGTTTGCCAATAAGTGTTATCGCATTAAATATTTTATTTTACTTGTACCAATGTATCGGTGGGCCGAGCGTTAGCAAGCTTTTATAAATATATTTTGTATGTATTAGTGAAAGTAGTTGATTATTATTTAAATTAGTATTTAAAAATTATAGTTAATTGTGTAAGTAGCGATAGGAAACCGTTTTAAAGAAAGTGATTTCTGTAATTGATAAAAAATTAATTATAAGATATCCCTTATAGAATGTTGAGGCTTTAAAAGTATGCGGTTATTTAGATACATTAGTACATAATAGTTTTATTGTTTTACAGAAGACTTTACATTACACATAGATTAGATCACAATAATTAACTTTTTTTATAATTGAGTTGACAGCCTGATTAGCATTTCCCTCATTCATAATACATCTGTGATATGAACACTCTCTTCTTCTTCCCCACGGGCAATATTTATTCGCTTATAATTAAGTATTGTGTATACAGCAAATCTAATATATAAAATTCTCGTGTGTTGTTGTTGCACAATGTTCGTTCCCATACTCCTCCGAAACGGCTCGACCGATTATTATATATATTTATTTATTAATTTTAATTTTTTAGAATTTCATTTGTTTTTATTTTTGATGATATGATACAGCATACAAAAATACATACAACCCCTACTTTTCACCCCTCTACGATCAACCCCTATTTTTTATTATTTTAGATAGTTATTATTTTTATTTAGTTATTAAGCTTACGAGATCACACACAGTAAATCTACTAATTATTTTACAAAATCTTACGTCTAAAATGTGTGACAATTAAAGTAAACATAAGTTTCACAAAAAAAAATAGAAATTAAAAAATACAATTATTTAAAAAAAAATGTTTCATAGAAATAATATACGCGGCAAAACAAACGTTTGCAGGGTCAGCTAGTGTAACTTTAATATATGAAACAGTATTTTGTATCCCATTCCTCTCTGTAAGACCTTCACTTCCTCATTCTAAATGTCGGTTCTACAAAATATCTCGTTTTGGTATGAGCAATATTATATCGCTCTTCAGATACTTCTGAATCATCACGTTCTCGATGAAGAGCGTAACAAGAAAGATAGACACTCTGCAGATATTTTATATGTATGCCACTCATGTTGCACCTTAATTAGAAAACCAATTGGTCCAACAACAGCCTGTAATAAGATTGTAGATATTAACACACAAAATAAAATATATTCTACTAGCAGACCGGTCAACCGTTTTTGTTATATTACATAGTAGTAAACTATTCAAGGGAAACGGTAGGAGAACTTATGTGAAAGGTATATAGCGTATGTGAAACGTTGGTACTTTTAACACAGCGCCATCTGTTAGAATTGTATCAAATAATAAACAAATATTTGCAATAAAATATAATAATATTATATATAATATTGCGGGTATAAATTGAGATGTTAGGTATCCTATCTTTCAAGTTAGATCAAACTGCACACGGTGTGCAAATTTGATTCCGATGATCGGTTCGGTAGTTTAGGAGTCCATAGCGGACAAACAACGTAACACTTAAATCCCTATTCGCTTAGCTCCTTCGCGATCTTTCTTTAAATTTCTTCTGTACAAACATTACCTGTCCACATCGTATCCCTAACGTTCGTACTAACTACTAACTGACGTGAGACTGATCTTAAATTATCGTGATTCATGTGCACTTATTACTTTTTATTTTTCATGTATCCTTTATTAATTTAGTTTGTTTTTGTTCTGCCTACCTTATCTGATTTAATACATTTTTATTTTCTCACAGTCGTTGCCTGGAAGAAATCGCTCGAAAGCGATAAGGCCGCCTGCCCTCCTTTTCATTTAATTATGTTCAAGATTTATTTTGTAATGCAACGAAGTGTTAATATTGAGATTGAGATTTATTTTTATTTGGGGGGGGGGGGGGGGGCGCAAAAAGCGGGGGGCGCCCCCCGCCCCCTCCCCCCCCCCAAAAAAAAAAAAAAAAAAAAAAAATTATTATAAAAATAAATCTCATATATGTAATATTGATTCAAATTGTGTTTAATATAAAACAGTAAGAAATTAGGCCATGAATTACTTGAACAAATAATGTGTTTCTATTTTTGTAAACTTGATGCTGTACTCCTAGCGTGTTTATTAATTTAACATGTGATTGTTTAAAGTGCATTCTGCACCATCAATATTTCTTGACAGAAGACATTTATATTTTTTCTTAGTTCACAAAACTCTCTTCTATATGTGAAAATATCTCGAGGGTATTTCGGTATATTTTTTTCTATGTATTGTCTTAGGCTTAATAGGAAATATTATATAAATTCGGCAAATACTCGCTGTAAAGTTTTATAATTTTTCACTAAACACCCTTATTGTGAAATTTTAATTTTGATTTATATTAATATAGGCAAAAGATTCAAGCAAAATAGTAAATATTATATATCTTTGATGAAATAAATATAAAGACTATATTATTGTCAATTCGTTTCATTGTTAATTAGATCTAGCTGTTTCCTAAATGTTCGCTATAAATGGTTTATAGACTAAAATCTACATTTTTATCGGTTTAATTGATGATCGTAAAAGGCAAGGGAAACCACATTCATATAAAAGCTAGGCCTAGACTAGCTCCATCATCAGTCAACATTCAGTCACCTTCAGTTAACCCCAATCACCTAAACAATCCTGATATCATCATGGTTTCTTCAAAGGTAAGATTATTACTTTAAATCCTATTTTATTTTGTTTACCGAAACAAGTATTACTAAATTGTCACATCGTTTTGTCGGATTCGACACAACAACAAGATTTAGCAGGTAAAAATACAGGTAACCTGCTAAGGAAGAAGCCCCATTGACGGACTCAAGCTTAATAAGCTAGTCATGAGCTATCGATCTCTTTAAAACACGAGCAACTTCATCACTTCATCACTGCGGCGTTGCGCAGAGATGATTCGAGAGAGTTGTTCGGATCAATACCTGCAGCTGAGTTTCATCATCGGACGTCGAGGCAGAATACAAAATTCCACCCGTATCACCTCAACGTCCGTCGTTCCACAACTGAGCGTTTTTAAGGCAGGTTTTGCCGCGCACCACCACTAAGTGGAACCAGCTGCCCACTAAAGTACTTCTGAACTGTTTGGAATTAGGGTCCTTCAAGAAAAGAGCGAAAAAGGCCGGCAACGCACACGTGGGCCCTCTGGAATTGAGAGTGTACATGGCGCGGCGGATTGACTGGCCATCAGCCTACTGCCTGTTTGCCACCTGTTCTATAACAAAAGGTAATCAATGATACGAATTATGCAACTCTTATTTTACAGATCGCCATTCTCGCTGTCGTCATGTTCGCCTACATCATGCATACGCAAGCTGCGTCATCTGATGACGAAGACAAGAAAAATGACGGCGGCTTTTCTCTTAGCAACTTAGAAGAAGAGAAGATTTTGTTAAAGAACTTTAACAAAATCTTATCAGAGATCTCCAAGAACCCAACACAAACCTTCTCAATCCTCACTAATTCGATTAAGGGAAAGGCGAAGGGTGCATCGAAGAACAAGGGCTCCGACAAGGACGATAACTAATTCAATTGCATGTCTGTGTGACGACGTGTATTATATACGTTAATAAATGGTGCAACATTAAATTTTCTTTTTGTGAGATCATAAAAATATCTCTTCCGAGCTACGACCGATAAATTGTACTAAAATCCTGTAAAATAAAGCTAGTATAATATACAAATGAAACCTAATTCAAACTTAAAATATAAATTTTTAATTTAAATTGTTTAGCTGTCTCTGTCAACGAATGTTATACAATTCAAACGGTAGTTTATCAGCCTTGCGATTCTGTAACTCACTTTTCGAATACACAAGACAGAATCGCAAGGCTGGTTTTAAAAAGAAAACATCCAACCATAACTTTTCTGTTATATTTAAAGTAATAATATAAACTCATCAAAGAATTTTTTCTTTAGCGAAGACCCAGCAAACTTTGTTTGTAACGTAAAGGGGCATCCACACGCTGGCTGTTTGTCACAAACACCGCAAACAGCAAACGAAGTCCCAAACACCAACCACAATCACCCAACACAAACAGCCATCCACATGCTTGGCGAACGTTCATAACATTCCGAATCGGCAAACATGGCGGACGACGAGCTTGTGGCAGCTATTACTTTCGGGTTGACATATTTTTATTATAAATTAAAGCAAGAGAAAAAAAGGAAAAAAAGAAACAAAAATGTGAATAAAAAATAGAAATCGTACAAGGTACTGCTTTAGACCAAAAAAAACAAAAGAAACGAAAAAGTGTAGCAAGTAAATACGTCCGCCTCCCGCAAGCTCGCGCGCATACTGATCGCTGCCAAACGTGTGGATACGTAGCAAACTGTTTGCCAAACATCCTTTGATCTGGCAAGATAAACCGACACCGATGCCGAACACTGCCCAACACAAACACAAACAGGCAAACAACGACAAACACCCATCCACACGTCCGTGTTTGCTGTTTGCTGTTGGCTGTTTGCCATTGTTTGTCAAGCGTGTGGATGGGGCTTAACCACTCTACGGGGCATGGGTCACATTTCGATAGTTATTCAAGTATTTACCTTTCCTTACCTTGAACCGTAAGTCCCCTTCCCAAGTGCAGGTTGAGGGACGACAGATTATTTTTCGGTCTAAAACATTCTGGTTTTTTGATCATTCTATTTGCAATTCACGCAAATAAAAAGGCAAAATCGTAAGCACGGCCAGAGTTCGAACCCCCCACAGAGTAGAGAAACGCACGTTTACGTACTACGGACGTAAGAACGTTTCTTCTCTTTCTTATCTACTTTAAAAAATATGTATCTAGAGCAATGTTTTTCAAAATCAATTGCGAAATTCGAATAAGGTATTATTTGCAAAGAAAGTGATTGATTAATTATAATAAACCGCACAATCAGCCTTATAAAAATAGGCATGCAAATGTCATATTACTTATCATAATGTCATAATAATAAGAACAGTCTTAGTATACTGCCTTTAAAAATGTAATTACCTTCACCTTGAAAGCATCATACGGCAGTGATATGGCTATAACTTCTTCGAACTAAAATATAAGGTGATTAAATAGTTAAATAGCCTTCACCTAACAATTTTTAAAATATGAATTATCGCATTTTTCAATAACATACTATATAGGAATGTGTATATGTAATTCGATTAAAATAAAAGATATTTTAACATAACTCAACTTTTATTTATAATACAATTCTAAGTGATTCCTTTCAATTATTCTAAGCACGGATATTTTGTCCAAAATTCCTGACTTAGAGAGTATTCAGCGGCCACTGCATTCGCTGGATTATTGGACGCAACTAACTTAATTGGACGCCTCTGGTTTCTTAGATATGTTGGATTTCTTGTTCGAACATATTGTCCAATGTTATCGACGTTGGAGATTTGAGCTGCTACAGCGTTTGCAGGATTGTTTGGACCCACGTAAACTGGGTTTCGTTGATAGGCACTGTCTGTACGAGGGTAGACGGGGTTATTCGGTTTTGCAGTGACGAATGTTACGCAGCATAGCAGGACGAGAATGCGAATCTATTAACATAAGATTATATCATAAAACACTCATCCTTTTTTTTATTGAACAGGGGGCAAACGGCCAGGAGGCTCATCTGATGTTAAGTGATATGCCCATTATGATTATGCCCATGGACCCTCTCAATGCCAAAGGGCTCGCGACTGCGTTGCCGGCCTTTTAAGAATCAGATCAAAAACACTTAATAAATATCAGAACTATAGATCATCATACGAGTATCAGACTTAATTATACTTATATTATATAGATGAAAGATATTTATGTTTGTAATGAATAAACTAACACGCTCAATACACGTTGAGTAACAGGTTATATTTATTTCCAAAATATTTAAATAAATGTCTATCAGTACAAAGTTGTTAGCCAGTTGATAGCCAAGTTATTTCTGTTATTAGTAAATATTCGTACAGTAATACATAGACCGTAACGGCTTACAGGTCATGTTAACAAAGCTCAGATCGTGCCTGGACCGGTTCTGTGACAAAATTATTAATGTGAAGGGTGCAAAAAAAAATGAAAGATGCGCATAAAATAATATATATACGATGTAGCCGGGGCGTATCTCGTAAGACAAAGTATGATTTTAATTATATGTATATTTTAAGTAACAATATAAGTGATGGAAAATAATCCCTGAACACACTAGCAGGGGAGAAGAACGAAAAAAGGAAAAACAAAAATTTATAAAGAGAACCAAAACTTATCTTTTGTAAATTCAAGAAACAGCAACATCAGTCCGTACTTTAAAAATGAATGTGGCAAAATTTAAAAATGCGTTGTAAATTTATTTATGAAAATACTTCTTTCTCTCTTCAGTCGGTGGCTCATGTCGGAGCGTTGTGGTCAGCAATGAAGCAACTGGAGCTGACAATCTGTTTCCACCGGTTTCTGTCGAGTGCCTGTCTTATAACAGTGTATAGTTTTGAGGACCATGACTTTCACTTGATCGGTCCACCTGGTTGGTGAATGGCCACTTGATCTTTTGCCTTCTGTGTTACCAACCACGATCAGTTTCTCCAAGTTCTCATCGCCTCTGCGCATTGTACGGCTGAAATATGATAAAATTCGCTGGCGTGTACAGGCGAGTCCGTATGTAGTGTTAGGTTAGGATAGATGTATTGGTGCAATGTCCACTGTAACTCAAAGGCATCAATCCTGTACCTCTTTCGAGCCGAGATAGGCCACGCTTCCATACCATACAGGAATATACGGAATACTAGAAAAATACTGAATACTTACTGTCATCTTAATTGCTTCAGTTAATCCGTTGCTTTATGATTCCCAACTGCATTAAAGAACATACGCACAGTAATTTATAATTATTTTCAACTTAATTTCACTATCTACAAAAAAGGAAACATTTCTTTTATGACTGACTTTTAAAGGTTTTATCGCTGCATTAATTTATTTGATAAGAACTGGAACTCTTTTTAACGATGTTGTAAAGTACATTAAATTTATTTAAGCCTGTTTAATTCATTAGCTAGTTTTCATGCCGTTCACTAGATGGCAGTTGTTGCATTTAGAACGCGGTATTGTTTTGTTTTGACATGTCCTAACGGATCTGGAGTCCGGACGACCCAATAACAATAATTGCTAACGAAAAATAAACGCTACTCATATCATAATCAGATTGGGCTAAATAACCGACTTCACCGGGGAAGGCGTGGACGTGGAAAAAAAATATTAAAAGGTTCTTCATAGTCGTAGTTTATTATTAATTTCTTCTCGCGGAGCTTTGAAAGTAAATTTTCAAAGCTTAGCTTGTAATTTTTGTTAAAAATACTACTACTACATTATTAATGAGAAGCTAATACATAACCCGTCTTCGGCTATATAAAAAATCATAATAATAGGTATTTACAAATGAACATAATAAATTTTTAACTGACTTCAAAAAAATCTAAAGTTATTAACTCCATTGATTTTTTTACTGTTGGATTTCAGAAGAAGGGGATAAAATCGTTGATTTTCCCCTGTTGTGTGTCTTCAAATGAAGTCTCGCAAAAGTCAATTTCGATATTTACTTCCTAAATATTTGTTCGTTGGAGACATCATTTTCTGTTTACTCTACCTAACTAGTTAACAAGTAATTGACTTACGGCTGCTTTCTATACTCAATCCCAATTTTTACTACTAGAGATTGATATTTCCGATTCCAAATTATTTAATCCATTTCTCATAAACTACTTTTCAATAACCGATCGAAAGTCAATATGTTTTTTTAAACCATCTTTGGGAGGACCGATCGGTTAATTTTTTCATTCAAAACAAACTTCTGCTGGTAAGTTTTTAACAGCTGTTACTTGCTATTTAATATGCTGTTATATTAAATCTATACGTTTTATATAAATAATCACGTCTTCAAATAGAAATATAGTTAGACTAATAAGGGTAACGCGTAAAACGAAACCACATGAAACCTTTTGTTACAAGAATTTCAAAGCAGGGATTTTGAAATGCAGATTCTCGATCGCAAAAATCTGGATTGGAAATAATTTTAGATTATCGATCGAGTATAGAAAGCGGCCGTGAGTAACGCTAAAAGAAAGTATTTTGTGGTGTGAGGCTGTATAGGATAAAATAATAAATAAAAATACTTATTAACTTCATTGCATTCTTTAATCAAAACTAAACATTGTTTAATACATATTTAAGTTCATTAATGGGTTTAATGATTTGAGCGATTAACCTGCGAAATTCTTCGGGTAGTGTCTCAAGCAAGGTGGTTATGCTCGTGAAGAACGATGAAGACTCTTTTTCGGGTACTAAAATTGATGATGCATCACCATCACCAGCACCGGTGGTATCGTCTTCGGCTTGCCGTTTTACACGTTGTCCGTGCGTGCAACATTGCGCTATGATGGTTAACGCTAGAAGCAGCTTGATTATGGACCCCTATAATACGTTATTATTATAGAACAGTGTAATTTTAGCATATAGAATCGGCATAACTGTATTTTTCTTTTGATCTGATGCTAACCAATGAAGGATGGAACCGATATGGATTTTGTTTTTTTTAAATTGAATGTTGTTGTTTTTTAATTTGCCAAGAAAAATCAGTTTTTCAACTTATAATAGCAATTCGTAGTGTATAAAGAGAAGACACTCAAGAAACCCAATATTTCATTATTAAAAAAATTATACCTACTTCGACCCAGAAATATATATTTAATGAATTTAATGTGTTACAAAGTCAAATTATTTATTTCAATTACGCCTATTGAAAAGGTACTTTTGTATAACAAGTTAAAAATATTAAAAAAATGACTAGTTGCCCCTTCCAAAGGCAGTTTTATACGATGGAGGATGAAGGATGGGCAATAAACTCCATACTTATTCCTTTGAAATAGTTTTACAATATTTTGTATACATTTATTTGATAATTATTTTATGACATTATTACAAACGTCTTAGATCAGTGTTTCCCAACATATCGCCCACGCCCCACAGGGGGGCAATTTGACAATAAAAAGGGGCAATTCGAAGATAGACTCGACATGTTTAATTATATGTTTTGAAAATTTACTTACTGTATTTTGTTAAGAACTTCCTAGTGATTCCACCCAAAAACCTATCACTTATTTAAATTATTTATGTTAAAAAAAGGGGGGGGGTGTATAAGAATTTTAGAAAGGCTTAGGCGGGGCAGGGCACAAAAAGGTTGGAAAACACTCTCTCTTATCTATCCCGTTCGTGTCCCATTGCTTTTTTAGATAGATATATAACTACTAAATAAAACTATAGTTTAACTTTATAACATCATTCGTTACAACAAATACTCTCTATAACGTAAAAATGAGTTAAATTTATTTGGTTTAACGAATACATTAATGCTTCTCTCTCTATACAGAACCCTCTCTATAATGTATAACAATGCTCGGTCATTTGAAATTCGTTATAAAGAGTTTGACTGTATTTAAAATTATTTAATTTATTATTCAATTATAGAGAGCAGTGTTCCGACATCCCTGAGATCGTAGATTCTAAATAGTTGACGGCTTGTGTCAGGCACAGAAGGCTGACTTACTTATTAAGAAAAAGAAATGACCACGAAACGGATACAGAAATCTGAGGCCCAAAACTAGAAGGTAGTAGCACTACTGGTATTTTATTAATATTTCACTATTTAGTAGTAACTTTCTATACTTTTCAAAAAAAATATACATAAAAAATGAACATGCATATATATAAATATACATACCATAGTTTTGTGGACTACGTTTAGCACGAAACAACTTGAAATAAAACTGTTCTACTTGGTGGAATAGAATTTATGCATTAGCTATATAAAATATAATGACATGGTGAATTTTAAAAATAAACGATATCCACGAACGGAAATTATTATTATTTTATTAAATTAATTTTAAATCTAGTGGAACATTTCAGTATGTATAAATTTTAGATTCCATAAATCAAACATATGTATTTTTATATGGTAAATAAAATTTAACATATTGTTTATTCAACACATGTTAATAATGAGATATAACATATATGTCGCAGCCAACTAGCTTAATAAGCCGTTCAACTAACAGCTTAGCCTCTTAACTTAACAGCGCTGGTTAAGTAGCGGCCTGAAAGAAATTCAGCCGTACCGTTTGTAACATTTGATAAACTGGCTGGCTAATGCTTAGGTGTTGTTCGAATCCAAAAACTATACTCTATTTGGACGTGAACAATGACTTAACAAACACTGAAAATGTTTAGAAATTTCCGTTCCTCTCTACACATCGTCTCATTCGATGGAATCACTGAGAAAAGCAGTGGGCCCATTCTTCCTTAGGGGTCTCCCCTATGGCATTTTCGTACGCTTTCACCGCATCTCGAATTTTATCTTTAGTTTTGGGTTCGTAGCAATATAATATCCAGCTTTCATCACCTGTGACGATGTCAACAACAGCATTTGATTCACCGCCGTTGAACTTATCTAACATTTGGCGACACCAGTCCATGCGAAGGTGTTTCTGGTCGTCGGTTGAACTTGACTCATACCAATGCCTAGGCTTGCCCATATCTGCTGATAGGTCACTCTCTTATCTTTCTCTAACATGCGTCGCACAGCACTGATAGTGATGTTATCTTCAGTAGTCGCTGTTAAAAAACGTCCCTCACGCGGATCATCATTGACATTGCTACGTCCACGCTTAAACTCGTTAAACAAATTATAAATAGTAGCACGAGGTGGGTCTTCATTGAGAAATGCTAATCGCAGCCTATCATAGCTTTGTTGTTGAGTAAGCCCACAACGAAAGTCATAATAAATCATTGACCGAAAATTTTCTCGCCTTAGGTTCAATTTCACGTGTAACAAGAGTTTTAGATTTGCCGCTAATTCATAAAAACAAATGACAAATGAATGCAATATACTACATTAGCTTACCAAAGAGTTGAAAATGTAAGCTTGAAGTTCAAAAAAAGTTTTCATAGGCAATGTTGGGGGCCTCATAGCCTAGCGGTCTTATTAAGTGGCAGCTAGGTGAGGGGTACCGGGTTCGATTCCCGCTTTGAGGGCAAGTTTTAATTTAATTTAAATTTGTTCTCGGCCTTTGGGAGGGTTGTGCGGTACCGGGCGAGTGCCTAAACCGTACATCCATGTACGGTCCTCCAGGACATGGTCGAATTTCTTAGGCAAAAAGCACGAATTATAAAAATCCTATACTTAACGCTGGCTAATGCACAAGCCGTGACAGAGCCATTAAAAAAAAAAAAAATAGGCAATGTTTATAACTGGCCTATTCTAAAAATTTGAACATGTGAACGTTTAGAGCTTTCCGTCTACAAACCTCATATAGTCTGTGGACAGTGAACCTGTTAAGTCTAGATTGTCAATGTTTTTAGTTCTCTTAAGTTCATACTATTTTCACACTTGTATATGTTTTCTATAACATATATTTTCATGAGTGATTGTCCTCTCTGTAACATGTGTGATGTTTGAGAGCAAAAATGAAATAAAGTAAACGCACACAATCGTAACAGCGTTGCGCAGTTATAAAGTTCAGATGAGTTTTATACAACAAGATTTATACACACATAAAATAAATAAAAATTTAATGTACACGATCACCGACGGAGTGAAGGCCTGCAAATTATTCTATTTGTCTCTCATCGTCTCTATCTACTATTTTCCAAGATTTCCCGCTATCTCATTTATTTCATCTTGCTAGGTTTCTAGTGGTCATCCTTTTTTTTTAATTCTCTACACATACACTGTATAACAAGCCACCTATATATAAGTTGGCCTGAAAAGTTCGTAGGGTTAACATAGAAAAATGGTCTTTATTTTGATAGTTATGGATTGGATTATTGAATATGATAGCGGTCATACAATTTTTCGATAACATTTTATGGTACAATTTGTTTTGTGTCGATTTGTGATTGCAATTACCTCTACTTAAGCGCAAAATTGTCCAGCGAGCATTCTCTTGGGAACAGGAAAAAGTAACTGGAGGCAAAATCTGTAGAATTTGGATGTGGAAGATTTTGCGCACCCCAATTTATCTTGATGAAACAGCACTTTCTTCTTCTTCAAAACGTGCCGCTTTCGGCGAATTTTACCTTCGCTGTCAGTTAATTCTCGGCCCGGCCATAAATACGTGTCTTCTTTAAAACGAAAAGATAGAAATGCTTTTGAGGAGATTAGATGAATCTTATAGATTCCCGAATTATCGAAATAGATTAAACAATTCATAATAATAATGAAAATTCATATTCCGAAACTCTATGATCTGTGATCTTAAATATATTTTCACTACAGTATAACTCGGAGTGCGGTGTGCCTCTTGGCAAAGGCTTCTAACCCGTTCCACTGTTCTCTATCCTTTGTGACTCTTCTCCAGTTGTAGCCTGCTGTTTATTTGAGTTCGTCCTCCCATCGTTTGCGTTGTCGGCCGCTTCCTCTTTTTCCGTCTCTAGAGTACTATTCCGTCAATATTCCATGTCCAATTAAACAATAAATCATAAGGAAAATTATCAACAATGAAGAATGACAGAGAATCCTTGGTAGTGCGTATGTACTTGTAATTTTGATGATTATTCTATCAAATATCCAACATGTGAGTCCGGTCACAAATTATCCAATTTGCACTCGTTAGGGATGACCTAAATATGTATGTGAAGAAAACTCTTTGTAAACTTTTCGTTTAAAAATTATATAAATTTAAATCAGTGGTTACAACCTTTGAAACTCTGCTTAAAACCACAATTTAACATTACGATCTATATATAAAATAATAACTGAAATGGAGCATTAATTTAAGATTCCCGCTGTAATGAACTATTGCAATCTTAAATGACACATTGTGATATTGTTTGTGTATGAAGAAAATGTATCAATTAAACAGTATTATGACGCAGACTGCCGCTATAGCTTAACACAGCCACCAACCTCCATAGATTAAAACATCTATGGCTGGATATAAAACCCTAAAAAGTTTGTCTTTGGGCCAACCCTTAGTTATTTTTGAGCACAATGTGCGTAACAAAAGTAAATTATACCTTCCTGTGACCTGTGTCATCAATGGACAGTAGGTGTTGGTTCTTTGTATTGTTAACATCCATTCTGTGTTTTCAGCATCCAATCATGGGAATTCGCTTGTTGATTTTTATGTGTCTCGTAAGTTTTTTTTGTATCACATACAGCCCTTAACCGATAGTATAATATAAATGTACGTCGGGCACACAATTAGGAAAAATGCCTCCCAAAATCTTCTATATATAATGCGTTGCATCGAATATAAATTTTGTGATTTTATTTTACTTTCGAATTTAACATAATGTTATTCTGATATTTCACTTTTCATATAGCAGTGATGGTTCTTAAACAGTTATTTGATTCAACGTTAAATAATTAATATGTGCCTTTGACTCCTTCGAAGAGTGTCCAATAAATAGTGATAGTGATTATTTTTTTATATTTTCATTGGAAAAAAACATAGGTAATAATAGATTTAATAACAATAAAAAAAGCAATCAAATCTCTTTTGTTTTTTTTTTCAAATAGAAGTCATTTGTTTGCGTCGGGTCGGAACGTTATCTTAAAAACGTACATTAAAGTACGCACGGTAATAAAATATCTCTGCTTTAAATATTTTACTACGGAGCTAGTAAATCTGTACAAGAGATCTACATTAGGGATGTGTACTCCTCCATAATCTATGGTTGAGTGTGGGTGTACGTAATAAACTCAAACTCATTTGAATAATCCTTCCATTTTAATTACAGTCGACTCTCGATAATAATTTGACACTCGTTAATTTGAATCTCTCGATAATTTGAAAAATACTCGATAAATTGAATAAAATCAATGATAATTGGTCCCTTCGGTAATTTGAAGTTGAAAAAGTATTATCTTGCTCGCCAACATGCGATAATTTGAAATCCGGTCTTCTCTACTCTCTATAAATTGAAGCGTTTATCATGCACATACCTGTCGTTTGTTTACATACATGCACAGACTTGTCAATTGTTTACATAAATGGGTGACAACTGACAAGTGACGATTGCTTTGCAGCTCTCACCACTATCGAAAATTCATTGGACAATTATAAACTGAAGTCACTCACTCAAAAAAAGATTACAGACTTCTTTTCGAAATAAAAATTTGTGAATAATTGTTATAATAATTGTTAATACATAATAAGAATATAGAAATAATAAGTAACAAATTTTTATCAAATTCTTATTTCCTTCAGTCGTGGTTATTCAAACACTTGTTATTTTGTACTCTTGATAATTTGAAATTTATCTCTGGTCCCTTGAGTTTCAAATTATCGAGAGTCGACTGTATATGCAATGTGGTAAATAAACATATTCTTTAGTCATAGTATCATAAAAACTAAGATAGAAAATACCTACATTCAATACTTTTTATTTGTGCAACAATACGTATCCAATGCTGGAAGGTTCAAATTACATTACTTCGCCGTAACTAGCCGACATATTTCAGCTTCATTAAGGGCCACAGGGAATAAACAAAACATTATTTAATAGGCATATTGGCGGTTGTTGGATCGCTCGTTATCTAGAAATTTTCTTCCCTATAATTAATTTTTCTGAAGATTTGTTTTAGTTATAATGATTAACTCGCCAACTGCTCTCTATTTTAACTAACATTTCAGATGATTATGATTAGTGCGCTACCGAACCCTGAACAAAGAAACAGAAGAGATGTGATGGATACAATTAAGCAAGCTGGGGACGAGGTGGCGAAGACTCTGAATGACGCTGGGGATGCTGTAGTTCAGGTGTTCAAACCAACAGAGAAAAACGTTTTAGACAAAATGGCGGATGGAATAAAGGGACTTGCTGATTAGTAATACTTTATCTCTCTCTCTATTTTTTTACCCTTGTTATTTGTGTTGCCTATTGTATGTCTCTGTAGTGTGGACACCCATTTGGTCTGTTGTTCGTGAAGTCCTGGCTAACTAAGCAAGCCTAGATCCTTCCAGAAGCTCAGAAGTTTCCTGGGCACAACGCAAGCTTCACGGAGCGACCTTAATGCACCGAGGATGCTCTTTGGAACCGAATTTTCGGTAATTTCTTATTTATTTGTCTCACTTATATAAATCTTATATAAACAACAAAGTGAGAAAAATATTAACTTCCACGGAAAATCAGATCAGGATCGTATTGAAAGAATTTCTTGACGACCATTTATGCCACTTAACACAATGAGTTTACTTTTATATTATTTCCTCTCAATGTAACCAACATTACTACTTGTAACCTACTATAAGTTTTACAATCAGTATACCCGCTTTTATTTTACCTATAAAGTCTAGTTAAATGTATACAATCTGGGTTTAATATCATCTTAAGAACAGAACCATCTTTCTCCATGTTTGGTAATATAATTAAATTCTTATGTTTTACAAAATTTAATCCTGTTAGTTTTATATATGAAAATATAGTGAAATGTAAAATAAAGGTATTTTTTATAATTTCGGTTTTATGTACATGTCGGCGATTGAAACGCCATAATTATTGTGTCCAGACTCCACGATGAATTGTTGAAGATAATGACGTCAGCAATACTGTCGTCATAAATTAGTTTGTTGGCACCAGCCATTTACTTTCGACATTAAAGTCCACTTTTAAAGGCTTCTGATTGGTTCGGCCGCTCAACAGATCTAAGCGCCGCACCCACCAGTTCCCATATATATAGCAACCAGAATTTGTGATAAACAAGTTTCGTAACATTGCGTGTACTCGTTCCACGACCGAACGCGAATCGACCACAGAGTCAAACGGCAGTCATAGAAACGAGTGTCAAAGATTAATATTTATTATCAATAGGTTTTAAATGTTTAAAGTAATATGATAAACTTCTTTTAACAATAATAATAATAAATGACTATGGAGTTATTATTATTATCGACCATTGAATAGTCGTTAATTTATAGATCTAGCAACATTAACAAATTAAATAAACCATTCGTATTAACGGCCTCGAACCAATTCGACTTTGACATTATTCAATGACAATGATATCTGACACTAACACAATTTCTTTAATATTTATAATAAAGACTACAGACTATCAAATAGTCGTTAATTTGCAGATCCATTAATAATTGTAAATAAAATAAACCATATAACGGTTTTGAACTAATTTTACCCCGATATTACCAAATGTTGATGAATGACAATAGCAGCTGATCAACACCATTCCTTAAACATAAATAATAAATGCTATGAATATACCACAGACTATCAATCCTTAATATTATTTATTATTATCTTGAATATATTTATTTACTCGAATTAAATATCAATCTTTATATTTATGTAACAATATAATCATTATATATGAATTTGCGCCCACATACACAACCATACTTTTAAGTAAGTTTGTTCCCAACTTATTAGGTCACACTTCAATAACAGACCGCACAAGATGGGGTTGGGGTCAGGGGTAAGCCAGTCATTGGTTTAATGCTTACTCTTTTGGACCCTGAATCACCTCGCACTGCCATCAGCCTCCACTTAGGAGTGCCCATATGTACTCCCCATAAGTGTCCCTATGGCTTTGAAGTAAGTAGTCTTGGACACCATGGGCTCCATTGCCAAAAGGGTTTTAAGTTTAATATCAATAGAAACGCTAGCTTAGCTACGCCTCATGTCGTGTGTTCGAGCCCTGTTCAACATTTATTAAATACTGTGTTGTATAACAAAATTAAACAATAAAAACATATTTAGGAGGGCAACGTGCAGCATTATCGTGAGACCTCTTCAAACCAAACATCGCTGCTTGGACTAACGTGGGGAACTTAGAATATTTTTTATATAATGGTATTATATATCAAAACAATTCCTATCTTATAAAATATGATATGGAAAGGTAACGCTTATAGATATTTTAAGGAATACGGGAAAAGAGACACTGATACAAACATAACTGATACTGACGTAATCATCAAATCAGTCTTCTTAAACTTTGTGGTTGTGAGTAGAGAAAGAACTAAGAATCTCCTACACTGAATCCTACGAACTTATGAGCCTTTGTTAGTATATCCAAGTGCCTAATAGCGCTAATTAGTTTTACAAATCTGTTTACACGAAAGTTTTCTAAATGGTAATTACGTCAATTAAGGCGTGTGTTATAAGATTTAATTTAAATTGTAATAATTAAATAACTTTACAGAGCAAATAAACAATTTCAATAACTCCGGAAATCAATACAATACATGGCGATGCCATTTGCCTCGCCTACCATGTCAGTTGGAGGTCATACAACCATAGCTAATGTTATCGATATTACCTGATTGTTCTATAACCTATGCCCGTGGATTTGATACCTAACACTAGTTTATGAAGTGTTTTTTTGTAAGAATAAAATAAAAATAGTATTTATTTGAGTACTGTAATTTTAGGTTATATTAAACTTTGTCTTTTTTAATATGAGTGCTGAAAAAGTGACCAAATCTGTAAACGTTTCGAAGTTTTCCAACGTGTTTCATGTTCTGCCCTGCGATTCTGTAACTCACTTTTCGAACTCACACAGCGGTTTTCGCATCGGCGGTCGCTCTCAAATCAGTCGTGAAGCAGTCATTTTATGATTTGGCATTCTAATAAACAATAAACTACAAGCTCCCACCTTTTCAGAATGGCTGGCTGTTTTCCAATCTGTTTCTCCTCTTTTTGCCTACTGGGCCAGGACAGAGGACTCTTTTCAACTACATATTTGCCATCACAAAGACCATACTGGCAACACACAATTAATATTACAAATTTATTGTAATGTAGGAAAATTACATTTATAGTATAATAATAATAATAAAAGCCCTTTATTCGCTGACCTTTTTAACTTACTTGCTATTCTTATAAAATAGAGTATTCTTAAATCTAATTTACATAGCAAATATAATAAATTTATTAGCAAACACTTTGGTCTGGTTGTCTGTAGGCATCCCCCAATTGTTTCCATCTCTCTATCCTTAGCAGACCTTCTCCATCTTTTTGGTAGATCGTCCTCCCATCTTTTGATTAGACCTCTTCGTTTTCTTATCCCGTTCGATACCACTCTATACAAACTCAAACTCAAAATATCTTTATTCATATAGGTAAACAAGTAGGTACACTTATGAACGTCCAAAAAGAAGTTAGATTAATTGTAAATTTACATTTACTACCAGTTCGCAAGTCAAGGGCGTAGAGCGGGCAAGAAGAACTGGCAAGAAACTTTCCGCCACTCCTTTTTTATTTTTTATTTTGTTCTTAGTCCATTTATAGTATAGGGTGTCTCAGTAAGAGTGCACTTTTTAAAATTGCAATATTTTTATTTTCCTGCAAGTGGCAACTCTGAAATTTGACAGCTGTCATCTCTGTTTATTCCGATTATTAAAAATGGAGCGCTTTTTGAAAGAATAACTCGTTATAATTGTGAAAACTTATTACAAAAGTAACGCTGAAAACGCTCGCAAACTTCACCAAATTTTCAGCCGAGAAAGTGCACCTAATGTGTCAACCATTCGAAGAGCGGTCAAAAAATTTGAAGAAACTGGGTCAGTTATGGATAATAAGAATCCTTTGCATCAACGTACCGGTCGGTGCCTTGAAAACATTGCTTCTGTAAACGAGAGTGTCGCCGAATACCCGAAAACATCAATTCGACGTAGCAAATTTTGCCTAAAGACCGGTTTACCTTCATGCGTACAAGATTCAGTTAACTCAGGAGCTCAAACCAGCAGACCAAGGAAGGCACCGGCAATTTGCTCAATGAGTAATGGAGCAAAGGGAAGTCGATGCCAATTTAAGAAGAAATGAAAGAAGAAATCATTTTCTCCGATGAACTGAACACATTATCTCACTAAATTTTAATGTCAACTAGCCACCAAGATCGTGCGATTTAACGCCGTGCGATTTTTTCTTTGGGGTTTTGTGAAATCTCGAGTTATATGCGAATAAACCCGAAACCATTCCTGAGCTCAAATCGGAAATCCAACGCGTCGTCGGTGAGATACAGCAACATCTCTATGCAAAAGTCATGGAAAATTTAAAGAAAAGTGTAATGGCCTGTCATCGGAGCCGTGGAGGTCATATGCCGAATATTTTATTCCATACTTAATCGGAACGTGTCTTCTTTACAATACAATAAAAATATCAGAACTCTGTCATAAAATACTTGTCTTTATTTAAAAATGAAAAAGTGCACTCTTACTGAGACACCCTATATATTCCATCGCGAATTCGACATTGCTGATTGGTTATAGCATAATTACCTAAACAGAAATTGAAATTAAAAACCTTTTTATAACTATTGCTGGTTAGAATAGTCATATCAACAAAAAAATTTGTAGCGACAACTATAAATCATTGCGATGACGATATACTATAAATCGCGCTAACGTTAAAAAAGTTTTTCCGGCCGCTGAGGATATATTATAGAATATCTCGACTTTAGGTACTGGGACCTTCGGGACGGTCAGTCAGGACACCAGCCCTCCTCCATGTGATTGTTAGAGTATATGGTGTGTCAGTCTATCTTATTAGTCACTCGTCTCTTTCTATCAAATTGTGTTTATGCTGTGATAGAAAGTGACATGATTTATTTTTTTGAAAATGGAGCATTCATTTAAGATTCCCGCTGAAATGAACTTTTGCAATCTAAAAACACACATTGTGTTATTGTTTATGTGTGTAATATGAAGAAAATGTATCAATTAAAGCCGCCATATCTTAACAAAGCCACCAGTAAATTAAAATCTATGTTTGAATATAAAAACCCTAAAAAGTTGGTCGTTGGGCCAACCCTTGGTTATTTTTGAGCACAATGTGCGTAACAAAAGTAAATTATACCTTCCTGTGACCTGTGTCATCAATGGACAGTAGGTGTTGGTTCTTTGTATTGTTAACATCCATTGTGTGTTTACAGCATCCAATTATGGGAATTCGCTTGTTGATTTTTATGTGTCTCGTAAGTTTTATTGTATCACATACAGCCCTTAACTGATGATATAATATAAATGTACGATGGCTACCCAATTGGGTAAAAAAAAAAATCTAAATCTAAATTGTGTGTTTTTTTTTAACTCTAGAATTTTACATTAGATGCGTTATGTTATTCTGATGTTTCACTCTTCATAAAGCAGTGGTGGTTCTTAAACAGTTTTTTTTATTTAAGTTTAAAATAATTAATGTGTGCCTTTGACCCCTACGAGGAGTGTTCAATAAATAGTAATAATGCGATATATGAATAACATAATATGACATTTAATAACAATAAAAAAGGAATCAAAACTGTTTTGTTTTTTATAAATAGGAGTCATTTGTTTGCGTCGGGTCGGAACGTCATCTTAAAAAATACCCCTAGTACAGAAGACGAATTTATTTTAATTTTAGTTATTTAGACTTCGTGCCATGTCCTAAGATACTCAAAAACAACACTGATATTTCTCGCATGTAATATTTTATTATGCTAATCCTAAATTTAATTCTTCTATGTGACAAGTTGAATTTTTAAGTGCGCAGTTTATATAACTTCGTGACTACGGTGTTATAATCTTAATTCAACTTTGATAAGACTATGATGATCAGTACCAAAACGAAACAAATACTTACCCCCATTAAAAATATATTAATCTTATTATATTGTTGTTAATAAAAATAAATTTCACAGCACTCTTAACTGTGCGAAGTGAGTATTTAAGTAAATACAATTACAATTTTACCTTTTTTTATGAATAATGTTTTATATCTGTACATATGTTTATATATACACACTTCTTATAGACATCATTAAGGAAGATTAACATGTTTCTATGTAATAAATAAACTCAAACTCATTTGAATAATCCTTTCATTTTAATTATTCGCAACGTGATAAATAATCTTATTCTTTAGTCATATTATCATAAAAACTAAGATAGAAGACGTCAATAAGAAAATACCTACATTCAATACTTTTTATTTGCGCAACAATCCAAATCTGGAAGGTGGAAACAGAGGTTCAAATTACATTACTTCGCCGTAACTAGCCGACATATTTCAGCCTCATTTAGGGCCACAGATTAAGGAATAAAAAAAAACCATTATTTAATAGAGCATACAGGCGGTTGTCGGATCGCTCGTTATCTAGAAATTTTCTTCCCTTTTATTTTTCTGAAGATTTGTTTTAGTTGTAATGGTTAAATCGTCAACCGCTGTCTAAAATTTTAACTAACGTTTCAGATAATTATGATTAGTGCGCTACCGAACCCTGAACAAAGAAACAGAAGAGATGTGATGGATACAATGAAGCATGCTTGGGACGAGGTGGTGAAGACTTTTAACGACGCTGGGGATGCTGTAGTTCACGTGTTCAAACCAACAGAGAAAAACGTTTTAGACAAAATGGCGGATGGAATAAAGGGATTTACTAATTAGATATTGTTTTACTCTCTGACTGACCTTTGACACAGTTAATTTCTAGAAGAAAGGTTTGCGAAGAAGCGAGATTGAGTTATTTGTGTTGCCTAGTGTATTTCTCTGCTATTAGTTTAGTATAGGACTCAGTTTCCGCAGACGCATATTTGGTCCGTTGTACGTTAGGTCCTAAGTAATTAAAATAAGGCTATTTAAGCATACCTAGCTCCTTCCTGAAGGTCAGAAGTTTCCTGGGTACTTCGCAGGCTTCACGGAGCGACATTAAGAAAAGAAAAGAGAGAAAAATATTGACGGCTATTAACGACACTCCGATCAGCGTTTGCTTGTCTTTTGAAAGTATCTCATGTGAACGTTAGGAACGCTAGTTAATATTGCTTATATTATTATTTTATCTTTTCTCTCGTGGTACGCTTCTTCTATAGATTTAACAATCAATATACCCGCTTTTATTTTACCTATAGCTAAAGTCTAATTAAATGTATACAATCTAGTTTTACAATGAATAAACCTGTTAATTGTTTACATTAAAACTAAAGAAACGCTAACTTAGCTACGCCTGATGAGAAGCGCAAATCTCAACCCTGAGGTCGTGTGTTCGAGCCTTGTTCAATTTTTATATAATGGTATTTTATATCAAGACAATTCCTATCTTATAAAATATGATATGGAAAGGTAACGCTTATAGATATTTTAAGGAAGACGGGAAAAGAGACACTGGCTTCATTCGTTTCTTATTCATATTACATACGTACTCGTATTATGCGTTATAATCGCCGCTTATGAGTATTTTAAGTTAATAAAAAACAAATCGAAAACGAGTACAATGTTATCTCTATTGCCAATATATATTAGCCAATTTCTGGACACCACTATGAAACGACTAAGTGATTGATATATACGAAATACCTCGTCGGAAAATCCTACGAGTCGTTTTTGAATACTAATGACAGTAACAACACAGGAAATACACGTGAGTTTAGAGACCATTAGACCAGCTTGTTTTAAAGACTTTTTTTTATTTTATTTATTTACAGCAAAATATGGCAAATATATAATTTATAACTAACTTACATACTACCTTAAACTGTTAAAATGTTTCATTAATAAACAAATAACAACATCTTACATTCGTCTCTCAGTCTACCTAAACCTGTCACAAACATATCCAACTTTGGTAGAACTTTAGAAATTGTCAATCAACGAAATCAAACGCGGAATTGGTAGCTGCTGGTTGCTTCATAGCTCTCCTATAAATTCTTTCTTTAACATATCCTCATAAGTATCTGATTGTCCTCATTTTACATGTGTGATATTTGTCAGCAAATTAAAAAAAAATAAAAAATTGCTTAAAACCGTTAAAGTTTTACGTTTAATTGTGTTGTAATCGCGCAAAACATTGGTTCAAGCAATTAATAAAGTAATACAAAACAAATTTATAATCTCTCGAATAGGCTATTAAGACAGATCGTTAAAATAACTTATTAATTGTTACTTAATAGGCTATTATCATAATCGATATTGGAAAATACCAATAGTAATAATATCAATTTATTATTATTAACTGTATTTAAACTTCACTGTGGTATGGCACATCGTCGAATTCGACACAATTACGACTCTCAGATCCAGAATCGTTTAAGATTTCTATTAATTTATCTGTCCTTGGCTCAATTATTGTCACTGGCCCTTCTGGGTAGTCTGGTCTTTTGTGATAACTGTAGTCCTCTCTATGCTTCTTCCGTGCTAAAACAAACACACCAGAGACCTCTTTAGTCTTCTGTTCGTGCTTTTGAGCAATTTCTATATTGGTCCGGCGTATATCTGTTATGTCAAATTGAAAACGTTCCGATTTATGCCTTTCATTGCAGAACATGCAATATGCGATGAATATTATTACGATGACAGCCTGAAAAGGGAATTTGTATTCTGTGAATTATATATTACTTATTGAAATAAGCTCCCGCCAATTTCGTCCGCGTCTGTGGTTACGAAATTAACGTTAATCTGTGACGATTTGAAAAAGGAATATAAATGCATGATTACATCAAAAGTATTACGAAGTAAAGACTTACCAATACTATGGCACATATAAATGCGGTGAGAAATGCGGACATTATTTGACTTAGTACACGAGCGATGCATTCGAGATCGAAACAGCTGCTGGCGATCGTCGTTGAACTCAATTAAACCCAATAACTCTTTTAACTGTGACGTCATTAGGTCTATTGCCATAATTGGAAGTAATTCAATTCATTGTGATACACAGATAACGCAGAATTTTTGCAAAATTAAATACCTGCGAGGTACACTGGCGTATTGCGACTAAAGATTTATTATTGTTTTTTTTCGCTTTGTCATCATGACTATTGGTTATTTCACAATACTGAATCATTTTACTGCGTAGAAAGGTTTGTGAACCTTTTCTAAAACATAAAACAGTATCGTGATTTGAGTTTTTGTAGATAGATATCTATAGGTAACTAGATAGTTATATCAGTTCAAGGAATAATTATTTTTGTCATTAACAATTATTTATAGATAGATTTTTTAACATTTACTATGACTATCTGGGTTAAATTTAATTAGAAAATAAGTGAATGTAGGGGTTTTTTTTAATTACATTTAGTATTTAAATGAAAAATACAGTCACCGAAGGAGTTTAAAAGAAATCAATAGGATACAATATTTTTTAATAATCATCAATTAACCACCAAGATTACAAACAGAATAATATTGTAAAAAACAAATAACACTATAACGCCTAGTATAAACACTGAGCAATCAGTTTTGGTGATGGATGGCTTTTTAAGCAGGCGTTAAATTTTATAGTCATTTAGGTTATGTCAATGATATAGTGCTTCGAAAATGGGTATCTTATTTTATAGCTATTTTTTTATTTAAAAAAATTGGAGGAAATTTAATTTCGACTGAGTTTCACGAGTTGAAATCACGTAGAAGATTGTATCTGATTTAATGCGATAAATTCTAAATAACATGGTATTTTGAAAGCGAAGTTCTGCTACATTAGTTTAGTAGTATTTTTAATTATGAATTCTATGCAAAATCAGTGCTTACAAAAGCCAATGTTGAATATCAAGAGCCTGAGGCTTATATATACTTAATATATTTAGTTAAGTATAGTTCATTCCGATTCGACTATGGCGGCTTATCCGTATGGAGATTGGCCCCTGACACAAGATATATCTATGTTTTGTAGTGCAAACGTACGAAGATGTAGGAGTTCTGTTTTACATAAATGTCATAGCCTGAATGATCCGGTGTCTGACACGAACGGAGTATAGCGAGATGAAGGGTAGGATATCGTTATGAACTTGAATGTCAAAAACGTATTAGATTTGACACGCAGAAGTCTTTTCTGTATATCTGGTAGTTGCTAATACGAGCCTTTTAGGGTTTTTAACACTATAATGGAAGTTTCCTAACTTCTATTTAGACGATCTTTGAACCAAAATTATTGTAATTTATAAAATGATTTTCTCGGGAAAATTCCATTGGCTTTTTATAACCGACTCGGGATTTACAACGGATATATCTTATTTATTAATCGTCTAAATCTTTAGACTTACGTTAAATAAATGACTACTAGGTTTACCTAGATTTGCACAACAAAAATAAACTTAAGATTATTTAACAGGTCACTTAATGCTAAGTAGTTAAATAAACAAATACATAACAAGCATTAGTGTGTATTTACATTACATAATAAATTGCATTATACAAGCTTCTGTTTACAATTATTTAATCACTCCGAGGACCCGCGGGGTTGGCTGAAACAAAGATTTTTTTAAAGTTATATATCTTTTCACCGATAACTTAAGGAAGATGTATCATTCAACTATCTCACACTTTAATTATTCTGTACATAATCTTTATATATATATAATTCTACTATACGGGTATGGCACTGAACTCTTCTTAAACGGTTGGACCGATTTGAATGAATTTTTTTGTATGGGTTTGGGTGGCACCCTGGATGGTGTAGTCACAAATCAGCCTGGAAGATGGCGCTGCAGTCGGTATCTAGGTTATTTTTCTATACAGCAGAAAACAGCTAGTATATTTTGATGATTTTTTTTTTGTTTTCAAGTGGAGTCGAGAATGATTTACATTATTAGATATTGTTTTTGTATGTAAGACGTGTGTACAGGACAAAGTCTGTCGGACAAGCTAGTAATATATTAGGTCCTTACATATGAAATTGGCGTATTTCGTACTGGCCACTTTAATCACGATGTTCTCCTCTTTGGTAAGGCATTCCAAATTCAAATTTGTACAGCTATTTACTCATGTATTTGTGCTTCGATGACCGTCATTCATTTGTTTTTTTCTGTTTGCGTCACTCATTTTACAAAATGGAAAACTTAAAGTATCGCATTATTTACGAGTACGAGTTCCGCCGTGGCACTAGTGATGCGGAAACGACTCGAAGGGTGAATGATGTGTATGGCGGTCATGTTGCAAAAGAAAACACAGTTCGTTTTTGGTTCCAACGTTTTCGTTCTGGAAATTTCGACCTGCAGAACAAGCCCCGTGGACGGCCTGAGACCCAAGTTGATAATTAAGTATCGAAGGCTATTGTGGAAGCGAATCCTTCGCAAACCACGTCCGAGTTAGCTGCAGGCTGCGGTGTTAGTGATAAAACTGTTTTTATGCACTTGAAGCAAATTGGGAAGATTAAAAAGCCTGAAAGATGGGTACCTCACGAATTGACTGAAGCAAACCGGCAAACGCGCGTCGACTACTGCGTTACATTACTGCACCGGCACAATAATGAATGTATTTTAAACCGAATCATTACCTGTGATGAAAAATGGATTCTTTACGATAATCGGAAGCGCTCAGCGCAATGGTTGGATCCTGGCCAGCCAGCCAAATCCTGCCCCAAGCGAAAATTAACCCCAAAAAAGTTACTTGTAAGCGTTTGGTGGACTAGTGCCGGTATTGTTCATTGCAGTTTTCTCAAATATGGCGAGACTATTACGGCTGATGTCTATTGTCAGCAATTGCAAACCATGATGGAAAAGCTAGCGGCTTAAACAACCTAGGCTGGTCAATCGCTCCACGCCACTGCTACTTCACGACAACGCTAAACCACACACTGCACAACAGACGGCTACCAAATTAGAAGAGCTTCAATTGGAATGTCTAAGACATCCTCCGTACTCCCCGGATCTTGCTCCAACAGATTACCATTTTTTTCGATATTTGGACAACTTCTTGCAAGGGAAAAAATTTAACTCTGATGGGGCAGTCCAAATCGCCTTCACAGATTTTATTGATTCCCGTCCGACTGGTTTTTTTAGTAAAGGGATCAATGAACTACCTATGAGATGGCAAAAGTGCATAGAAAACAATGGTTCATACTTTGATTAATTTAATATATTATATTTAAAAATATTCGACTTTTTGTTCCTCCCATACAAAACGCCAATTTCATATGTAAAGACCTAATATATATGTAATAATACAAAACAAATTTAAAGCATTTCCTCGCTGTATTGCGATATTCATTCGTTGAACAAGGAAAACATCAGCTGTTTTTGTATTATCTACAGTGTTTTTTAAGCGTCTTAAATGCGTAATAAATAAATATACAAAGTACTTACATCCATCCACTACTTGAACTGCAAAATAAAACAGTAATATTAAAATAAAATTTAAACAATAACAAAAATATTAATATTGCAAATAAATATAATATTCACGTAACACTTATAAACCTTTATCATTTTTGGGAATCGTACGAGTATAGAATCAGTTTCAAAATATGCAAATTTATTACGAAAATGTTTATAAAATTAAAAACAAATTATGTGTTACGGAATATTTTAATTCGCTTCTCGCTCTAATTATTTATAACAATAAATATTATTTACCGTCACTGCCATTGTCCACAACATTTACTGAAACAAAAATTTTATGGTAAATTTTATCTTAAAATACATCACAGAAATGTATGATAGATGTACTATTTATTTATTTCGTAATCCTAGAGCTAACTTAAATTATATACAACAAAAAAACAATAATACTAAAGATACACATTTAACTAAGTAATACCTAATTCGGCTGTACTTTATAGTACTTTATATACGTAGTACCTACAGTGGGAACAACACGGAATTTAGGCATAAGCCAAAAGAATGTAAGTGCGTGCTCCTATTTCACCATGCCTCCTGCTGATAGAGGACAAATCTTTGTTTTTAATTTATTTTGTTATTAATTAACTTAATTACTTAAGATGTCATGTGGAACATGGTGTAATGATTGCAGCTCCTTAGAAACAAAAAGAAAGTAAAACAAAAAGCTTGGCAATTAAAAAGAGTGGCGGAGAGTTTATTCTTCTCTTCCGTTCTACGCCCTTGATTTGAGAACTGGCAGTAAATGTAAAATTAGAAGCATTTAATATATATTTATTTTTTGACGTTCATAAGTGAACATTGAATGAATAAATGTTTTTTTTTAAATTAGTTAAACAATGTTGGAAAGGTATAATGGTTTGTCAATTAAACCGTTGTTTTATTTAGGCTTTTAGCTTATCATAAATAATGGACATAGACTTTCCCATACATACGTTTATTTATACATATATAATTATGTTATTGCAGCGCTAAAATTCGAGTTTTCATTATAGTAGGCGAGCCCAAGATTTCGAGATTTAGTACAGCGTGGCAGATTAATATACAGAGCGATACCTACCGTGTACTCGGTTATGTACCTCCAACAAATATGAGCCCCATATATTTGGCCGCCCGTCAAGGATAAAGGATCAGATTAGTAAAAAAATTAAGTATCAGAAATTTAGCGTCAGATTAAGGTAGAGTGAGTTAATTGCATGCTAAAAAGCAATAAAAAACATTGAGCGTTGGGGGAGTGTTGCGTTACAATAGACTACCACAAAATATAAAAAGTGCAGACAGCCTGGCGATATTTAAACTTAAACTAAAAGACCATCTTCTGAGTGATCCTAATTACCTACGCAAATGACAGTCCACCCAAATTATACTTCGATGATTGATCCTTGACGCTTAAACACGACGTGATAAATTGTATTTTTAGCCTATAAGTCTCATGTAAGTGACCATTGTCTGTA